ATTGACGCGTTAAAATGACGTGTTTAGATTGGGTGTTGATTTTGATGTTCCCCCGAATTGATTTTGCTGGCTTGATTTAGAATATATATATATATTGGTCGACTGCTATCATGAGACGGAACCAAAGACACCCAGTGAGAAACAAAGACTCCATAAACCCGCAGCTGTGATTCAAGAAAACATGAGGCTATACAATGTACCACCACGTCAATCGCTGCGGTACACGCGACACCAGCTGATTAGCTATGAAAGTTGACAGCGTATGTTTAGGTTCATCAATCAGTTTCCAGTCAAGCAGTAGACTCGCCATCCGAAGCCATTCTCTCACGTGAATACGGTGGAACTAGCTGATAGAGAACCCCGTGGGATATAGCTGCCGCCAAGGGCCCAATCCAGTGGATCCAGTGGTACGAGACGAAATGAGAACCGACCATAGCTGCAAAGCATCGAGCAGGATTGCCTGCTGTAATGTGAGAACATTCGTTAGTCAAGTCAGGTTCTCCGAAGCTGGGCCTTGGGGTACCATACAGAATCCAGTGTACCCGGGAACACTGAACCCAGTCATAAATGTACACACGCCTAGCACGATGCCTACGAAAATAGGACCCAGGGCCGGTCCAAAAACCTCTCGCTGTCGGGGATCTAACCCAACGCCGAAAGAAAGAAATATCAAGGCTAAGTCGGTGGTGAACTCGATGGCGAAGGCACTACCTAGGGAGACCTTGCTGAGGTCCAGGTAGCAGCCGGGGACAATAAACTGTGTACGCATTGGAATGAGCGTTCCAGGAGTTTGGACATCATGGATCGACTTGGGCGTTGACAACTCACGGATCGCGTGTTGAAACTGGCGCGTAGCAGCCAGCCAGCGATTGCTCCACCAAACGTCTGAAATGCGATGTAAAGGATACATCGTGAAAGTGTTGCCAGTCGACCGAAAAAGGTAGCCATGGTGATGGTGGGGTTTAGGTGAGCCCCAGACACCGGGCCAGCTGCAAAGATGAAGAGTGGTAGGGTGAACATAGCAATCACACCCCCTAGAAGACTCGGAACTAGTGCACCGGACTGAAATGACCTATACGAATTAACGGTGTCGGCTGCGAGCAGGTCAGGGACGACCTACTCTACCACTTTGCCTAGTCCAATGGCTACGAAGCATGTCAGGTATGCTAACAGACACGTTCCTGAGTTCATAGCTGTCAGCCGTCCACATCTTGGACCATGTCAACGCAAAACGAACCGATAGCTTCGACAACTGCGCCCTTCCACAACTCTCTCTGTAGAATATTCCTGAGGGAAAGAGCATCGCGGAGGGGGATCCACGGGGCTGCATCGGGAAACTTCTGCAATAGCTCCTTCTGGGCACAGCTGTGCTTGTCAACGGAAAATTCTTGATTGGCACCGATGCGACCAGCAAATGGAACAATTTTCGTAGGCTCTGGTAAGTTGGTGCGATTACCACGCCAGAAACTGGCCTGCAGCGGCATGTTTCTTGTCTTTCCGTTTGTAATGTCTAGTTCAACGGCTCTCCCAACCCCTTGCCTGAGGCTCGTATTTTAAACTACTAGGATTGATGTTCCATGGAAATTACCAGACTCTGCATTGATTGAGAACCATGGATCTGCTAGCGGCGGGTCGTCGACTCATCGCTAAGCTTAACAAGCTCGGCCACCAGAAATACACCACACCATCGGGTTGCGGAAGCCTTGTCATATATTGCTAAGAATTCTGTAATCAATTAGCCTTAGCCTAGACCCTTTCATGACGTTTATTCACAGCCAGGTCTAGCGGCAAGCCCTAAAACTCGACGCGTCACATATTAACCTTATCAGGGTGGCCTGTCTTGAGAGGTTGATTCTGAGCCGTAATCATATAAAGACTCGATCAGGGAGTTCTTGACTAAATAATCTCCCCCGATGGAACATTGTTATCATGGTCGACCTCTAATTGAGCCATGGGGGTTTTTTTTTTGTGGTAGTGTTTCCATTCGATAATTGGCCCTGCTCTTTGCCACAATGCCGCCTAACTACAAGCGCCTCGATAAGGACAACTGTGTATTCCTGTTCATCGATCACCAGGTAATGATTGATATCTTCATTCCCTGAGCATAGGCCTGTCTAATTCATATAATAGGCTGGTCTCATCCAGCTAGTGCGAGACTTCGACCCCCACGAATTCCACAACAATGTTTTGGCCCTGGCCAGAGTGGCTCGCTACTATGAGGCACCGTCTATTCTAACCACTTCATTCGATACTGGACCGAACGGTCCAATTGTCAAGGAGATCCCGGAAGCACTTCCCAATGCCCCATTGATTAGACGTCCGGGTCAGATCAATGCCATGGATAATGAAGACTTCGCCAATGCCGTCCGGAAGACTGGCAAGAAACAGGTCATCATCAGGTATGTGAACTGTCGAATGAAAGTTCCGGGCTGCTAATGAACTTGGACCAACCAGCGGGGTTTTGACTGAAATCTGTGTTGCCTTTCCTGCTCTGAGTCTGATCGAGCAAGGTTATGACGTGTTCATAGTCACCGATGCTTCGGGTACATTCGCTGAGCATACAAGAGAGGCTGCTCATAAACGAATGGTGCAGGCCGGCTGCCAGCTGCTTAATTGGGCAGCAGTAGCGGCGGAGATTCACCGAGATTGGCGTCGGGATATTGAGGGATTTGGTGCTATCTGGCGTGATTATGTTCCTGCGTACTGGTGTCTGATACAAAGCTACGAGAGTGCTAAGGAGAATAAATCCTAAGGAACGATGCAATATTGCGACATTCGAATGATAGGGCTGAAACAGCGCGGTCAGTGTGTTCAGTCAGACAAATTGGTACCCAATATCGGCGGATATCGCCAAGATATATAATGTTTCAATGGGACTGAATATTCAGAATAACCTCTTATATGCTTACATGTTTGAGATCCTTTTCTTACAACATAAATATATCATTGGCCCGTGGATTCCTGCGTCACTATGGGTGGCTGGTACACTGTTCCACATGTCGCATGGAAGCCATGGCATCCAGAGCCTTTGTACTATTTGATATCATTTCAAGATTACTATTCCATTGGCAGGATATGGAGATAAATCATACACATTGAACTGGAATGCTCTTCCTGGGGCCGAAATCGGCAGAAGACGCATGGAAATACAGCTCGTACTTGACATTGGCATATGTAGACCGAATGTCGCGTCCAAGGATACACGCAAATAAATACTCCACAAGTTCAATGGAATTTGTTTCAGCAACTGTGAAGTATCTCGCCAAGAGAGAAGCAAATAAATCCTGTTGAACAAAAGGAAGAAAAAAGGTAAAAAGAAAACTCCAAAGAATCGAGCAAGACAGTGTGTTCACCTCACCGTTACTCCTCCTCCTGAGGGTTTAAGATCAGCTTCTTCGAGCTCCGGCCATTTAGTACATCTTCACAGGCCTTCTGGATGCCAGACAAACCACCATCCCGCTTTTCCAGTGGGGTGGGAGTCACTCCCCCGGCGAGGGCGACCGGAAGATATTCCTCATACCACCATTTGGCGAAAGCCGCATTTTCGGGTTTCTGAGTGGCCATGCTGTAGAAATCATACAGAAGTTCGACGTTCTCAGCCAAATGCATCTCCTCGCTATGCGGGCGAGTTGACACAAACACCCCACCCTCTGGTTGAAGGATATCACTGATGGCATGGGCACCAGCCACGTCGCCAGACGCTGTCATAACAAACTTATAAGGCCCAAGGGCTTTCAGCTTCGAGACCGCCTGTTCGTCTTTATAGTCGACCACTTCGGATGCGCCAATGCTACGTACGTAGTCGAACTTGCCTGGTGAGGCCGTTGCTACAACATCGTAGCCAACCTAGGCTAGATTGTTAATTCTGTTCAAGGAACAAAGCCCATCCAGGAGATCCTGCTCACGCTAGAGGCATATTGAACGGCGTATCCCCCAACGGAGCCGCTCGCGCTCCAGATCAGAACCCTCCCATCTTCATGGCCGCCAGGCTTTTTCATGCCCAATTTCAGGCTCAGAGCTGCTACAGCTGTCAGGAGAGCAAACGGAATCGCGGCAGCGTCCTCAAATGTAGTTGCAGCTGGGATCTTGGCTGTTGTTGCCTCCGTACTAACCACATACTTCTGCCAGCCACCATATTTGGCGATCTTCTGGTGATATGCGGGCGTGTCGGAGACGACACGGTCGCCTTTTTTAAATTTAGTAACGGAGGAACCAACCTCCTCAACCACGCCTGCTACGCCATTACCTAAGATGAAGGGGTATGGGAGGTCGATATAGGCACGGCCACGTATATTTGCGTCCAACGGTTGTATCGCGACCGCGTGGTTCTATCGCAAGTTCAACAACTGTTAGACTAGTGAACCCAAAACGAAATTCCACACAGCAGAGCATCACCCGTATCACCCATACGAAACGTATGTCGGACAGACCTTGATCAGAAGTTCATTCCCAGATGGGGGTGTATAGGGTGCGGTGGAGACTTTCAAGTCTCCCTTTGGCTCCAAACTCCAAGCGGCTCTATTGCCAGACGCCATGATTCTCATATACGGAACGAATTCAGGACCGGCGATGTATCCAAAAGTTAAGGTCAAAACTCGCTGGGCATGGAGGGATTCTGGCAAGGTAGTGATAAAACTGATTGATTTCATACCAACGCCATTCATAAGTGTCCGCAGCTACCCGTGAATGACATCAAGAACATGTCAAGAGCATGTCAAGAACATCATGAGAGAATAGAAGAAATAAGACACCAATCATAGAATTCAAGTGGAGATGCTAGCAATCTGTCATGCCATTACCAATCATTGGTAAGTTGGATAGACCCAGTGGTTTGAGGCAAGATAAAGTTTCCCTCCAAGAACTATGCGATGCTCCTCATGATACCTGACTGGGACCTGGTACTCCTTGTTTTCAGATGTTAATAGAGTAATGGTATCGCTATATTTGCAGCGACATGATCTGCACAAGTACTAGCTCTTCCCTTTCATTACAATATGATTTAACGCTATCTTGGGCCTTTTCATGGCCTATTCCTTACCGAAAGTTGCATTTTTATCTGCGGTATGAGGGGGAGACTTGGGAAATAGTCCGAGTCAAACATATATTCTGTTCCTCTTCAGTTTAGTTACTATTTACGAGCCTTTTGGATATTCATGGTTCATATATGAACCGGCGCTGGGAGTCCAGGACGTAAGCAGGTTGTGGAAGGGAAGGGCCGGCTAGTTTTCTGGTGGACATAACTGAGTCCGTTCAGTGAAATTTGATTTGACAAGCGTAGGGCCATAGCGGTATTTATATTTCGAAGGAGGAGGTTAACAGAAAGAACCAGAGCTCCTGTTGCCAACATTTCGTGTCCCTCTTTTCGGAAATCGAGAGGAATCGCTGTTTTCCTCCTTGGTTCCGTGGCGGAAATCGATTTCCGTCCATCCAACATTTAAACCAGCGCAAGTTCTCTCCCACCAGCGTCATGAATCATATTCTCATATCCACCTCGAATCTAAACCGCCGGACCCGGTCCAAAACGAAACATGTTAGGCAATAAATTAGCAATCGGCAGCTTGTCATTAGGCCAGCACCCTTCTCACCTCTTAGACCACAAAGTTGAGGTCGCTGCTTCCCATGGTTTTGCGGGTATTGAGATCGTATTTTCTGACATTGAAGTCTACGCAAGAGCGAAGAATCTTGCCCTGTCGGAGGCAGCAGCAGCGATCCAAAGAATATGCGAAACGCACCGGATCGAGATCCTGTCTCTGGCTCCTTTTGAGAACTTCGAAGGACATAACTCGCCTCTCGAGGAAAGGCTCCAACTTGCCGCGAAGTGGATCGATATTGCGAGAATACTTAAAGCAACGTATTTACAAGTGCCGGCTCAGTATAGCAGTGACTGCACTGGGGAGGAGGCGGTGATTGTCATGGAGTTGCAGCAGCTGGCGGATCTGGCCCGTGCTCAGCAGCCGATTATTGCCATTGCCTACGAGCCTATGTCGTGGTCTACACATTGCTCGACATGGCAAAGCGCGCTACACATAGTTCAACGTGTGGATCGACCGAATTTTGGACTTTGCTTAGATACCTTCCACGAGCTCACGAAGCTCTGGGGCAGTCCGTTCGATCCATCGGGCAAGCTGCCCAACGCGGACCGTAATCTGCAAGAATCACTACGTGATTTTCAAGAGCACTGCCCACTAGACAAGATCTTCTATGTGCAACTCTCCGACGGTGAACGGTTCGATCCCCCCTTTTCAACGTCTCACCCGTGGTATCTCGAAGGCGAGGCGCCACAGTTTACATGGTCACGCCATGCTCGGCCATTCCCCCTGGAGACCGAGATGGGTGGATACATGCCATTACCAGAAGTGGCAAAGACCTGGATTGCAGATAAAGGGTTTAATGGCTGGGTGTCTCTCGAGATCTTTGATCGGAGAATGCGGGCTCCTGAGTTTCAACCAGAGACTGCTGCACAGCGCGGCAGTCATTCCTGGCGAAAGCTGCAGGACGCGCTGCCACCGATTAATAGCCATATTTAGTAGAATGTTGTGCTGGCTTTTCTTTTGGCAAGACATATGTATATGAATCTTGTACATATTTTTCATGCATGAGAACATTCTAGCTTACTCGTTAAACCCGCTGTCATTTTGTTAATAAGATAAGCTAGGGACAGGCAGTCTGACAGATAAGGCAATAAACTAAATATACTATCACGGACTTGTAGGCATCCCCGAGTGTGTGGATGAGAATCAAGGATAAAGACAAATGCTCTCCACCAGTTGTGGTCCGTCTCGATTGCACTGCCTGACACAAATGTGATGAGTCCCCCTGCCATTCGTGATTCTCCACCTTGTCCTCTGAAGAGCAACAAGATAGTGGCCTCTGCCAAACAGAAAAGTGTTATAATCGGTTCTACTTAAACGCCAGCGCCTCAAGCACAAGGGCTGCCAGAGGTATCTGCTAGTACTGCCCGAAGATAAGTCTTTACTAGGCACCATTCTCCGGTGTAAACCAGGTACTATCTCTTCATCTGCTTGTGTCTTCATCCACTTGTGGGGTACGGACCTTCGAGTTTCGGTACCATCTCGGAGTCTCGAAATCAGGCCTGGGTCTAGACCCCAGGGTAAATTCAACATCGGTCTGATTGCAGGAGAAGCTGCTACACCGGCAGTAATACTGGATGGCATAAAGTATTATTTTAAAACCACGGGGTCTCGGCGTGGGTCGCGGGAGTTCCGTGTTTCTCTCGGTGGATCCTCGGCATTGATTGAAATTAAGGGAGCTTATCCTTCAGGCTACTGTTTCACCACCTGCGAGCGTCAAACATTGGTCTCCATTTTGGAAAAAGGCACTGGAAGGATCCTTACTGAAGCCGTCACTTATGATCCAACAAAGAACTGAGAAGCATCGGTCTAGATCGGCAATAATGTAGTTGTTGCGCAACGTTTACCCTGCTATTCTGTCTTCAGGACCCCCGCCTTGGGGATTCTCAGAGGAGGGCGAATTTCGCCAGCCAGCTAATAAAACTTCATATTTGCCCCCGTACTATCCATTCTATTCGGGCGCCTGCAAGATAAATCGCACAGTTGTGAGGGTTCTCCGGGGAGACTCCCCTCTACCCTACAGGTGTAGTCTATCGAACCGTTCCCTCGGATTGATTAAACTATTAGCTTGACACACTCCGACCATTGCCAATGTTTCAGCTATTGCTGCTTGGTCGATGATATCTTGGTAAACAGGAAGGGGGTCTGCTCCGTGCGGCGATGAGAGTGAAACATCGTATCCACCTGTGAAGAGCCTTCAGTGGACGGTAATTGGAATTCGGGATATAGAGCTTAGTAGAGCCTAACGATGGTGCGCTCATTGGTGGAATGCATTATATGTTTCAGAATGAGAAACTCGCGAATTCCCCTGGAGGATGGCAAGAAACAGAAGTAAGAAACGCCCTGCCATACCGACCGATATGGCTTGATGTGCTACAGATTTGTATATATTACCGTGAGGCCCTCTGCAAGAAATGCACTGTCTTACACCAAGACATTGTCCTCCACCCACTCACCATGAGAGGGATTGTCGCTCTTTCTTTGCTCTCTGTGGCGCTGCGCGTCACGGCGGACTTGAGCGAATCCAACTTGCACAAATACCCTGAGGTGCTGGCACTCCAGAATTCTTTTAATCCCATCAAAGAGGCCTACTGGACTGGGTACCCTCACCATCGACGAACGCCATTTGCGGTCTCTCCCGATGGAAAGTCAGCTTACATTGCCTATCTCGATTCGAGCGAAACAGACATTCATGTGCAGCAAGTGGATGTAGATACTTTTGAAGCGACTGGGACGTCGGTTACGGTTACTGGTGGCAAGGAAGGTATGTGATGACTGTACAGTGGATCACCATGTGGGTGCTAATGACGCAGAGTAGCGGGAGGACTCGTTGCCCATAATGATGGTTTCGCCCTCCTGACGAACGAGGCCATGCCATCTGGAACGACCAATGCACCCCCCAGTGATACGCCAGTCCCAGTCCTGTATCGATACACGGATGGGAAACAAACGTGGAAGGCGTGGTTGGGTGGACCTGGTGTCCACGAGACCGACGGCCTCTCCGCATCGCCTGATCTCAATGGTGATCTGGTCTACTCGGAGCAAGCCGGTCTATACGGTGCCTACTTTGTCGTCACCGATTACTCTGGCGACGCAGCAGGACATTACGGCGACAGTATTCAATACGTGGCAGATAATGGAACCCTGGTCACAATCGCCGGGGCTAGCAGCTCCTGGGGCTGTAGCCATAACACAGGCATCGCATTCGAGTCGGCCGATGAACCTCCGTTCGCCAGCATCTGCGCGGAAGACCAGGGGGCGATATGGCTGAATACCAGAACGCTGGGCATGTCCAGCGACGGGGAGAAAATCTCCAATGAGAATACTACCAACGGAGCCTCGGGAGAGCCCATGGGGGGCATGTCCGGGAGTTACAGTGCTCTCGCTCGGTTTGCGGAAAGCAGTCGGTATATCTTCGCCTGGGTTTCGCGCGGTGCGATGGATCTCACGGAAAACACGTGGATGGGAAGTGGCTACACTCATGCCCTGAATCGTACCAACAATCGGAATGTCGCCATCTCCCTGTTCTCTGATAAAGACACCCTTGTTGGCGAGCAGGCGACCTCGGAAGTCGGCGCCGAAGACGGCGATAAGCAGATCAATTGGCTGACTGAGGGCGCAAACGACTGTTCGAATGCGCATGCAGCGACCTTCGGAAACAACAGCGCACTCGTGACGTGGGAGGAGATCTCAGATCCGATTTGCGACTTTGTGGCTATGGGATGCCGCGGACAGTTTGCTGGTACCTTCTTTCAACAGGTAGATTCCGACGGAAAACAGGTCGGCAGCCCGTTGAAAAGCACAGATACTTTCGTCGCTGGCGACATGGTGACCATGGCCGATGGTCGGATCTGCTGGCCATATGTGAGCATGGACTGGGATCTCTCGCAGGCTGTATATACATTGGCATCTTCTACCACGACGAAAATGAGTTTTGCCTGCATTGATCTCACGGGAGACTCTTCTAACAATGCAACCTCATCGAGCAATCCCAATCTGTCGACGAGTGCTGCACCCTTGAAGACTGCAACCCCCTCAAACCGTAACTTCATCTCGACGAGCGCTGCTCCATCGCATGTCCCAGTGGTAGGAGACAGCTGCGCTGCAACTGCTTGAGTCTGTTGTACCGCTGGTGCTGTATCGATATTGGTCCGCTGTGGGACCAGAGAACACCCTCTGGTGGAAGGTCTCGATTTGCTGTAAATGGTTCACATTTTCTGGAAAATGTGATCGTGATTCATCCGTCTATTACCTCTTCGCTTGTTTTCTTTCGTTATCAACATAGATTAGGTTGGAGACCTGTCTGTATTTCCAGCGATGTACGCAATTTGGGCCTCTAAACAATATGTATATGACATCTTTCCGCATACCTATACCTTATTATTCCTTACGGCGAGTCAACTTGAGGATTAGCTGATCGCCTCCCTCCATTGACTTAGCAAGTCCAACAAGCCTTGGAAAGTAACTGATTTGCCATTGGTAAGACTGGAGATCCACCGTTATTGATCCCTGTCTCTTTGGACTAATAAAAGACGGCGAAAAGAAATAGTTAGGGCAAGGCGTGATTTATAACGGCAGGAACCGACGACAAAAGGACGAACCGACTAAAATGCGACCAGGATCCTGTGCCTTTTCTTCTCTTTCTTTCTTTCTTTCTTTCTTTCTTTCTTTCCTTTTTTTTTTTTTTTTTTTTTTTCGTCTGCGTCAATTCCTCTTTTCTCTGTATTTCACTTTCCATTAATCTTCTACTCCGTACCAACCCATTACCATGTTTCTGCTGCTGCTCGAAACCCTAGCCTTAGCCTATGTGGCCTGGAGTTTGGTAGCTATGGAGATCAACTACCGCCGCGCGTGCACCATGAGGATCCCTCTCGTGCGGCTCTGTATCGACCCCCAGAATCTCCTTTGGGTCATTATGGAGCCCCATCTCTGGCCCTGGCTCGACCGGCTTCCCATCAACTGGGGTAATTTTGGTCGCTACTCTCGTCGTGGATGGTACTTTGCCGACCGGGGCGAGTCGCATCGCCGCTACGGTCCGATCTGGGCGCTGGTCACTCCCAAGGGAATTTACATCAATGTCGCCAATTCAGAAGCAATCCATGACATCTTCCGACGGCGGACAGATTTTATCCGCCCAGTAGAACAGTACAGTATGTCTTTTATCGACCATGGCGTATCTATAACCCTGGTGCCTAATTATTGTACGACATTGCAGCGGTACTCGAAGTCTATGGACCATGTATCTCCACAGCCAATACAACCGACTGGCCACGCCATCGAAAAGTGCTTGCTACTCCCTTCAACGAGAGTGCCATGTCCTTTGTATGGGATGAAAGCGTTGAGCAGAGTCGCCAGATGCTTGACATCTGGGCCTCTCCAGACCTCGATAAGATCTCCAGCGTCGCGAGGGATACCCGCACACTCTCATTGAATGTCCTCGCTGCTATAGGATTTCGGAAATCGTATCCTTTCCAGAGTGCTAGTGAGAGCTGCTACCGGGCAGAAGGTGAGTCTGTAAGCTATCGGGATGCCCTGCAGACTGTGCTCGATAATGCCATCTTGTTGATGATTATGCCGCGGCGATTCCTCTCTCTTTCATTTGCCCCGGAATCATGGAATCAGCTGGCCAAAGCCGCGGCGGACTTTCAGCGGCACATGGTGCGTATGCTGGACGAGGAAGTACAGGCGTGGAACGAGGGACAAGCTGGCTCGGGTGGTCTTATGACGTCGTTTGTGCGCGCCATGAATCTCAAGCGGCACGACGCAGGGGATAAAACCAAGGATGTGCCACTACAAGGATTGACTACCGACGAGATCTTTGGCAACATCTTTGTAATCAACTTCGCGGGACACGATACAACGGCTAATACGCTGAGTTTTGCACTCCTTCTCTTGGCCGCGTACCCGGAGGTGCAAGACTGGGTTGCCGAGGAGCTCCTGTTGTTGACGGACACCAAGGGTCGATATGCTGACCTTTTCCCCAAGCTCAGTCGCTGTCGAGCTGTCATGGTATGGCTACCTTTCTCTGATAGAAAGAAGTTTATTTGAATACTCATCCGGACAGCTTGAAACCCTCCGTCTCTACCCCCCGATCCCCTCCCTGCCCAAATGGACCAACGACCAGCCCCAACCACTGAAAGTCGGCGATAGAACTATAATAATCCCACCAAAAGTAGGAATCAATCCCAGTCTTCTCACAATGCACATCGATCCTCAGAGCTGGGAAAATCCCCTGGAATGGAAACCTTCACGATGGATCGCACCCACCAAGTTGGACACGGCGAATTCGATTGGGAAGGAGGAGCTTATCACTCCGGTGCGGTGCACGTACTTCCCCTGGTCAGACGGACCACAGAATTGCCCCGGTAATAAATTCTCACAGGTGGAGTTTGTAGCGGTCATTGCGAGTCTTTTCCGAAATCACCGGATCAGTCCCGTCGCGAACGCAGGAGAAACAGCCCAGCAGACGCGCGAGAGGGTTCTGGCTACTACGAGAGATGTTGATCTGCAGCTGCTTCTACGGATGAAAGATGCAGAGCAGGTACACTTGAAATGTCGGCGGGTCTAAGAGGCAACTTACCATTTTTTTGTAACCTAGGGAAACATGTACTATTGCAAGAAGGATAGAACATTCACTCCAGGATTGAATAGCCTTATGGACAGTAGATCCTGCCTCTTCTGTAAGCTGTTCTCTAGGACTGATTGTAGAATTTGCGTGACTCGCCCGAACTATACAAATGATCATGGCCAATGTGTTAGTTTTTCCTCGTAAACCTGCCTTGTGCTAACTTATAAGTGGAGATAGATCACGATCAAAATGATATTCATCCTAATGCACATCCTCATGCTTCATGTATTTGTGTCGACTATCGCATAAAAATGCATACTAGCATCAACCTACCTTTCCCCCGAAGTTTCGCAATCAAAAGCAGCCAGGCTCTCGTAACCCCATTGTAGGATATGAAGCAACTCGCTGGCAGGTGGCGAGGTGGACTTAGAAGGACAAATATAAAGGCGTCTTGAATTAAGAGATTGTACACAGAATTTATGTCCCTTGCAAATTGTATGCACATATGTCGATGTTATGTACTGCTCCGCTTCTTGCTACTCTAGCGTCCTCTATTCGAACTATACAAATATTACATAGACTAGTGTTTTCGCAACTCATAGGACCCTGGGGACACCATTGAGCCTTTGGTCCGTGTGCGCTCCTGGAAGCGAACGATGGGCTTCAGGTCTCCTTTACGGACGTGGGGGGGGGGGGCATCCCTTTGTATGCTTCGAGGTCTATAACTTGCAGCATCGAAACCAAGGACTTCCTCTAATGTAGACGCTGGTTGAATCCCCGCCGGTAACCAGGTCGGGTCTCTGCCATCTTTTATGCACAACGGACTACCTCCATCATTTACCCTCCTAGGCAAATTACGCTATCACATCTGCCCCGCAAACACGCTGCTCACAATCCCGAAGCCACTCTGCCACGGTGGTTGAAAGAGCCGAGCCAATCACCGTTGTCTCTACAAAATATTAGATGTCTTGTCAACCATATAGAGGAAGTTGACTAGACCTGTTTCAGGGTCCAACCCAAGGCTCTCAAGTTCTAGGGGTAAAGCTGTTTGGCGAAGCTCCGTGTCCGCCGAAGGATGCGATCGGTGATGAGTGCGGTATTGGACGAGATGCTGCGGAGTGTCCGGCGCGTAATGACAGCCAATAGAAGTACGTATAGTTGTAGGCGAAAATGTCCATGCCAGGTATATTCCGAGACCGATCACCTTTTCTTTGTAAACACACACACAAAAAAAAAAAAACAAACAAACAAACAAACAAACAGAGATAACAAAGAATAAAAAAGAAAAAACAATGGAAGAAAGAGGAGGGAAAGGTACGCATTAAACAAAAGGCCCAGAACACTCGTGGACGCATCAAGCAACCGCAAACCCATAACTTACCATCATACTTCAAGTGGACATTTGCAGAAAATGCAGATCTACCTCGACAGATGTAAAGGATAAGGAGGATAATTATCTGGGAGTTAAGAGGGATATAGAAGTAGAACCCCCGGATAGAACCATCGGATGGGTGCCGGGGACTAAATCTAGCTTACGGTCAACTAAGAAATTTTACCGAGTATACCAGTGGAGACGAACTATTATAGATTCAAGTAGAGTCCACTAATAATTAGTAGTGATTGATTCAACCTGTAGACTAGAAAGAATAATATAAGTAAAGAGTATGTCCCGTTAGGAGCAGTGCAAGCTAAAAGAGCCGGTCCTATTAGGTATGTATACTCAACAGTTGAATAAAACAATCAAGCTGAGCTGATATGAAACTGACTATATTTATTAAACACTCTATACTACTAGTATCCTAATTATGAATGACTAAACCAAGTAGGTTAATAAGCGTCCTTATATATTCTATTCTACTGCATCGCTGCTGAGCCTGTTGGCGCCTCGAAATGGCTTCATGGAAATATTACTGTAGAGTAAAAGTAATAACTCATAAAGTGACAAACCATCACGGTCACAACTATAAACTTTACGCTGGCTCCACAAGACACTTATATAGGTCATCATGTTGGTTATTCGCTGACACCTTGCTACTCCTCATCCCCGTGTACATACGAGAATACATCGTTTCCTCTATCGAGATATATTCACTGGTGGGCGAAACATCACCGAGCCTTCTTGCAATGCTCCTCACCTTTCTCAATGACTCTGCCTTGCCCAAATCGAAACCGTGAATGGGAACAACTTGACTTCGTATCTCCACCGAGTTCTCAAAAGCCATGAGAGCCGAATAGAAGAGCCCTTGAGCTTCTTGTGCACGACCGAGTAAATAGAAGGTCAACATGGCATCAAGGTTCAATTGTCGCATTTGTGAGTAATCAAAGTGCGTTCCAAGAGCGTATATGCGAATACATGTGGCGTACCAAAGATTCCATGTCTCTGTACATTTGCTCTTGAAGAAGGGATTGCATAGCAGTGTGCGATATCTGGAATGTCTCGTGGCTGTACTCTCCTAACTCACCGTCCACCTTTATGAGAACTTGTTTCATTGTGCTCAAATCTACCCCTTTGAAAAAGTCAAAAAACCCAGCCGGGTCAACTCTTGGAAAGCTAGCCTGATTGCATGAATACCAAGCCTTAACATTGTCTAGCCCAGTTCTCGACTTCCATATATGTCGACAATAAACATCGAATGATAAATATAGATGGCCAGTCGCGTCCAGAGGCAACGTTGTTAGGGACTCGAACATGGCTCTCCGGGGATCGCTTTGCGATAGGCGTGCTCGTGCCAAGGTTTGTCAAATCGACCCTCAGATTATCGTTCCTTGCATAAAGGCCTCGATTGTCCGGTGCCCATCTGCCTGATTCGAAACAGGAACTCAAAGTGAATCCGAGTATAAAATAAAAGTCGCTGAAAACTCTTGAACTTTTCGGGTTGCGCCAGAGCTGTGAATTCAAAAGAAAGATGGATGTATTTTGGCTTGTAATTTGGTGTTACAGATGCATAGACATCTCTTTTCTTCCTCTGGTACGATTTCCCAAGGTCCAGGTTGTCCAAGAGTATGTTATTCTTTAGAACCAAACAATCCCAGGAAGTTAATCTTGAGCCAAGATAATTCTTGATTTCAAGTACTTCCTCGCGAAGATTCTTCTTGATACCACGGGCGCCTAACTTGTCTATTAACTGATCAATCCTAATGGCTTGTCAGCACTACGAAATGATTATATATACTACCCACTCTTCATCACTTACGTGAGTTGTGGTTCATATCCCAATTGGCGTTGTTCATGGTGTATGTATTGTTGAATTTGATGGAATCCCTGGCCTTCAAGAATCAAGTAGAGCCGTATAATTTCCCAGGGGTTATCGTAAAGGAGCTTGTCGGTAACTCTAGACAAAGCCAGGACCAATCGCTTGAAGGAGGTTTGTTTGAAAAGATGGTAATTGTCTCTCTGGGGCTGGATTTCTTGTCAGAGTAAAGCCAGCCCGAATCATGGGGTGGGTTTATACAATGAGTTATAGATGTTTGCACAACAGCAGGAGTATGCCTTCTCTGGGACAGTTATCAATACACCACTATAGAGAGAATAGCAGAGAAGAATGTCCGACGAAAGGCGCAGCCGACGGGTCTTGGTCCCATGGAGTAGATTCGATGGGTAGATATTACCTTGCCAAGACTAACCCCCGACATTCCTGACGTGGCATACCGCAGCCGTAGGTTTTATTTCCTCCCCTCAGATCTTCGCATAGGTCAGGCTTGCCAGTCCTATTCGTCCCGTCAGCTACACTGCAGACTCGGCCATTGCTAGTTCCAATCAGATGACCGGCTACTGCACAGTTTTGTTCGCTTCTGTTAGGAGCTAGCCATATTGAACTCTAGTGCAGTCTGTTTCGCCTGTGCTTTGAGGCCCAGAGTAGGGCACTTCCCTGTTGGGAGGGTATCCCTTAAAGGCAATAAATTCCTATCGGATATGCCCTCAACGCGCTCGACTTCGGTTCCGATCAACAATTGTTGATCACTTTGATGCGTATCTCGACCCGGTCATTGATTGCATTCGGTCAAACTCCCCTGAATCCTTCCATCAAGAAACAACACTCGCTCTGAGAGGAAGTCTGGTCTTTCTTCAGCAACTGTTGCAGATCTCTGGCCAGGAAAACAGCGTTGTATATCTACGATATGACTATGAAGTCTCATTAGGACTAACTCCTTTACTCGCCCAACCCAGGAAGGGGTTCCTCCACCGGGGCTCCCCATGCATCACGAAGATGCTACAGCCACACTGCGACTGAAAGAGGCGGAAAGCGTCTTTGATGGCGTTGGCGGGGCCATTGCACGTGGTGCCATCTTTGATGGGGGCATAGGACTGCTTGGTCAGGCTTTAGGCCAAACTGGGCCGTTATTTGAGAGAATGTTTGTTCTTGATACTGCTCCAGGTATGAATATGGGTTTCGCAGCGGAATCCCTCTCTGGAGCGGCAGATCCCCTATGCAATTTAATGCCAGGACCCTCATCGGAAGAAAGAGCGGCATACCTGATCGAATTCATTGCTGGGATACAACACCACATTAACTGCGTTTCACAGCGTGCAACAAACAATGGGGTGGGGCTCAGCTACGTGGTCGAGCTAGGGATTCATCACCGCCTCGCTGCGAATGCTGCCGGAGCTGCAGGAACAAACAACAATACTGTCTGGAATCGATGGGAGTCGAGAACTGGGGTTTAGGAGGATTGATGTCCAAGCTCCTGTTGTCCCAGTTTGCGCGGAGCATTATCTAGACAAGATGGCTTGTGTGAGCATCAGGGTTTAGGAATTTATGCGGTAGAGCTAGCCTAGCTGTAAAGGAGGCAGAGACCAAGTCCTTCCTGATTTTCCTAGAGTATGTTGTGGGACTAGAGCTGGTTTACTCTAATAAATTCAATATTATATATACTGTAGAGTACATTAAAAAACCAAGCTTAAGCACGTAGGAAGGCTCTTACGGGGGTTAGAAATTAAAAGTCACGTGAAACAACAAAGGAGCTGCCGTGTGCGCCTCCAACCCTGAACCCACAGCCACGAAATCCTGAACCCTGGAACCTGACAGTCCATACAAGTTCCTGGGATCAGTGAGAGACCTGCCTATATAGGCCTAGCCTAGAATCTTATATAACATGTTCGAAGCTTCAAGTTGGGATTTCTATTACATATATGTGGAGATTTGACGCACAACGCTTTGGTCTTCTTCTATGATAGTCAGCAGATTTCGAGTTGTTCTGAAAGGAAAAGAGGAGCTGTATGAAGAGGAGATGAGGAGCCCGCAAATAGCCAGTAGCGTCGAGCATCCTGATACCCTGGTCACCCTGCGTTATGTTGCTTTTTTTGGAAAGACACTAGAGGAGGGCGGGGTAGAAGGATCGCGAGGCTGTGATCGTCGTCGATGCACCGCAAGGACATGGCACACCGAGGAGAATCCTTCAAATCTTTCTCACCACCATTGTGAGGAGATCATACTCAGACAGAGTTGCAACGTGTACCATACTCTTCGCATTTTATATAACCGACGCGTGATATCCCCCTCGGATTCCAATGGGGTCAGAGGTCAGGCCCATCTCCTCCAGGGGACGGCAACTTCTGGACGACCTTGAGACGCTGGAGGGTCACTGGTCTGGAAAGGGGCGCGAACTCTCCTACAACCGTACGGAAGAGCCCCCCCTGGCTATTGGGTCGGACGCCATCGGTCACGGCGGCGCAGGAAGAGTGGTGAAGGCGATCTGGACCCATCCGAATAATAATGCAGAGATTGCTTTCGCCAGGAAGAGTGTCATGCCCTCGGCATCATTCCCCAAGAAGAATATCGACAGAGAAATTAAGTTGCTGAAGAAGCTTGATCATCGCCATATTGTCTCCTTTGTGGGATCCTACGATCAAGATCACACCACACACATCTTGCTGTTCCCTTGTGCCACGTGTGACCTGTCGGCCTTACTACGCGAGTTAGACAACTGTCAGGCAGGGTTATCCCCACCTAAGTATTTGTACGAGCTGGGATGGATCCACAGAGTGGACGGTGACAATCTGAAGTCACTCCCGAGAGTGGTCGGCTCTCGCCTGGAACAAGTTTATGGATGCATTACGAGTGCCATCCTCTACATCCATAACAGGAAGATTCGACACAAGGACATCAAACCTAGTAACATTCTAGTCGACCGCAACTCGTTCTACCTCACTGACTTCAATGTGTCCGAGGATTTCGAGGACAGGGACTCGACGGTGACCGCAAGGACCCGGTTTGATGGGACTGAGATCTATGCAGCGCCCGAAGAATTGAGCGGGGAGAATCGGAGTCGCAAGTCTGACATCTACTCTCTGGGTCTGGTCTTCTTGGAAGTCTTCACATTTCTGATGGGTCGTTCGCGGAAAAACATGGAAGACACCATCGGTACCACAAGCGACTTAGGGAAGTGGAGAATGAAGCTGGGGAGCGACAGATGTCATCGGACCTACACTTGTTCCCGATTAGCCTGGGCGACAATGGTGGTACCGCCGACCGCAGCAGGCAAGATATTAGGCATCCGAGACTTGATCCTAGGTATGTTAGCGATGGACCCGGCTCATCGCCCGAGCGCTTACGAAGTCGCCTCCCAACTCGCGACGATGGATCCCGAGGTCGACTGCATGGGGAGTGCTGTCGCCGCTACAAAGACGGTGTAGGCTTCAAGGCCCTTTTGGAGAGGTATGACCAACTGAATGAAGAGCATGAGAAACTCTCTACCGCCTATGAGAGCGTCAAGGCCGCGAACAAGGAACTCACTTACGACTATGATAGCGTCAGTAAGTTCTCCATCATTGATGATGCCTTGGGGCTAGATGTCGTGAATCAAGTAGTAATCATCGTGAAGAAAGAGACCTGGAAGAGTGCCAGAGCCAGAATAGGAACATCGCCGCCGAGCTGAAGGAGTTGAAGGAAAAAATGACGATGGGGCAGACAAGTGCACCGCAGCCCTCGCCCAACCCATGGTACTCGCCTGACACTGCCACACGCCTCTCCATGTCTCGAAGCAAGTCAAGTCTAAGCATGGGAACTCCTCCACCAGAGGCTCCTCATCATTCCCACGGAAAACCAGAGACCATTTTCCTGAACCGAAACCGCGAGCGATTGGACATAGAGGCTATTAAACATGGCCGGAACTGGGATGACACTACAAAAGAACGTTATAACTACGTCAAGGGTCTGAACCTGTGTCGATTTTACTTTCTCGATCCACGTGGCTGCCGCAATCCGAATTGTGAATTTAAACACCAGAAGGATTACTCGGCGTCGGATAATGAGCTATTTATGCTTCGGATGTTGACTCGTAATAAGCCATGCGAAAACGGCACCCAGTGCACTAATAAAGATTGTTTGTTTGGTCACCATTGTCTTGAGAAGGAATATCCTTGCCGCTTCTCACGCAATGGCAAGTGCGGATTTCCAGAGTTTATGCACATAAGGGATTTTGAGCCGGTCAGTACAATGGTCTGAGGGAGGTGGTTTGGTCCTAAGGGGATGGACAGAGAGGATGATGTTTCTTCTCCTACAGTGGTCCCTAGGTATTGCTTTCCGTATTCTGTTTATATTTATTCACACTATGATTGTATCACTGGTAGAATGCGACTCTCTTATTGGTAGCAACCTATACTCCTTCGTACACGATGCTACGGGTTTAGACCGAGACTTGAATATTGTGGAGCTTCTCGAGGACCATCATTTCAAAGTTGGTCATCAGATGAAGAGCTCCCTCAGTACTGGTCTCCTCCACACCGTCAGCTCCAAGGCTGGTCCACCCTTGAAGGCAAGTCCGGACGACGTCTTCGTAAGCTCGACCTACGGCGAAGCCGATATCTTGGAGCCAACGAGGTTCTCGAAAAAGGGTATCACGGACTTCCCAAGGCCGTACCGCGCTGCCCCGGAGGATTTCTCGCAAGGGTTTCCAGTGCGCAATCTCGATCAGGATTATGCCGAGGGAATACACATCGAAGGTGGCGCGGAATGGTTTTCTACCTTCATCTTTGAATCCAGTCAGCGTGTCTGGGTGCTGATAGTACTCCAGCCCTTCCTTCGCCCCTGCCACTTGGCTCATCTGGTCCTGGCCAGATGGACGGGCATCATCAAATCCCGAAACATAGGGCGTGCTGTATTCCACGCCTTCATTCGGTTCCTCGAAGAATAAAATATTGTCCGAGCGAAGAGCCTTATGCAACCAGCCCACGGTGTGAAGATAATACAACGTTTGAGCCACTGCGCGGGCCAGTTCGATTCGGTCGGCTAAGTCTGGACGTTGGGGGTCTCTAAATAGGCTCAAAAGCGTCCGGACCCGAGCATCCGTTGTGGCGCCTTTGGGATACTTGTACAGCAAGCAGAACCGATCAGAACGTGGGTGGTCATCCACATATCCAATACACTGAGGGACCTGGATCGCGTAAGAATCTTCCTCCGCCAGAAGGTCCACAAGTTCTTGGATGATAAATCTCTCGATCTCTTCTTTCGTGGGTCCCTGACTGGTGTTCCCGGTTGGATAATTCTTCCATTCCACCCAAAACCCGTTCCGATCTTCATAACGGGCCATCCAGCGCTCATCCTGGTCGATCAGATCAAGTAAATCAACGGAATCCTTTGACAATTGTGATTTGGGATGAAACGACGACTTGGCCTGGCGCTCCTTCATGGCAGCCTTGAAGTGCGCCAAGCGAGTCAAGGTGAACCCCTTCTCAGCACTGGAGAGGGCGTGGAACAATTGTCCCAGCTTGTCCACGCTATTATGGACCAGGACGAGCTCCGCATACACTAAATTTACTTTGCGGAGGATTTCCCGCTGCGTCCTTTCACTCGTGAGACTGATCAGATTATCAATGGTGGTGGTCAGGCTGTGGAGGCAGGATGTCATACGATCCCCTCTGATTGTGGCCCACGATAGTTTGCTGCTAAGTCTTTTCTGCTCGAGCTCCACTTGTCTCAACCAGTGGTTCAGCGACTTCTCGTTCGTTTCTTGTTCAGCTGTGAGACGGGCTACCTCTTTCGCCTTGGTTATTTGGGGCTTGAGGAGTTGCTGGATTTCAGAACGAAGACTTTCCAGAAGGTCCTGGGCTACCCACCGGTCTTGTTGGCCGATGGAGGTACGCCACTCGTCCCCAGCTGCAGGGGCTTGAAGCAGACCGACTCCTTGCCCCCAACTCATCAACCGCCCTTCTTGCAGTTGAAACCCCAACAGGACTTGTTCGAAATCTTTCGGTGCATCTTGGATCGAACGAATGATTTTAATTGCTAGCGTTCAGTCGCAATTAGTCCGATTCTCTGGTAATCCATTCTTTCATTTGATTTGGAAGTGACTGGGAGCGGCTGTTTTCTGGAGACTGAACGACTATACCTTTGATTGCTCCAGCGAAAACCTGCCCAAAGAGCCCGACAGCTCCAATTACGAGTCCTGCTGTCTCCATTTCACATGAACTCACTCAGTGGAAAGTTGGATAGAAGAGAGGGATTTTCTTACAATATTACCGGGGGCTTTAACATGGACCTAAGATGTTCATTGATTCTAACAGAAAAATTTGGAGTGGGGGAATCGATTTCAGCCTTGCCTTCGGTCTACCAAGCCCCCGCACGTTCCTCTTTGCCCTGCAAACCTCAACACCATGGCTGCTGGGGAGGATCTGCGCTGAGACCCAAGAATGCTTCTGATTGGGCACCACTAACCTCTAGCCTAATCTTAGATCCCCTTTAATGAGCTGGATACCGAGGCCCAAGGCCAGTCAGTTGGTGACTTAACTTGCTATGCTGCCTTACACCTCGATAATGATTCTTGGGCCAGCGGCCCAGCATGAATACAAACCTGTAGGACTCTCGAGACATTCGCATTCACATTCATAAATTACAACACTCTTACAAATATACGTATTTGTAAGACACCATACGTGATGATTCAACTCGATTCCGTTACAGCCCAGCCCAGCCACCCTGAAGGCAGGTATGTGGCTTGTGTTCTAATCACGACCACTAGCTGGTATTGTAGAGATAGACCTTAGAACTCGAGTTTGGGTCGGGTCTGGTTTTTGATAGGCTATTTTGTCCACGTCCTTGAACCGGCGCTAATGTAACTGTTGATGCCTCAGGCATGAATTACACCGCCGCCAACAGCGCGACTAGACTTGATATCAGGTTGGGGCCCCCGAATTTGTATTAGAGTTCTTGAAATATCTTATACGATTCCTTTGTATGTCAATCTCTAATTATTGTTGAGCTATTAGACTAGCTTTGGTTGACATAGGAATCGGGTGAGTCCATCTACAAATATATTTGAATTTGGCTGTGCTTAGTTGTAAGACACAGGTGGGTGGGTGACCTTAAGGGCTATTCAGTGCGCTACGTAGTAGGTTCTGGGTCCGCAAAATCTATCTCGTGGGTGATATTGCTCTTGTGTTAAATAGCCTTGTTTCACCTGACTCCTAGATTAGGTGCCTTACAAGATATCTAGTCCAGCTTTTAATGAAGAACATTGGAGCCATTTTCTTAGAGTTTTCGATGCTGTAACTAGTACTTATATCACATCAGCTACTAAGGACAATCAGCTGGATATCTTGGGGGACAGCTTATATTTGGCCGGCTCTTCAACTGTTAGTACAGAAAATGGATGTTTACTATCGTACTTCTCTGGTAGGTCATGATCCTGATTACGGTTCAGGCTTCGTCGGTCATGGGTATTGCTTTCAGTGAGTGAACAGGTCCGTCCTCTCGTAGGCACCCGATGCCGAAGCCCCCTATAAAAATTTGTTCGCAGCTGTTTAATCGATATCAGAAACAAGGAAGCAACATTACCTTTAATGCATGTTCCATACGAACAGAATGTTCTCCGTCAGCAACAAGTGACAGATCGCGGAAGCAATTTCTCATATTTTTCAATGCTCAACGTTCGGAATGGAGTTCTTTCCTTTCCCTCTCGCTCTTTCTATCTGAGTAATAAGAGTCCGTCAAGTCTTATCAAAGTTTCCAACATCTTGTTACTTCTCGGTTGCATTTAAATTTGCGAGTACGATACCGACGAAGTCGTTCTTCCTTCGGGATAGCTAAATATCCAAGACAGGTGCAGCCATCCTGCATACCGTCCCTGTTTATACGAATGGAAAGATCAATCACCGAACAAACAAATAGGACTTGGACTTATCAATTACACGTAACTCATCACTTTTGTGCTACTTTGATAACTCGAATACATAAAGTAAGGCGGAAACAGGATCAGACAGTACACAGAAGGCTCTTAATGTTCAGAATAATCCCCTCTATACTGCAGGAGAAAGGGGAAATTTCATCGGATTAGTGGTGAAGTAGTCGTCGTTGGGATTGGCGAGGTTGTTGAGATCAACAAATGCGGCTGTCGCACTCGGATCCACCGGTTGCTGGAAGTTTGCATTCCCATTGCCTGAGCTGTCCGTGATCAATGTGGTGCTGGGAATATCATAGCAAGGCGACGGCATCGGAGCCTGAATTAGCCGGACCTTATAGGTAGCGCTAGGCGTTGCACCCTGTAATACAACCGCTGCGACCACTTTGCCGGATGCCGGTTTAACGAGGTTGGCAAAGCCAAATGCTTCAGTTAATTCAGTAGGAGAAGCAAGTGAGCCATCGCAATTTCGGTTGGTGCGTGTTAAGGAAATCTTCTGCGCAGGTATCGCGGCGGCTGAGACGGTCGCACCTATCATAGCCAACATAACAGACAACTCCAGTAGTTGTTTCATAGTGAAGTTTATGGTTTGTGATTGATTTGATGGTATTCTAGTTTGCGACAGATAGGGGTTACCTATGTCAGATAGGTGAAGTAAAGCCGCGGGATAGTGGGACAATTTATATCTTCACTACACGGTTATGTGATGCACTCCGACGGTACCGACGACAAGCACAAACACCATGACAGGTCCAGTGAATGTAGACTTTCGAATAGGTATCCTCAAGCGATTGCAGTACGTACACGGTCTAGAGGAGACAGGTCTAGAACTGGGAGCAATCCTTATTTGCCACAGCGCCGATATTTGTCTACGTGGTTGGTATATCCTCCCAGGCTAGAACATTTCTAACAAACTTATTCGGGGGTCAGATAAATTTGAAACTTCATGAAAATAATCGCCACACCATTCGGGTTGAATCCCGTTGAGCATCTGATCATCTCGAAACATGGGAGCTGGAAACTTTCTTGATATATACAATATCATAGCCAAAGCGCGCGTACTAACAAGCAGCCTGGGGCCCTTGATTGATATATAAGGGTTAACGGCTCTTGTGACTAGAGTGATGTGTGGCTAGCTTAGGTTATGTGAATGGGGTCAGTTATATCTAACCTGCAACTGTTGTTGCCTGAGGCAACAATTAGATGGTTCCCCCCAACCCGGCTCTGGGTCGGGACTCGGGTGAGAGTCCTAGTCTACAGGAGTGGGTGTCCTGCTATAGCAAGTGATTTGAACACAATTGAAACGGGTAGAGTGGTATTTAGACTGCGGCAACCTTTCTCAACATCTATGGATATCTATGTTAGGCCTCACCATGGGTCGGGTTTTGCAGGGAACCCGCGCCACTCTATTTAGATATCGAAATCAGAGTAGAAAGGCTACCTTAAATACCATATAGAGCAAGTAAGTAAAAAAAGGTTCAACGAAAGAAGGAAAAGGAAAGAAACTAAAGAGGTAGAAACTTATTGGAGAAGGATAAATTCCCAATTGGGACGGCCTAGAAATGTTGACGCAGAACCTGCTGTTCCATTATTAAGATGTGAAGGGTCTGGACACAGACAAGGTACTCAGTAACCCCTTGCTAATTGAACGAAGCTTCTACGAGAAAGGTACTCCACTATAAACAGCGTTTTTCTGCCAAAATAATCGGATGATATCTGTCAGGTTACCAGGACTGACTTCTTTGCTTCATTGTCCCAGTAAAGGCGACCTGCCCCATTTTTTTTAGAAGCCATGTCACTTCGCGGTCATTCGATTGAAAGTCTCCCAAGTACTACAATACGGAACAGAGAGGGGGTCGGTTAGCATTTCCGGCCAATTGAAAGTTAAGACACTGAGATGCTATGCTGGTTGGCGCTGTAGTTGGCCAGGACTGGCGTCGTTGTGCAGAAGAACAAAGCCAGCATAGCCTCGGTATCCGTACAAACATAATCGTAACTTGGCGACAGTGAGTTTGGTCTGTTGACATGCCTTAAGAAATCCTGCCAGGCTCATGGAAACACTTTTCCAAGCGTTCCGTCCCAAGCCTTCTCTTTGCTGCCATGAGCGATCCCTTTGTCCTGGTAGCAAAAAGGAGAGCACTGATGGCTCAGTAGACTATTTAGCATGTCATCTAGAGTAGAATGGTAGTATGCCGGTCGATTCCCATGGCAAGGCCAGGTAATGCACCCAATAATACCACGCAGATATGCCTCCACGTTTCTCTGACAGTGTCAGAGTTCCTACCATTGGAGGAAGAATAGGAGCTAAGAAAGATGTGATGCCTCCCCCACACGTCCAGTCCATTGCGTTGCAAAATGAAATTCGTTGGCGGGGGGTATTAGACTTTATCTACTAGATACTTTAAACCACCAGAAATCGAGGCATAATAATAAATAGTTGTGGTTGAATTGCTTCATATTGGTCATCGTAGTTGGAGACAATTACGTGGTATTGCACCACCTGGACTTCGTCCTCCCAGGTGCCGTTTTAAAACCTCAATATCTCAACAGAATTATGAGCGCTTGAGCTTAAGAAAGTTGTTTGGATTACAAAGCTCAGTATTTAGTATCCTATTCACCTTTCATAAACTCAAGTTGCTGGTCCACTACATCTCGCACCATCTGGTCCCAAGAGCGCCATTGCATTCCCAACTCAGCTTCTGCCTTACCACTGTCCGTTGAGAGAAACTCTTCCTCAATGTCCACTGTGATCTTTGCCCCGAGTCCTGGATATTCCCGCTGAATTAGATTCGCTACCTCTTTCCAGTTCCCGCCCTTCCCCGAAAGCAGATACCTCGATCCGTCCGGGATGGCTGGATCCAGGGCTTTGATGTGTGCCTCGACAACATCATCGATATGCACACCGGGAACCTGGGAGTAAGAATAATGAGGGATGCCTGCCATGATAGCATACCAGAGAAGGCCGTTCGAGGATTCCTCAATCTCCTTGGCAGCTGTCTGCGTGGGGTTACGTCCATACACGAACACGGGATGGAGCGTTACCAAGGCATACTGCGGCTTTGCGGCTTTGCGGAATTCACATGCGGTTCGATTGGCGAGCAACTTGGATGCATGGTACAACCGCATAGGTATTCCTCGTGGGTCATTAGAGGCTGTGAAGTCTTCGGCCTCGTCGACGTTAAAGTCCCAGTCATTGTCCTCTAGGATAAGGTCAGACCATTGACGAGATAGGAAAGGAAACCCACGAATGCTCACCTTTGACGACGCCACCAGGCGGTATTCCGTCAAGTGGTATCAAGGCCGCAATGGATGAGGTGATCACGACTTTCTTGATGCTTGGCACGCGAGCAGCCTCCTTGAGCAAGGCGGTCGTTACTTTTACAGCTGGAGTGAAATAGTACTCCTTATCTGTTCCACTAGGAAGAGGATGTGCAAGATGGATGACATAGTCTGCTCCATCCAGATGTCCTCTGAACAGGGCTTCATCTGTCCAATCTGAAACAGTAACGAATTCCACCTGTTCGTTATATCCGGACAGTAGAGCCCGTAACCTGTCCGAGTGCTTTCGAAGACAGATTCGCAATCGGTATCCCCCTTTAACTGCTGCGATAGCGGTGGCACTGCCAACAAAACCTGTTGCGCCGGTGATGAAGATCAATTCACGCGCCATGCTGTGTGAAGCTCGAATCCTAAGAACTTATATGGTATGGAATAACCAGGGGCTTCATTTATCCTTGTGCATGGATTCAGTCCGAAAACTACCACAGTTTTTATCTCCGATCCAGTTCAAGGGCCCCACGGGAGTCTTGGGGATGGCCGATCTATAATCTTAAACCCCCCCCCCCCCATTTAAACCCTTTCGGGAAAGTGATCCACTGGCTGGAGCTGGCGATATTGCTCCGGATCCATCATGTGCAAAAGACGTGAGGCTTATGTTCCGTAGCCGGGGCGCCGGATCCCGCTCCCCTTTGCATCAGACCGCGGCCGTGCTCGCCGTCTTCCAGGGATCATTCTGGCCCCCGCTGCTCGATACTGCTCTTCTTGCCTAGACTGGTAGGGTATACGTTGACCATCTGATGACGAATGATTGGATGGCCTTTTCAGGTCTCAATGTAGTATTAGACATCTATATCCATAAAATTCGCAATGACTCGCGTGGACCCATGAAAGTCTGATGGGCTGAAAGGAACCCAGAGAGAAGTAAAGCAACACAGAGGAATCCCCCACCCACTTTCACCATCCTGCCAATGGAGTGAACTTAGCTAAGACGCCATCCTTCGGTGCAATAGTCGCTCCTTCTCGCACCTCTAGTGGAGCATCCGGGTATCTTAATTCGAACGAAAAGCTACCAACCACCGCAGCGAGGAGACATGCCAATTCAGCCTTGGCGAATCCCTGTCCAATGCAACTACGCGGGCCATGAAGGAAGCTTAAGAACGCGTAGTTGCTGGTTGCGCCACCTGTGTTGGCCTTACCAGGCCCCATCCATCGATCTGGGTTGAACTGTTCTGCATCCGTGCCCCACAGTGCCGGCATATGATTTACAAGTTCTGGCGAAATAACGACTTGGGTACCCTTAGGAATAGGCTTTCCCATCAGCGTGGTGTCCTTTAGTGCCACACGGACAGTGTTTGGCACGGACGGGTGGAAGCGAATGACTTCATTGCAGACCGCATTGAGATATTGGAGGCTATCAATGGTAGCAGCATCGATTGGACCGGGGGTTTCCACATTGATGGGTGGCAGGTTGGCGCGGATTTCGCTGCGCAGGCGGACCTGGACATCTGGATGCTTGCAAAGCGCATATATAGCCCATTGAAGAGCCCCGGCGGTCGTCTCGTGGCCGGCGCCTAGGAAGGTCATGAGTTGGTCAACGAGGTTCTCATCGTCAAAGTTGCCACTTCGCATTGCAACGGAAATGATGTCGACCTGTGTCTCCGCATTTGGATTTTCCATCTTTACCTTCTGCTCGCGGATCATCCGCCGCGTGGCATCACGGATATTGCGGCAGCCCGTGTCAATAAGCTTATTCTGCTTGGTGGGTAGCTTTGCTAGCCATTTCGTATTCCCCAGGAGCATTCCAAGTATAAAAAGGACCTTAGTCCCCAGACCCGGCGTGGCAAAGACCATTTCGTACGACTGGCTGAGACTACTGTCAGGGTTGCGCAAGGAATCGAAATCTCGGCCCATGCCCGCCAAACCAATGATATCTAGCGAGACTCGACTCGCCCAGATTCTCACTCGAATTGTGTTATCTTCGGGGGCTTTTCTGGTACGCAGATCCTTTCGAATCAACTTGACCATCTCCTTGCCCTTGGACCAGAAGACAGGATAGAGATCCTTTACGTGGCGGTACGCAAAAGCTGGCTTGAGGTTCTTACGTTGAAACTACACGAATGATTGTAAGAATCAAAACAAAGAATGAAATAGAATTGAATGTGGATTGCTGTCTCTGACCTTATGCACCTCGCCTTCGGCAATCAGGATGCCATTGCCCAGCACTCGCCTCAATGCTTGCTGTATCACCAAGGGCTTTGCGAAGTCGTAAGCCTTGCTCACCAGAATTTCGCTTAGGACAGCAGGACTGGTGATCGTGAGTCGTTCCATGTTTCCCACGATGTAGTAACGAAGAATCCCATCATTGGGAATGGTCTTGGCCCACTCCTTCATCAACGCATGGGGGGTATCGACGAGAAGACTGCCCGTATTCCCCGTGAGCCAGTGCCGATTCTAGATGCTGTTAATTCGGAGTAAACGGTGACAACCGTGGGTTCGATGGCTCACCGACGGGGTGGGAAAGTACTTCAACGGCGTGAAAAACTCAGGGTAGATGAATAGCTGATAGAATAGCTTTGCTATGGTAATGACCGTAACTAGAACGGCGATGGTCACAATTCTGGAGCCGTTGATGGCTGACTCTGGGCGGAAGTAGATACTGGCAGCTATACCAACGTAGAGGGCATCAAAGCAGTGGTTCATACGCCCCATACTGGCCGTTGGGCTTCAAATTGATTCTGCAACAGAAGAGTTAAGGCTGCCTTTTCCCAGGTGGAGGTCACCTTTACTTCAAATTATCTAGAGAGAGTAACTCGCTGACGGAGGGCTTTAGCCAACGCTTAAACATTGCCGCCGGCTGAAACTACGGAGTAGCACGATTGCCTTTCCTAGTGTCACTTCTTCCGCAGCCAAGCCTTGAACCCCCCATACGCCACGGGGGCTCGGGCGCCGTCTCCGCGGTCTACAGCTAGAGGGCTACTTGGCATCAGGATATGACAAACACGGGAAGAGAGATCTGAGGCCCACTTTAGGCAGATTGTCTGTGGGCACATAATCGATTGCACGTGACTACTCTCCTGTAATAGACTTGTATTGGTGGTCGTTTAGCATCCCTTCGCTTCCAGCTGTCCTTGGCGCCTACAAAGTCTTTTCGAACGGCAAAGCATTTGTTTTTATATAGAGTTTCAGTTCTCTCCCCAAAGTCGCACCGGACTGACATCGTATTAATCCTGGCACCCTAATGGACGCCCTTCCAGAAATGAACAGACTCTCCCAAGGCTTCCATGGCCAGAGGATTAAAGCTTTCGTCCCCGGGAGTCATCTTGGCGTAGCTCCTCAATTGCGGCAAAAGCTCCTCGGGGCCTCGGGCCAACTCACCGCTTGACGAAGTGATTGGGCTCATGGAGGCAAAGGAACTATCTGGATCTGGGAAAATCGCACCGTGGAAGCGTGAATCAAAGGTTTCTGGAACCTCTGAATTCATGTAGTTATAACCGCTTGTTGGGGGCGAGAGTAGTTCTGACATCAAATACGAATTTGTCGAGTCTTGTGAGGTCGGCTTCTGCCGTTTATGCTGAGTCTCCCTGGCTTTTATCACATCGGTGACAATGAGGGACAGCTGGTATAGCCGTCGATTGTATGACGCCTCTGCCCGGGAGTCGGTAATGGTATGCAGCATCTCAATGAATTCTTGAAGCATGTTGATGTCACAATGAGACCCCTGACCGCAAAGAATGGAGGACAATACTTCATAAAGATATAGTGATGGAAGTGAGGCGAGAAAACTATATCGCAGTGGACTGGTCAGTTTGAATCACCGTCTAGACCGTGAATCCAGAAACTTATCATTTACTCACAATGAGAAAATAGCCTGACTCCCTTGATCCGGCGGGGAATGCCACAGGCGTAACAACAGTTTCAAACACATCCTAGCAACCTCAAGGGCCCGTTGAAACATCGGATCGGGATGGTGCTTGTGGGGCCAAATGAGGAGCAGTTGAACAGACAGATATCTGATTACTAATTGGAGATGCGAGACGGAGCCCTCAGAAGAATTCTGAATCTTCTCCATGTCAACTCCCGACTCGGTCAGACACGCTTGGAGTCTTGAGAAGATCATTGCAGCGAATTCTCGAACCTGATCCTCACTTTTCCCCTGCACGTGGACAGCGTATATCTCCAAATAGACGGTCTCTTCGATCCTAGCCATCTCTGCCTTTGCAACCAGGCCAGATGGGATACCTTTTTCAGAGGGCACTAGGCATGGGTCGAAATGGACCTCGGAGACTGGTATACTGGGAGATGATCCAGCCGTCCAGCAAACGGCCTTGTCAAGAACGTATAAACAGTATGAAATATTTTGCCTGTCCTGGATGTTTTCATCGCTGAGTTGCCCGTGAAAGGAGTGCCACTGATGAATGCCGATGGACTTCGCACATCTGGTGGCTAAAGCGAATAGCGTCTCAGAGAGACTTATCGAGAGGTAAATTTGCGCGACTATGTGCTTCTTGTTGTCAGCGATTCCGTGCCCGTAGGATGCTAGTCAGAGCCATACCAGAGATAAGAGTGCCTGCACATTGATGAGGTGCGGCGAGACCAGTTGATCAATATTGTTGACCGCGTGCTTCGCGTTTGTCAAAAATCCCGCAATGAGGTCAAAGTCGATCGACGACGACTTGCGCGTTGGCTTGGGCTGCATTGACTCTCGCTGGTGGGAGCTGAGGGAGTCCGCCGACATGGCCATGAGGATGAGGTTGTTGCAGCAGATGATCGAAGCCAGGTCCCTTTGGGCCGGTGTTGATTGTCGCAAGGTAGTAGCCATTTGCGTAAACCCTTTCTTTGTCCAGATAGGAAAATGTTCATTGACTGTTGTAAAGTATGGCTCAATCATTGCATCCAAAATGGCAAAGGGAGGCGTCGTGGGGGGCGACTTCTCCCCGAAGGGCATCTCTTCTCCCTGGCTGACTAGGAGATCAATCTTGCGTTGTGCCTGCAACACGCATTCCTTCACGGTGTGTCTGTCCATATCAGGACTCTCCAAGAGCTCATCCTTGATGTTGAGCATTAGTGACTCCAGAGCCGTCGGGCCAAAGCATCTTTCGTCACTCTTTTGGTCCAAAAGAAGTCGACCCTGCGGCCTCGTGAAGACGGGCGATTTCAACGAATCAGGAAACCGCTGAGGAGTCAATTGCGGTGTCGGTCTCGATGAACTGGCCAGGCGTCTTGAGGAAGATGAGACCGTCGATGACTCCTCGAAAAGTCGCTTCAAGGACCTTTGAGTATCCGCCAATGAAGTCTTCACAGGCCGTCATTTAGAAACGGTCTCCAGATGTCTATAGAACTCTTTCCAGCTTACCTCGAGCTGTTGAAGGCGACTACCCATGCCCAGAATCGTTTGGCTTCTATGAATCATGAGCTCGGATCAATCACAGGAATCAGAGTGACGTGGTGCCTACAGAAGGGTTGTTTGGTTGCACTTTTTGCCTTGGCCGGACCACTCACACTGCAGGCCCAGACGGCCACAATTGCTGCAAGAGGGCTTTTCTCGACTGCAGCGTATCTTCCTGGCCCGGCATTGGTCACACACTGAATCCACAAGGATTAGTTACCTATGATTTGCTTCCTGCTGGGGCGGCGGACCAGAGGCTCACTTACCTGTGTACTCGTCTCTGCTTACCTCCTTCGCCATTTCCACCGTTTTGCCCGAGGACAGTCGTAGGCTGCGTCAATCTTTGATTATCCTCAGGGTAGGGCAGGATCGAGTCTAACGGACCTCTTGACATCTTACAATGTTCGCGGGTAAGAGCATTTATAGGGGAATAAAGCTCCTTTCGCCATCCGCAGCGGGGAGTACCTCCGTTTCTTTGCTTTCTGCATGCTGACATGCATTACTAGTGGACATCACCTACGACTTGAGCCTTTTTTTACGGCCTCCAAGGCTAAGCATGCACCAGGACCAACCAGGGCCCACCAATAGTGAGCAATTTGATGTCCCCACCCCAGCTTTGAAAGTATCAACTTGATAAGACGTTAAGAGGGGATGGGCTCTCTGTCATTCTCCATTTGCTGTTCATGTTGCATGCATAATATCCGGGGTTGAGACGAATTTTGCTGATATATTACATTCCAGTACTCTATAGTTCATTGTTTTTTTTTTTTTTTTTTTTTTCTTGCCTATTCATTGGTTTTGGAAATGCCGAGCAGAACAGTCAGGAAAGTTCAACAAAATTAATTAGGACCTGGAGGCAATGAATGTTTACCAAAGTATATCAGGAACTACGGGATCAAATCCTCCGTATATATATTGCTATTGGGTCTCGGCTAAACCCCATCAATCGCGGATCGAATCCTCTTCCGTCGTGGCTGATTGACCGAAATCCTATTTTAGTAGACATTACGATTAATATTCTCGAATGTAGCTTTTATACAGTAATTCCTGGAGTGACAATGCAGCCGTTACAATAATAAAATAGGTCAGTGTTTTCGCAGTAGGAAAGAGCAGAGAAATCAGGCCTCCCGCACATTCCGACGATCTTGTTCTTTTCCCCCTGATGATTTACGGCGCAACAAACTCTAGCGTATGGCCAATCTACGATTTTATTTTACCGAAACCTTGGCGTTTTACACTCAGCCACGGCTGGTATCGACCTGTTGGTGGTATAGATGAGGGGTTGCAGTGCCTACAGTTCGCAGCGTACGCCGCATACTACTCGTGATACCTCAACTTAGGGTTAGATAGAATAAGTTTTTCAAATTTAGGAAGCGGTAAATTACGGCAGGAATCGATTCAGATATCCAAAGCGGTAAGTAGTCGATAGTCAATCCTCCAGAAAGTTCATACTTATAATAATAAACTAAAGTAAGAATAAAATTTCTAGGTTAACGATAAGCTACTTTTTTTTTTTTTTTTGAGTCCGTTCCGAGCACAGTCAGCCTCTCCCATCTCCCCGTGGAAGGAAGGGTGTCAACGTATCTTACCATCTTACCATCTTTCTATCGCAAGCAAGGGCGTACGACCCCCTCACCTTTGGCGTCACATCTGTTCGGCGTGATTTCCATGCCTCAGCCAATTGGTCATTTGGGTGATGCTGATCTCGCTAATGCAGATATCTGTGGATTTTACTTTCGGGCAACCAGTAACAAGAGGCGCTAAAAGTATCGGCTACATGCTTGGCCCTCGGGTATTTTTGGGGGATGGTGGTTCCTTGCTGCATATAAGGGGTGTTGAGGGTGTCGTGTGAGATTGAGGCTGGAGGGGTAAGTCAGACCTAGACCAGGAAGGGAAACAGACTCTGACGCGGATCGTCTCCTTGCCGAAGAAACTACTCCTACAGCCGTCATTGGTGACGGACCGAAGATATGTTGGGGTTCTGGAATGCAATGTTGGTCTGGCCGAAAGGAACAGCCAACGCGCTATCAGTTCGACGATACCAACGGAGCGAACAGGGCTTATTTGAAGACGGGGTAAGATTTTGTCTTTCCCTCGTGTCCGGGGACGGGACCCGCCAGATCAGCGCCCACTTGGTCAGGCCGGCGATGGCTCCGACTGGTTCCTTGTATTCGCCGGTGGTTCCGGCATCAGGATTCATTCATATTTCCCATGCGGCTGGGATCAAGATCAACCGAACGAGGTTTTGCGATCCCGACGTCGCGAGAAGTTAACATTGCTCCCTCGCGGGATCTTTCCTCACGAGCTTCCACGGAACGGAGGGGAACGACAGGATGAAACTCGATCAGGATCTTATCGGCAAGGTTTGTACATACGCCTTCGGCAGATACGGAGCCTCGTTGACGGATTCGCAGACTGCCTTTGTAACGGGGGGCTCTGGTGGATTAGGAAAAGCGATTTCCAACATACTTGCGGCGCGTGGTTTGTGTCAACCCTTCAGCTGGAGCACCTCGACTTCCACTGATCCCAAGGGAAGGTGCCCATGTCACCATATTCGCGCGACGACCCGGACCCCTAGCAGATGCAAAGAATGAGATAGTCGGGAACTGTGTGGATGCGGGTCGGCAAGAGATCAACGCTGTTGCGGTGAATCTGGCGGATGCTGCTGCGGTATGTCGCTCCAATCCCAAGAAACCCACACGCTCAGAGAGCAGTCTGCAAAGGAGCCTTCCCCCCCCCTCTAACCAACACATAGGTAGCAGAAGCATTCAGGTCCCAACCGCGAATTGCGGATTTCCTGTATTGTTCCGCGGGGGGCAACCACGCTGAGAACGGGTTTTTCATCGATCTTCAAGCTACGCAGCTTGATTCTTGCATGCAAAATAATTATTATTCCACTGCGTATGCAGCCAAAGCCATGTTAGATATCTGGGTGGAGCATGATCAGAAATCGGCGGGCATCGATCTCTCCCACAACACTACTCGGCCCCAGACCCGGAGGATTGTTTTCGTCAACAGTGCGGCGGCCTTCTTGGGATTACCCGGGAGCGTGGCTTATACGCGTAAGCCGATGATCTTCCTTTGCTGATGTGAAATTTGCAGTCCTCCTCTGGCTAACATGGTCTTCCCCTTCGAAGCCGCCAAAAGCGCCGTACGAGCCCTCGCCGACACCCTCCGCTTCGAAGTCCTTCGCCACAACTCCGCCCAAACCACCTACACCGTCCACATCGCTTTCCCGGCCGACTTCATCTCCCCGGGGTTCGTCCTCGAGCAGGACACCAAACCGGACCTCACGAAGCGGATCCAGGGCACTAATGTCGCCACGTTCGCGGAGCTGGAGGAGAAATTTCCGTCCTCCGAGCAAGTGGCGCAGGGCATCGTGGCGCGGGTCGATCAAGGGGATTTTATTATCTGCGAGGATTCGCTGTCGGCGAGTCTTTTGTTCACGAATATGATCGGATTGAGTCCCAAGCGGGGGCTTGGGATCGTCGATTCGTTGTTGAGTGTGGCGATGGGGTGGTTCGTGGTGCCGGTGTTGAGGAGGAGGTGGGAGAGAATGTGTCGGGAAGATGGTGGTCACAAGTTACGATGAGAAGTGTATATATATATATATATATATATGTATGTATGAAAGATTCCTACAAGGTATTGCGCCTGAGATTGAGTTCTAGTCTTAGCCGAATCGAACATAATTCAAAGCTGAGTGTTTGTAAGATATTAACAAATGGGCTTGCCCGCAGGCTGTCGAGGGTTATAGTAGTCCTCCATCTCCTTCAGACATAGACCGGAGTTGTTGCTCGACAGCCGGCCAGATGCCTTTCCGGAGACTGTACAATAACCAGAAATTACCCGCCGCATCCTTTCCGATCACCACGCCCGTGTTTCGCGTTGCGTAGCCTTTGGTCCCAGTTCCTTGGATACATGATGGTCTGCCCAGCGGATTGCTGCGTTTGTCCAGTGCCATGCCTTCTCGTTCGACGGCGGCGGAGAAATCTACCTCGAACAGTTTGGCTTTGACCCAATTTGAGATCATTACCATGTACATACTCGGGTTGCCGAATAGGGCTGGATGATGTGCGTTGTCGAGAGTATTTCTTTGGATGGTGTCCAGTGCGTGGAGCTGTTCGGCGTTGCGTTGTTGGATCAGAGACCGGCGGATTTCTGATGCAGTCACGCTGAGAGGATCTTCGAGGATCTGGCGAACGGAAAGGAACGTCAGGGTCGCAAAGACGGCATTCGTTACCAAGGCACAGGTAGCGGATGGTAGGTGGCCAAGCTCTGCTAAGATGGACCGGCAACAGTATGTATTCCGCAGGTTCACCGTGCGACCGAGGCTAGGCCTTGCGGCTCGGATTACGACTCGCGTCCACCAGGCAAAGAGAATGTCACCTTCGCTTAGGAAAACAGGCTTACCACCGTCGCTGGTGTCGCGCGATGCGAGCTCCCCCATCGCCTTATCTCGCATCTGCTGCAGGTATTTTGCGGGTAAGAAAATGACTCGTTCCTCCTCCCGGCGCTGCCAAAACAGCTCCACCGTAAGAAGATACCGCACTGCAAACAAAAACCACGTCCATCCAATGAGCAGCGTGTCCGTAAAGACGTATTTTGGCGGCGGTTCTGACTTAGACTCGGCGAGGCCGGCTAATGGATCGTGAGCGAAACCCACTAACGGCTGCACTTCATCCTCTCGTCCGCGCAACACTGCAGACCAGGCGGCCAGGACCGCATCCAGGCCCATCATGTCCATCAGACTGTGAAGGAAAGAGACGGTCACGAGAGTTGCATCCTGGAAGGTGATGATGCGAACCCCTAGCTGGGGGCTGTCGGAACTTAGCCAACCCTCCAAGCGATCGGGGAACATGGGAGTCCGGATAAACGATCGGAACTCGGGTGTCATCGTGTCCGTAAGGCCCAGCACACACGGGCGACCCGCGGCATCCAAATGGTGAGGTTGAGCTAAATGCGACGCTTGTGGATGGTCGGCCACGTTCATATCATCATATGCGACCGTGGAATATGCGAAGCCAGGCCGTTTGTCGTCGAACCATTGTGGCACATGGTATTCCAGCCCTCTTTCTGCGTTCCTTCGGATTCGAGCCCCAAGCTTTCGCCAGTCCCCCAATTCTAGCAGCCGGGATAGAGCACCCCGCAGCTTCTCAGGGTCCAGGATGTCATCGAAGCGGAACGTGACATCGAAGGACAGGCCTCGTGTATGATGGTCGTCATCCCAGTAGTGAAAGGGGATGATCGTGTCGGTTGGGACGGTCAGCAGAGGGGCAGCCTTCCTCCCCGAACGAAAAGTGACCATGACCAGTTGCCTCGCATGGAACGCTCAGGATTTGAGAAGCCAGAGATGATGATTCTGGTTGTTGATGGTGATAATCGCTACCTAGTAGGTGGGTATGCCCCACCGTACCCACACCGCCCGGGCCGAAGCTACGGGCGACGGAACCCGTGTGGGCCGACGCATCTTTTCTAGTGTGTTTTGTCGATCCATCCTCATCCTCCACCCCGACACACTGTGATCGACCTCTCTCCATGGAGAGAGTAATCCACCATACTGTACTCCATACTCATTCGTCTCGTCATTCATTTGCCTCCCTTCATTCCCCAGGACAGATGACTTGCAGGATTTTGCTGAGTCAGATCGACAAAACTCTCCGGAAGAATATCTGATCCGGAATCCGACCGCTGGGACAAAGAAACCAAGCCCAGGGGCCAATAATTCTCCTGGTCGAGCTTTGCTCAAACTGTTCAAAGATTTCTTCATCTCCAGCACACTCCGGTGGACATCACACTGTCGGCAAACGTCGCATTTCTATAATTGACGGTGTAAATTCCAATTTTTCGAGTGTGTCTTTGATTCAGCTGGAGCCCTAAGCCGACAGTGGCCTGAGAGTTTAAAAAAAAAAAAAAACTATCAAGCCAAGCATGGGACAAGCCGAGTTTAGCGCCCGAACGGGGACCACACCCGCAGTTCGACCAGAATCAGTTTCAGAGCCCACATCAGAAAAGCAAGGCAAGCCAGAGACAGAGACAACGACCGAGGCAGTGACAGACCCCGGGACAAAGACAGGCGGGACAGAAGTTCCGGCTGAGAGAAGCGGCGATGACGATGTCGAGCGGTCCTCCAAAAAATCGTTGGCCTTTAAACTGGCCTTCATCGGTCTCGCTGCGAGCATGTTTGTGTTCCAATTGGATGCAACAGCCCTCGGGATTGCCCTTCCAGTGAGCAATACCCTCTTGTGTGTTGCGGTCCTGAATCGCCCGAAGACTAACCTCGTCGGCAGACCATAGCTGCGGATCTTAAGGGCGAGAGTTTAGAGTCCTTCTGGGCGAACTTGTCCTATACCCTCTGTGGCCTGGTCATGCAACCGGTGTGGGCCAGTATCTCTACCGCGTTCGGTCGGAAACCGCCTCTGTATGTATCCATGGCGTTGTTCTTCATCGGCTCCATCGTCTTTGCCGTGGCCCAAAATATGAAAACAATTATCGTGGGCCGGGTACTGCAAGGGTTCGGCGGTGGGGGAATTGACGTGCTGGCGGAGGTGATTCTCGCGGATATGACGACCCTGGAGGAACGCTCGAAATACCTTGGCTTGATGGCTATTCCCATGGCGATTGGCAACATCATGGGGCCCTCGGTGGGTGCCCTGTTCGCGAATTATGCGAGCTGGAGATGGATTGGATGGGTCAACTTGCCGTTGCTCGGGATCGGTACACCGTTGGTGTTCTTCTTCCTCAAGCTCCGACCGGTCCCTCTCGATGCATCGCTGGCCAAGAATCTGAACCGTCTGGATTGGATTGGCATGGCGCTGGTCGTCGTCGGGATCACGATCTTCGTGTTACCGCTCAGTTGGGCGGGCTCTCTATTTCCATGGGCTTCCTGGCAAACTCTGGTCCCAATGTTCCTCGGCGTTGCGGTGCTGGTCATCTTTGCTTTCTACGAAGCGAAACCCGAAGCCCCTATTGTTCCCCATCGACTCTTCCACTCGAAGACGGGAAATATGACATTAGCTGGAGGCTTCCTCCATGGCGCGGTTCTGGTTTCGCTGTTGCAGTACTTACCCTTGCTGTACCAAGCCGTCCAACTCGAAACGGCCATCTTATCCGCTGTCTCCCTGCTACCCACCGTCATTATCAGTGTGGTAGTGGCAGCGGCCTCCATGATGATGGTTCCGTTGTTCGGTGGCTATGTATGGGTGCTACGGCTAGCATGGATCATCCTCACGCTGGGAACCGGCTTGCTGGCCCTGTTCAACGTAGGATCGTCGTCCTCCATGCGTCTCGGACTGCCCATCCTCTGGGGAGCGGGCGTTGCCTTGCTGCGTCTCAATCTGCTGCCTATGCAAGCGAGCGTCAAAAACGTCGACGACACCGGCCTGGCGATCGGACAATTTCTCACAATCCGCATGTTTGGAGGTCTCGTCGGCCTCACGATCTCTTCCACCATTTTCAACACGGTCTTCTCAACCTCTATGTCCGCCACGACAGTGCCCCTGACCGGTTCGCTGGCCCCTCTCCAGGACGCTGCCAATGCGGTCGCCTTCATTGATAAGCTAAGGTCACTAGATGTTCCAGGTGGAACGCTTGACCAGGTTCTGAGGGTTTATCTGAAGTGCTTCCAGACGATCTTTTACACAATGACGGGACTTAGTGGACTGGGATTGGTGACTTCGCTGTTCGTGGATGAGATTGATCTCAAGTCGCAGGACCTCGGAAATCAGCGCTTCGAGGAATAGTCGGAAAATGGGTGCACAGAGCGTCTACAAAACTGTTCAATAGAGTATATCATTCCCAGTAGCCCGGTCCAGAGTAGCTTTATGTACAACTCTCAAATCTTGTCATAATCAATCGTATCCCATTGTTTGGGCTGGTTGAGAACATCTTGCAAATCCTCCATAGCCCCCTGAAGATCATCTAAACCCAAGTGCAATGCCAATTCAATATAATCCTTGGTCCACAGGCCGGGGGAGCCTCGCGGATACTGCGATCGAAACCCCACGAAACGCTGAGCACGCTTGGACAACTTCTTCACGGTTTCCAGCTTGATAATAAAAGGATGTGCTTCCGCGGGTGTCAGGAAGCTCGGGATGACCGTCAGCTGGATACATTTCCGTTCCATCTCCGTTTTATTCTCGCCCATCGCATGGATGACTTTGCCCCCAATCAGGAGACAATCCCCCGTCTGCATCTCCGCGGGAATCGTCTGCTTCATATTCCCGCGTTGGTGAAAGGGCCACTTGTTGCTCCCTGGTATGATGCGTGTGGCACCATTGTCATCCGTGAAATCGGAGAAGGCGAAGAGGAAGTTGATCTGTGGTTCCGTGCAGTCCGGTCCGAGCTGCGCGTATGGCGGATAGGAGGTCAGATCCCGGTGCAAGACCTGCGCGGGCTGCGGTCCGGAAGCATTGAGGGTGGTCGCCGCCGAGAGCCAGTAGTCTCCGTTATGTCCACCTTCGCTGTAGCAGCGCTTGCAGATGGCATGGATGAAGTCGTTCTCGAGGATCCGTTCTCGAAACGTGGCGCTGTGATTGATGAGGTCGCCTGCACGCTTGGTCTTAGTGCCGTGGAAGGCTGCTAGGTCCGGATGGGGCACTCGGGACCCCCGTTGGACGGAGTCGATACGGGATTCGAGTTCGGTGGTGATCTGGTCCGCCTCTGCGGTGGTGAGCATGTTCTTCAGGATGACGCCGCCGCTTTCCTTCCAGTGCTTGAACACTTCATCCAACGGGGTGTCGACGGTCACTTCTGCGAGCTTCAATCCATTGGGTACGGCGACCTGCGGGACGTCTGTTGGCACTCGCCACATTCTGAGTTCTGGATCTTCCGAAGGATGTCTCAAGGGTAGGGAATATGGGAGTTGCTAAGATGACTTCGAGATCCCAATTTCCCGCATACAGTCTTATGAATAGGCACTTCCATCGTGTCATAGGGGCTATTTCACTCCATGATCACGCTCGTCAGACTCGGATCCCGTTCCCTGATGCATCCGGGCTGCCGGATTCCGATCGCCCGGCTGATGCGGACAATATGTGCAGCCTGCTCGGCCCTTTCTATCGACTAATCTTGTGCAATGCAATTCGACCCCTTGCTGACAAAGAGTATGTGTGGGAATGGTAGAGACCTCTGTGCATTAGTTGTTACGAAAGGCGAGGCATGTGGCCTCCCAGGCGTATCTTGGGTTTGGTATCCGAATCTGCAGATCATAATCCAAGAGGTACAAAAGACTATGGGGTAGTCTTGACCTGAGGCTCTAGAACTATGGTCCTTGCGAGGGTACTCGTTTCCTACATCATTGACAGACCAGCATTCCTGCAACTCAGATGTCTTTTCTGGCTCCATCTACCCCTTGGACTACGCAGAGGAACTCCCTTTAAACACATCATGAACGAAGAATAGTATTATGAAGCCTTAAAAACAATTACATACATGGCATCTCTCACAATGAAAATGTACAGTCTGAGCAGGAGAAAAGGAATGTAGAGGAAGTCTGAATAGGTGTGTGGAATACGTTATCCCATTCCTTCCGTGACTCTCCGGTAGAGCACCGGTAGAGATTATGTCGAGGCGTGCTGAAGCCTGGGCTGCAGCAAGTAGCAGGATGCCACAACGTACACTTTGCGAGTGTAATTTACACGAGCGACGGCTTAACTCTCGTTGTTTTCTATCGCTATTCGATAAACTTCGTTTGCCGCATATTGACCGAGAATGTCAAGAGAACCAATACTCATCATTTCCAGCATGGGAAGGTCGAAAGAGAACACCTGCTTGATCCAAGCGCGCAATTCGAGAGCCACCAAAGAATCAAGACCGAGGTCGAGCAGTGGCGAGCTCGTATTAGGCTCCTCATGAGGCTTCAGCAACAGATCGAAGAGCCTTTTGCCGATCTCGACCGCAAAGAGCTTTGCGGCTTCTGGCGACTGGAGAATGGAAGGATCCGCTTTGGCATTGCTCAGGTATGACTTCAGAACATCTGTCGATGCGGTGGTCGTGGCAACCGCAGAATTGTTGTGATAGGAGGCCATGCGACGGTCTTTCTTCCAGATCACGTAGTTGCTGGGGTCATGCAATGGAATGAGCAAAGCAAGCCCAACGAGAAACGTATTTTTGTGCATGAAATAAGAAGCGTTCTTTGAATCAAGCGCAAGGGCTTCATCAACGGCTTGACCTGGTGTGTTATGGACCAACATGGATATCGCCATTGCGTCGATGACCTCCTGCTCCAGGACAGGTTTGAAACCACTCCTGGACATTTTCCCCATCATCCCTTGGTGCTCCGAAATCCATCCAACGTCCTCGACAGCCCCCATGTCAACGACGGACGCCGCCAGGCCCAGGTCATTACGATACTGGGCGAACGCATCTAGGAAGCTGTTTCCACTGGCATAATTAGCTTGGCCAGCTTGTCCAACGATTCCGGAGACCGAGCTAAACATCACAAAGAAATCTAGATCAATCCCCGCATCCATGGAAGCATTGTGGAGGTTCCAGGTTCCCTGAACTTTGGGTGCGGTCGACGCCATCCATTCATCGAAGCTCATCCTAGTAAAGTTCTCATTGGCGACGACCATGGACATCTGTACAATACCTTTGAGGGGATAGGTTGCTGCACTAATGGCTCTCTTCACGTCCTCGAGTTTCGTGGTATCCCCACTCACCAACTTGACGGCACAGCCCATGCTGTGAAGCTCGGCGACAAAGTCATCGTCTTTGGGCGTGAGGCCAGCACTACGGGAGAGGTAGACGAGCTCACGAGCACCGTGGTCGACCATCCAGGTGGATACGGCTCGACCAATACCGCCCAGGCCACCAACCATGAGGTAAGAGGCCGACCCGTTGAAAGCAATCGCCAAAGTCCTCTTGGTGGTTTCCAATCCCAGGTGGGCCTCCCCTTCGGCCGGCTTGAACGAAACGCCGACACGGCCAATGTGTTGACCCTTCTCCATAAATCGGAATGCATCTTGGGTCTGGGCTGCGGGAAAGATTTTGGTCGGTAGTGGCGAAATGTATCCTTTGTTATAAAATTCCAAGATGGAGAAAATCAATGCTCGTGCGACATGGATCCTCTTCCAAAGCCCATCGATGTCGACACAACAGTAGTTGCGGTTCGCCAGGAATGGCTTCATGTCGAGTTTACCATCGCCGATCAGATCGCGTTTTCCGATCTCCAGTAGAGTTCCAAACTCAGCAACGCAGTTCCACGTCGCGTGCAAGAGCTCGCCGGAGAGGGAATTGAGAATGAAGTCCATGCCACGGCCTTCTGTTTCTCGCATCACACCATCCACAAAGGACTTGTCACGAGAGTGGAAGATCCTGTTTGGCGGGATGCTGTAGTTCTCTATCAAATACTTAACCTTCTCTTCGCTGCCAACAGTGACATACACATCGGCCTCCAGCATCTGGGCCACCTGGATAGCTGCCAGGCCCACTCCACCACACGCGCTATGGATCAGGACGGACTATACAGGGATGTTTGGTCAGTCACTGCACTTCTATAGCACCAATTATCATGGGGTATTCTATGTCGCCTACCTGGCCCTTTGTGACGCGTCCGACGTTGACCATGGAGTGAATCGCAGTAAAATACGGTATAAGCATCGTTCCAGCTTGGTCAAAGGTGAGGCTGTCGGGAATCCGCACGCAAACAGCAGCAAGTGTGATCGTATATGTCGAGAAGGCATCTTTCCGGCAAAAGCAAACGACCCGATCGCCTACTTGAAGGTCGTCAGGGCTAACATCTGCTCCAACACGCGTGACGATGCCTGCGGCTTCGATTCCGAAGAGGCGGACCGGCAATTCAACAATGCCCAGTGCGACGAGAATATCCTAATCTCTCCTGTCAGTAACATGCCATATAGCCTGAGAAATCTCGTCGATAAACTTGCCCGAAAGTTCAAACCGGCGGAGTACACCTCGACCTCCACTTCGTCCTTTTCGATATCCTTTCGTTGATGACGCGCGTAATGTAGACTGTTGACCCGCCCTGGCGTACGCACATTCAGTGTGGCCATCTCGCTCGAATCTTCCGAGACTGAAAGCTCATCGGCCAAGACGAAAGGATGGAAGCGTGCGACTTGAACTCGGTCATTGAAGATGGCCCATTCGAAGTCGGGATTGAGCTCCTCGTCACCTTGGCGGAGCTGAAACTTGGAAAACACTTGAACTAGTTGCTCGACGGATTTCGGATTGTCGAAGCTGTCGACCTGACAGGTCGCCAAATTGGCCAGCTGCTCTGTACGGATAGTTCTGGCGAGGCCGAGAACCTGTGCATATCGTGGATCACGGCATCCTATATCGATCAGATGAGTCGCCCAGAGCATGCCGGCGTCGCGGTTTTGAAGGCCAAGGAGGAAGGCCTTGAATGAAAGGAAGCGTGCTTCATCAAGCTCGTGGAAAAAGGGCCGGTCGACGTCCAAGAGCGAAATCACATCTTGTCCAGCTGGCGGCTCATCATCCAGTTTGCATCTGGTCACCTGGTAGCCCTCTTTCTCGAGCTGGGTCAAGATGTGTGTGACAGCAGGTCCTTCCTCCTCGGAAAGAACTGTAACCTTCTTCTTTGGTGCTTCACGGACCTGCCTTACGACCATAGTAATTGTAGTTTGGTGAGGCTCTTCTGAATCCAGAGCCACGGCCTGGATATCGCCAAAGCCTGCAGCAGAAAGCTCTGTCTCCCACTCTTCTTTGCGCAGGTAGGCCGCCTCAATTGGCCTGTCGACAGGGCCCGACCACGACGTCGGTAGCACGCCGAGCACATACTGGACCCATCTGGATGACGGGCAAAGCTCTTGCAGTAGTAATCTACCGTCGGGACGTAGGAGCTTCCTGAGGTTGGTCAAGCTTGCCTGGACATTTTTGGTCTCATGGAGAGCGTTGACCGCTATGATGAGATCGTACCCGACTTCGTCAAATCCTTGTTCGAAAGGATCCTCGCTGATGTCCAGGCTGGCGAATTCCATATTTGGGAATGCCTTCTCTTGGGTTGTCGCCACAACGTAGCCTGGGGTGGTCAAGGTGTACTTGGCGCACAGAATCTCCCCGTTATTTCGCGTCAATTCGGCGAGGATATCACGATGCAACGACACGCCATTTCCAGCTCCAATCTCGAGGATTTTGATGTTTGGCTTCGAATGGCTTAACTTTTGAATAAATTCCATTCGGTCTAGCTGTCCGAGAAATTCATGAACGTGCGTTAGAGTTCCCTCCGGCAGGACACTATCTAGGCCTTTGCCGGAAAGGAGGGAATCTATTTGTATGCAGACTTCACGGATGGCACTGGCGACCGGGGCTGCCGTAGTGTTTGCGAGCTGGCTCATTATATTGTCGAGCCGAGCCGAGATAGCCTCGTTGTCGAGGCCTGTCCAAGTTGAAGGTAATCTGAAGGGAATCGAGCGGGATTGAGACATGATCCAGGCCATATATTTCTGCAGGTGTGGCAGAGTTGGATTGCTTCCCAATTCTGAAAGGTTCCACTGAGACAGGAGCAGGTAGATGTCCCCGAGTTCCTCCAGAAGACGCAAGTGGTCCCTTCGGCTTACGGGTGCGCGAAAGAGCTCGTGGATATCTAGGAAGTCAATATCGGGTCTCCACTCACACCTCGACGCGGCGTGTGTGTCTGAAACATCCGTTGCACCAGCACCATCCGCAAGTGACATCCGGATACCAGCGGCTTCAACAACTGTCGTGCCCTCAGATATACAAACGCCATGTCCAACGACCGAAAAATTGCTCGACAGCTTGGCAGAAACGCTAGTAATCATATCTGAGGGGCACTCATAGACGGTGACTTTATCGATGCTGGTCGGAAGCCAGGTTTTGGTTTTGCGTGCGTAGCCCTTGACTGCTGCAGCACCCAGGATCTGCAGGGTTGCATCAAGGACGGTAGGGTGGATGTGGTAGTTGGCTTCATCCCCCTGCCTTCCATTGACGACATTGCCAACAGCCCGCTGCTCTAAAGTTGAGGTCGTCATCGTCTCAAGAGTTTGGAATGATGGTCCCAGGTTTAGGCCACCTTTGCTCATTTTTTCATACCATTTTCTCGTATTGAGCTTCCGGGGCAAGACAGCAGGATCCTCTCCATTCCCCGGTGCCGATGACTGAGCGCAGGCCTCCCCTGTACAGTGCCTTGTCCAATTGCGCCCATTATATGCAGACACGGCGAACTCCCACCATGTGCTGTTCAGGGAGTTCGTCAATCGGTGTGGCCGAAATGTCGCCATTATCTCTGTCGGCTTTCCCTCGCTGAGCACCAGCGCAGTGCTGACAATGATATTTCGGACGCTGAATCCCTCCTTAACATTGGTCAACTGTCTGATGGCCTCTCCTGCCAAGGCAATGTAGCCACAGAACGGGAAGACAATATTATCCCCGACCTTGTGGTCACGAATCCACGGTGTGTTTGTAACGTGGAGCATGTTACGCCAGACAGGTTCACTATCACTGCTCTCAGCCACCCTTGCACCAAGAAGGTCATGATATGGGAATCTGCGGCTGCGCCATTCCTTACTCAGACGAGATTCGTACCAGTAGCTGCCTTCGTGATTCCATGGGTATCGCGGAAGATCTGAAAGAGAGGAACCTGCGGGAAAGAGGGCCTTAAGATCAACGTCAACATTGAGCGAATGTAGAGCTCCAATGGCAGATAAGAAAGATGCGCTGCAATCCTGGTTGCGCGCCATAACAGACACATAGGGGGTAGGGGAAGAAGCCTGAGTAAATATTTGTCTCAGTGGACCTGCGAGAGCACCGTGAGGCCCAACCTCAAGGAAGACAGCATTCCTTCCTACGTCGTGTTTCAAAATGGCAGTAATGGCCTCGCGAAACCGAACCGGTGATTCCAAATTGTCCCGCCAGTATTTTGAATGGATTTGTTGCTCGTGGCCGAGAACATTTCCCGTCACGCTTGAGAAGAAGAGCACCGAAGGGTCGCTCCCGACCACTTCCTCGCCAATCAAGGATTGGTAATCCTCTCCGATCTCTTTCATATGGAACGAATGATAAGCCTTGTCAACCTGGAGCTGTCTAGCCAGTACCTGTGGCTGTGCCTCTTTGATAGCAGCAACAACACATTTCACAGCGTCAACATCACCTGAGATTGTAACACTTTTAGGTGAGTTGTCACAGGCAATGGTCACATTTGGGACGAGGTACTTCTCGGTTTCTGCCCAGCTCATTCCAACAGCAGCCATTGTCCCTGCTCTCTTCTGTCTGCTTGTAATTGCCCCACGGTGATGGGCAGCAGTGATAGCCTCACCAGCTTTGAGAGCCCCGGCGGCGTATGCTGCAGCAATCTCACCACTGGAATGGCCCACGACTGCGTCTGGGAGAATCCCTGCGGACTTGAGAGTGTCGACCAGTGCAATCTGAATAGCAGTGCAAAGGGGTTGAGAGAACTCGGCCAATGACAGACGGCTCTTTTTAGCTGTCTTCTTGAGCTCCTCTTCGATCGAGTACTGAGGTTTCTCCCCGGCAATGGTCTGCAGGTGTTGATCGAGAGATCGGATCCTAGATCTGAATACCTCATTCGACCGCAACAGCTCCCGTCCCATCTGGGGCCATTGTGCGCCCTGACCAGTGAAGACCATAACCACGCTTGGTGGCTTCGCAGACTTGGAGTTTGCAGGTTGTGAAACGCTTTCAACCACACCATTCCTGGCAATAGCAAAAGCGCGGTAAGGCAAGTGCTCCCTTCTCCTTGCCAAGGTGTAGGCCAGATCACTGACTTTGTCCGGATTTTTTTCCACCCATTGCTTGTAGTTGTCGATCACCCTTGTGATTGACTTCGGCGAGTTGGCTGTAAACAACAAAAGTTGCGGTGTCTCCGGCGTTTCGTGAACTGCAGCCGGAACGTTATAGGTGGCAGCGGATTCTAGAATGACATGGGCGTTTGCGCCACCAATGCCAAATGAATTCACACTGACCCGTTCGAGTCTATCTTTCGGCCAAGGAAGTGCCTCGATAGGGACCGTGAGCTTACCGTCCACGAACGGAATATTCGGGTTGGGGCTAGTGAATTTGATGTTGGGGGGGATAGTACGATGCTCGAGTGCTTTCACCATCTTCAATAGTGATACAAGGCCGGATGCAGCTTCTGTGTGCCCGAGATTCGGCTTGACGGAGCCTATATAGACGCCTTTGTCCCCAAAGACCCGCGCCACAGCTCTCGCCTCGATAGGGTCCCCAGTTGGTGTACCTGTGCCGTGGCATTCGACCATGGCGGTTTCCGTGTAGTCAGTAATACCTCCCAGCTCATATGCCCTCCTCATTAGAGCCTCCTGTGCGTCCGTGCTAGGTTGCGACAGTGTAGGGGTCTTTCCGTCCGCATTGTGGGATGTTGCTCTCACGACCGCATGAACTGGATTGCCATCCCTCAGGGCATCTGCCAATGGCTTAATAAATATGGCTGTCACCGCCTCTCCACGGGCATACCCATTGGCGTCAGCAGAGAAGGTCTTGCATGAGCCGTCACTAGATAGAACCCCTTGTTCCTGCATTGCCATCGACATTCCGGGTGCGAGGATTAGATTGACACCACCCACTAGAGCGGATTCACAGTCACCTCTGTTAATCGCAGCGCAGGCCTCGTTCAGAGCCACTAGGGCGGATGAACAAGCTGTACGAATTGTCATACTATTCAACGGTGTTAGCACCAAGCCATTGTGGGGAATCATCTTCTAAAGGAATATTATACCTTGGCCCTTGTAGGTCAAACTCATATGAGAGCCGATTAGCGACAACAAAGTCCCCTGATCCGGAAATACGATGGATCCCCCATGGCTGGGTTTCCTTCCCAAACATCTCCAGCCAGTCTTCCCCGAAATTACCAATATAGGTGCCGATCGTCTTGCCTCTCCAATTTGTCACGCCAGCATCTTCAAAAGCCTCGCGTGCGACTTCCAACATGAGTCTTTGCTGAGGGTCGGCTCGCTCTACCTCTGTTCGTGTCATGCTAAAGAAGGACGTATCCAACGCGCCGACGTCGACGCTCTGGTCAAGGAAATATCCATACTCGGTTGATACTGTCCCTGGCTTTTTCGTATCTGAATAATATGAGTCAATGTTGTAGCGAGATTCGGGGACACGGCATCGTCCATCTTTCTTTGCGAGGAGGAAATCCCAAAGTTCATCGGGTGTCGTCAATCCCCCTGGGAGACGACATGCCATACCACAGATGGCGATGGGAGTCTGGCTACCACCATGGGCCCTGTCGGTCGAGATACCATTTGTGCCGTTCGTGTGTACACCATTGGTAGCATGTCCATTGAGAGTGGTCCCATTAGTGATATTCGAACCCACCGGCACCCCATGGGTATTGGTGCCGTTACTTTCGTACATAGTGATTGATGTGAATTGTGGGGGTCTGAAAAAAAAAAAAAAAAAGGAAAACGAAAGAAAGAAAGTTGCCTATTTTACAGTAACCTGGCGAGCTATCTGTGCTTTTGAGTTTAAAATGACGGTTAACGTGGTTGTTACCAACAACGTTCCACCCGTCAACCATGTGCTGGGTTCCGCAACGGCCATGCGCCCCGTCAGCTCGCCCGCCGGAACCCGTCCTGGTGACGAGCCGCAGCATCTCGGCCCGATACGCCGATGAGGAACTATGCTCATTATATGGGCTTATTATGTGACTCGACATATTGACTCGATGTACTGTTGAGCGTTCTTTCTTTCTTTCTTTCTTTCTTTCTTCCTTCCCTTTTTTTCTTTGTTTGGTGATATCACACTGTCCGCTGCACATCTGTTGAAGATTTCTCCTTCCGCAACCTCAGCACCATGGCAGCCAACGGCACAATCGTTTCGGAGATGGTCTCCTGGATCAAGAGCCAGAAGCTAGTTGCTCCCCGTATGAAAGATGCCCCCACATTTTATCGAAATCTCGAGGAGGCTTTAGATCTTCGACGGTCGACCCAATCTTTGATGACCCGCGGACAAAGCACATGGAAAACAGGAGATGCGATTGACTTCTGCTCCAACGACCTTCTCTCTCTCGGCCTCACAGGAGCACTACGAAGGGAGTTCTTAGCAGAACTAGCCAGACATCCGGACTTCTCGCTGCATTCGGGGGGGTCCCGCGTTATGGGCGGCAACTACGACTATATCGAGGAGGTGGAGCAGGAGATCGCCGACTTCCTTGGCTCCGAAACGGCGCTCATGTTTAACTCCGGGTCCAATGGGAATATTGCTATTTACACATCTATTCCACGGCCCGGGGATGCCATTGTATACGATGAGCTGGTTCACTTCAGCACGCACACAGGTATGGCCGCCTCGTTGGCCACAACCAAAGTTGCCTTCCGCCATAATGACCTCGACGCCTTTCGAGAGGTTATGTCCTCCACCATGGACTCCCAACCCATGCTTCAGGACGGGTCACGCTCGATCCTTGTCTCGGTAGAGTCAGTGTACAGCATGGATGGAGACATTTGCCCTCTGGTGGAGATGCTGGAAATTGCTCGAGAGATATGTCCCAAGGGGAACTTTGCTTTCATTGCTGACGAGGCCCACGCCACTGGGGTCGTAGGCCCTAAGGGCGTCGGTCTCGTCAAGCTGCTAGGTCTGGAAAATGATGTTGCAATTCGACTGAATACCTGTGGCAAGGCCTTAGCCTGTACTGGATGTAAGATGATTAGACCCCGCTGTATCTCCTCATAGTCACTCAAACGGTATAGCTGACGCAATCTTTAAAAGCTGTGGTTCTTGGAAACGCAACGGTCCGAAATATGATGCTGAACTATGCTGGGTCATTGGTGAACACCACAGCCCCATCCTTCCCATCAGTTGCAGTGATTCGCGCAGCCTATAATCTAATGAGAACTGGTGCCACGCAGAAGGTATGTAATACTAGGGCTCAATTGTCTGAGGAATTTATTATAACGAAAAGCCTAGGCCCAAGACAATATACAACATCTCGTTAAATACTTCTTCAAATCCATCACCTCCAGCGAGATCTGGGAAAAGGCGAGTGATATGGGTATCTTGTCTATCCCTGTGGCCGAGGACTATGAGTCGCTAGATTTTGTGACGCATATTGTACCAATATGGACCCGACAAAAGTATAATTGGTGGCTCTTCTTTCACCTGCAACTGGCGAAAATCGCTGTCGTTCCTATTGACTATCCTCAGGTTCCCAAAGGCAAGTCTCGAGTCAGGGTCATGATTCATGCTGAAAATACGGAGAAAGAGGTGGACTACCTGGTGGCCACACTTTGTGACTTTGTCAATGAGATGATCGATATCGAGGAGGGTAGCGAAAAGGGCAAGATCCCAAAGGCTGCGCAAGAAGTCTACGCGTTGATGGCCGCAAACGCATGAATTCTGTCTCATCTGCTTGCAAAAATCTCTCAGCTTATAAGGATAGAAAATAAGGAGCTATCTACTCGCTTTCCTTAGTGAAATGCAACTAACCATCGAATGACTTGGCAGACATAGCCTCACCAGCATTGTTAGGCTCATTAGACTGTCCTATATTTCACTAAATGGAAGTATAAAGTGGTGTTACTGGTTAATTACACTTCATTCATTCACCTATTTCTCCACCAATCACTCTATTTACGACTGATTGATACTTGACAATCTCACCAGTCATACATCGGGACGGCCGCTCAAGTTTCATATGATCATCAAACTATATTTCTTTTAAAAATAAATAGAGTTTAAGATGTAGATTTCCGCAAAGGATATCTTACATGGGTCCCTCGGGGGTCAAGGAAAAAGGTATGCTGAGTTCAACATCTAGTCTGGAATTCATTCGTCCCCTCAGGTGACCAGCATGATACCAGCATTCTACCTCAAAATGTGACAGACTGTATCACACCTTCCCTGTCTATAGCGTAGTATCTCCACGGCATCTATTCAAATACAGTCAGGAGAGTACTGGACTTCATCATCAGCGTGGGGTGTGCATAGATCTAGTGGCAGAGGGCTGGTGCTGAATCAACCCACTACGTCATAGTCAGTCGGAGGACACATCCACCTTGGGTCAATTATATACTCCTTTGAAGACTCCTATAGGCGTGCCAGACAAAGTCAGTGAAATCGACTCGATTCTAGTTCTTTAGTGACCTCACCACAACTCACAAACGAGATATCGAGGAAATGCTTTAAGCAACATGGTTAGACGGCCAGCATATCCCATGGACGTTCTGGACAGGGAAACGGTAAAAATGGAGAATGGGAAAATCGATGGTTTGGTCTGTTTCCTTAAATATCGATGATCCTAGATATATCGTGGCGCCTGGATGGGCCACTGTAGCTGTGCATAAATATAAACAGAGAACTTGCGCCTGCCCCTCCACCACCACTAATATCACCCGACCTCAGGCTATCTCCCGTTGGTAGACGGGAGAGATTAGTGGGTCTCTATTGCCAATGGTGTCATATGATAGTGTTCTTTCACCTGGGTCAGTGTATTTGCCACCGAGTAGACGAGCAGTGGTTCACTTTTAGCATGATTGGAAACGGTATCGTTCCTGCGCGACCCAGAACTACAGATGCTCATAGCGGCCACTCTGCAATAAAGGGGTCCTACGCGATTCTAAAGTAGATAACAATATATATCCTAATTTCTCTACTAGGTAGAGAGAATTATTTTTACTTTTTTTTTTCTTATAGCTAGTTAATGTCTAAACTAGCAGATCAGTCTCGCCGCTGCAGGGATAGCGATAATATAAGTATTTATAGTTTTTTAATAGTCTTTATATCTTACAGTTGAATAGTCTTGTTTTTTAAATCTAATATTACGATTCATATATTAGAAAAGAAAATTATAGGGTTAATAATACTTAAGTACGATATATAAATAAATATTCTGCTGGTTATATATATTTTAGTAGTATAGCCCGAGTTCTAATATAAATTACGCATAGGACGCTAAGACAGTACTATACAGTCTATAGGATTCCTACAGAAAAGTAGAGCTTAGATAAGCTATGGATATTATAAATAGACTGCGTGGGGAGCTGCATAACTGGACGTCTGCAGTGCGCTGTACTCCACCCGCGAACGCCCGTAGAGTGTAGGGTCACCCTATATCTAGAGGAAGCTTAGGGTGAGGTGTGGTGGTGGTGTTGAAGTGGCCGGGGAGGGAGTAGGTGTTTTGTTAGTTATTGTGGAGACGGTGCGTATATAGTTCTAAGTAGTCGATTAATAGTAAGCTGTGGATAGCAGAGAGCATTGTTTTGAGTACAAAAAATGTCTATCTATAGCCTATTCAGATTTAGCCGGATCAGCAATATGGTAGCTAAATATAGAGTTTGTTGGGCTACTGTATACTTCCTGTTATACTAGAGAAATAGCGAGCCTATTCGGTGAAAACACAATAATGATCGCATGCACAAACCGCTAATCCCCACCCTGCACCCTTTCCAGTGTCAGCTCACATGGAATCTACCAACTACTCTTTGCATAAAAAGTAAACAACGGTCTAGGCCCTGGGTCCGTCCGACTCAAAAGGAGCAAATCCCTTGTTCGCATACTGGCCACATGGACCTGCTGCTCCGAAACCTCCTCTACCGGGTCTTCAAATGCCCAGAAGACGCTTTCTTCCTGATATCCATCGGATACTCGCTGGCCGCTCAGACATATAAATGACGAGTCACGTCTTCCAAAGGAAACAACCGTGTTCCCGAATCCAGTATCGAAGTCGTATGTCTGGAACTTGAACAGCGTTCGTGCATTTCCTAGAAGAGTTGGTAGTACAACTGCAGAAGTATTATATCATTAGCTTACTTGCTCAAACCTAATTGGGGGGAGGGGGGGGGGGGGGACTTGAGGAAGCTTACTGTCGCTGAAGCTACCGTTGTCGAGGGTTCGTTCTTGGGCAATCATGGTTACTGTTCTTATGGCCAGCTTTATTGGAGATTAATTAGTAGCTGGCAGGTATGAGAGTATATGGGGTGTGTTGTTAACATACTAGAACAAGCTTCCTGTAATCCACTGGGATGGGATATGAGATTGGCGAGTTTATTTCTTCCGGGTTTTCGTTGATCGCGTGGACCTGTTGTTCCTCTGTCAGTAATGATAGCTGTGGTATTTTTGTGAGTGCTCTAGCTCACTTTGGTGCGGATCACGGAGAGTATGTTCGCCCCTTCCCCGTACAGCTCAGCTTGTTTCTCTCTGCCGTTGATGAACTTCAGAACTGGAACTATTATATATATATATAATTAGTAATTTATCTATATAAGTCTGGTTTGGTGCAGGTTTTATGCTCTTCTTGACGAGCTCGAGGTATGCGTCGTACTGCGTAAAGTCTTCAAAAAGGTACCAGCTCTGGTACAGTTAGTCTCATGTCGTGAGCAGAGTCTAGCGAAAAGCATCTTACCCTCTGGTTTGCAACAGTGTAGTCAAATGGTGTAAATGCATTATTGAAATTCGGGACGTTGGTGTATCTCCACAGGAGCGCACTACCTCAACGTAAATATCCTTTATAACGGGGAAGAGAAGTGGGAAGCGAGAACTCACAATCGTCTGTATCTATGCTTTCCCTCCCTCAACTCCTGGTGGAAATTATCCGCACCTTCCTTGATCGCAAAAAGGTGTGAGTCGTCACCGTCGTGAGGTTCTGCATGGATGACTCCAGCTCGGCCTCCACCTCCAGAGGTATGGATCCAGACTGTGACGCGGGAGTGTTTGTTGATTGTCTCCACGGCACTTCTCACTTCGTTCGTGACGGACCCGGTGACTCCGTACATCGAGAAAGCAATCTCGGATCTAGCTTTACTGTTAGAGCATAGGAATAAGCTGTAAGGGCTCACTGTGATAACCTACGCCTGCCTGATCTCTTCACTGGTCGATTTGTTGACTGAGGAGATGGAGACGCGGGCAAAGTATTGGCCACCTCGGATGAAATCTGACCACGGCCACATTAGCATCTATAAATGGCTAGAAGACATAGTATATATCGACTATCTTACCTGCAATAAAACGATCTCCATACAGCCTATTTGGGTTATCAGTGTTAATCTGATTGAAGGAATACGAATTTCCAATTGATGCTTGTTGCCTGGATGACACCTGGACTTGATATGTGACCGTGCTGCTTTCAAAGCTGTGGGTACAGATAAGAGTAATTTTTAGCCATGTATAACTCCCGAGACATCATGACAGGACAGATACACTCACCTCAGCCGGTCAAGATAGCTTGCGTCGATCTGAGAGGACTGTTTCCAGCCGGAAATAGCAGCGCCAGCGGTTATCTCCAAAGATTGCGCAAGTTTCCTGAACAGCAAGAAAAGAAAATGTCAGTATTACGCCGTCAAGGACGGCCAGGGTGTACGAACGTGTAATCATCGATTCTTTCACTCCAATAGAAGATGTCGTAAGTGTCGGACGCTGGTTGGCCAGGAGTGATAGTGACAGCATCTGCTACACCGATTTGTTGAAGGTAGGTGTTGTATCTAGAGAAAGGATGAATCGTCCAGTACGTTAGCAAAAACCACAATTGTGGCGCAAGGGTGGAAAGAAATTGATCGTACCCTTGTCCCTGCTGCATCCCGTCGAAATATGGAACAAGCTCAGCCATCTTGAGCTATCGGATTGCGGCTACTCTGACCAAAGTGTGCAGCATGAGAAGTCTGAAAGACGGTTCTGATAGTACTCGGTAAGCTTCAGCACATTCCGACCATATGCTGGTGTTCTTATATGCTGGAGCACCAAGTGTACAAGGAACCCTCTGCTTTATACAGATATCACGTCATTCACAATAAATTCCGATAGTATGTCCTCAAAAGGGCCACTTCGCGGTGGCAAACTGCAACCTCCAGTTCTCTCCACGAGGCAATTTCTTCGTGAGTGGATGACTTCGGGTGACAACGATGGCTGTACATTTGCGGAGTAAAGGACGTGAAAGGTCACGATTGCAGTCGGGTTAAGGATGCAAAGTGTCTAAATGTAACTAAGCTAACCAAGCCGGAGTGTAGACACGCAATTGAGATCTGATTTGTGATCGGTGACCCCGATAGAGCCACTAAACAGTCACTGGGTTCTGTCTGCATGAAGCGCGGAGAGGATGCGATATAGATTTATCAATCAATCAACTCGAGTAATTGAGTAAAACTACGGGGAAGAATAGATCCCCCTATCTTCAAGTTAATCTGTCGGCTTTGACTGCTCGAGAACTACTCTTTGCGTGATATTATGCCCCCTCGACCCTTGTAGTGGCAAATGTTGCGTGAGTTGAGAATCGCGCAAGCCCTTCCCCCTCATTGGTAACTGCTCAGCTTGCCCTTCAGCTTGCACTTCAGCTCGAGCTTCCATCTCCACTTCACACTGCTGTAGGTTTACATCGTTGGATTCTCTTGGTTATCTATGATGTTCTTCGCTGGACAGAGTCTAGGGAGACTCGGTGTCTGTTAATGGAACAACAAGAGCTGCACAATCCCTGCTGATTCTGCTGTTGTACGTAATGGGATAGTTCAGCAGGATCCAGACTTCGGAATCCAGTACAGAATCGTGCAGACAGACACGTAGCCAGCAGCGAATATTTACGCATGCTCAACTGGAGGGTGATGATGGTGGTTAAGAACTACAGGCCTCTGCAGCTATCAGAATGTCGGATATTAAGCCCACCCACCCGGTCGCTCAGGACAGAGTTCTACCAGAGGCAACCAAATCTTCCACGCTTTAAATCTGTTAAACATTATACTCTTGATTTTCTCTACCACAGACTCGGAATCTCCATCCATTATATCAAAATACCAGTTTTCAACCATGGCCGAGAGAGCAGAAGCCCAATGGGTCCACATCCGAGTCGTCAACTCCTTGTCCTTCGACACCCTAAGTGTCAGAAACACCTGGCTCGGTTGGTAAGTACAATAAGCCAAATCTACCCAGATTGTAACTAGCCTCTTTTCTAACATATCATATCATCAGGGGCAAATTCCACAAGGAAAACAACAAGAGTGCTGAGATTCCGGTCTCAGACATCAACACTCTCAGAGCAGCTCCTGGCGGTTCGTTTAACGTCTTCGCATGTGGCAGAGCACACTCGCCGTCTGGCACGGAGGGAAGTTTCGATATATACAATGGGGATGTCCGAGTCGCCTATATCTACTGGGACTGTCCTTGGGGCTCAAAGCGCAACCAGTTCCGCATGGAGAGGATTGCTGATGATTACTGGGTGGAAACGGGATATTGGAATCAGTCGGGCGGTGCTATTGGTAGTGTTACGGTTGAGATTGGGAGGAGGGACCGTGCGATTCGGTCGAGTCTTTAGATGAGGTGAATGAGAGAAGAAGTATTTCATTTGGCCTTCATATCTTGCCGTTTCAGAAGTGGATGGGTTGTCAGTTATGTATAGGTGTGGTAGTTGATGGATTTGTGTAGTAAGTGGTATATGTAACAGAGCCAATCCTAGAATCAAAGACTCGCCAAAATTGATGATGTTATTTTTCCACGAAGCGATAGCATATGACACCCTGGACGCTTGCGCTGAGAGATGGCATAATGAAATCGTTGGATAAGTGCACGGTTGAATGTCGCCACTACAGCTAAGGTATCCAGGGCCATACTACGTTAGCGGAATATACATACCCTCCACGTATCTCCCTTTGTACGCTGCCATAACAAAGTGGGAGTCTGACCCAACACACTTAATATATTCCCCATTGAAAGAGCCGAGATATATACTACTTATCAGTTCAGCGGCAACAGCTCGAAATCAAGGCAACGTGTCTCACCTACTCTGCGACCATTTATCACATATCGGAGAGGTTATGACGGCGTAATATCAATAACAACGAGATGGAACGGATGAGAATTGGTCGGAGGGTTTGAAATGGGGTTGCCGCCAATAAGAACACATCGCGTGGATATACATGCCACTGACTATCGGAATACGTTCACTAAATAAAAGTTTGGTACAGATAACCATATTCGACTTCTTTCAGTGCGCCTTCGGTCGAGTCATCAGTGTATGGTTTGCCGGCATTGTGGCCGATTCCCACTTCCAGGATGCATCCCACTTGATATATCTCGTAACCAAAGGCTATTATTCTGTATGGCCAATGTGTTTCGAACTAGAAAGAAGTTGGGAAGAAGCGTGTGTAGGGTCACGAGTTGTCGTGCACCTGTAGTGGCACTCTGGATCTCTGATTGACGAACGGACAGCTCCAAATTGTTCGGGTTCAGCTCGTAGATATTCCCAGATCCGGGGACTGAGACGTCGTGGCTGCTAGTGATATGGTGGTGGGTATACTTCGGTTTTGTTTATGGACGGGCCGGACTTACATAAGTCCGGTGTTCACTCATCATACCTCACCGCAAGCTGAGCCTTAAGATTCTTTCACTTGATTAACGAATCTACCCACTATGGTTACCACCACATCAGACGATGTGCATGAGACTACGGCTCTTCTGGGGCCCAACAGGGTTTCTCAGAAGGAGAAACCCCTACCAAAGGCTCAGATCCTGCTACTCTGTTATGCCCGGGCCGTAGAGCCCTTGGCTTTCTTCTCCATCTTCCCTTATGTCAGTCAGATGATCCAGGACAACGGGAGTGCCAAGGTCTCAGATGTCGGTTTCTACGCAGGGCTCATAGAGTCGCTGTTCTCCCTGACTCAGGCCATAGTGATGATTTTCTGGGGCCGAGCCGCCGATCGCGTCGGGCGGAAGCCCGTCCTGGTCTTCTCCTTATTCGGCGTGACCGTGGCGACGGGCCTCTTCGGACTGGCAAAGTCTATTGCGCAGATGGTTTTATTCAGGTGCCTTGCCGGTGTCTTTGCGGGGACTGTCGTCACCATCCGTACCATGATCGCCGAACACAGTACCAGCAAGACACAAGCTCGATCATTCAGTTGGTTCGCTTTCAGTGGAAACTTGGGTCTCTTCCTGGGTCCTCTGCTGGGTGGTAGCCTTGCCAACCCAGCACGCCAGTATCCAGGTGTATTTAAGGATACTGGGTTCTTCGCTGACTACCCATACGCGCTATCGAGCTTGGTGGTGTCGCTGGTCGGGGCTACCGCTGCATTTTCTAGTCTTTTTTTCGTCCAAGAGACGTTGAAAAGAGAGCCTGCTACATCGGATTCCAACCCCGACGAAGGGCTGTCAGTCTCGCAGCTTTTGAAAGCCCCCAGTGTGGGGATAGTTCTCTACGTATATGGACATATTATGGTACTCGCCTTTGCCTACACAGCCATAATCCCAGTCTTTTGGTTCACTCCCACGTACCTCGGTGGATATGACTTCACCCCTCTACAAATATCGGTGCTGATGGGTCTGAACGGCGCCGCCCAAGCTGCGTGGCTTCTCCTGGCTTTTCCCCCATTGCAAAAGAGAATCGGGTCAAATGGAGTCATCCGCCTATGTGCCTATGCCTATCCTTTCTTCTTCCTTGCCTGCCCAGCTGGTAATATCCTTTTGCGCCTGGACACCGAGGCATCAGTTAAGGTTTTCTGGGTCTTCTTACCGATAGCGCTGGTGGTCGGCTCTGGGGTCAGCATGAGCTTCACAGCCATCCAGCTTATTTTGAACGACGTCTCCCCCTCGCCCAAAGTATTGGGTACGCTGAATGCCCTGGCCTTGACCGGGGTTAGCGGCCTGAGGGCAATTTGCCCGGCCCTGTTCACCACCCTCTTTGCTTTGGGGGCGAGAACACAACTTGCCGGGGGATATGCCATCTGGGTACTGATGCTCTTACTTGCTGCCGCATTGTCGGTTGCTGCGCGATATCTACCTGAGCCCGAAAAGCCTAATGAATCCCGAGGCAACTCAGTGGAGGAGTGAAAACGAGGAAGGATATTTTTCAGTATCTCTCGACTCTGCAATGGTGGTATTTTGACGAATTTAATTTTTTACATAGCGGTTGGGGTGGCGGCTTGCTGATTGGTTACGCTATATCTGTTTACATGGTTTATACCTTTAGATAATACAAAGATATGATGCTTGTTGTGGCTATCTGCCAACTGAGAGTATATATGAAGCTGTTCGTTTAATTCGTTGTGCAGGACTCTGTAGATAAGCGGCTACACTGGTCGTCTTTGCGGCAGAATATTGATTTGAAAACACATCGAAAACACAAGAATGCCAACGATGAATATAAAAAGCATAGATCCAACTAGGACTCGGAAATAACCGCAAAGACCAAGGATCGGACCGCATCAGACCGGACTATACTGGTCTTCGGTCCTAATCGTGAGTAGAGTAGCATAACCTAACCGCTGTAACCTACCCATAAGTTATAACCTAACTTAACTGGCCTCGGTTATTAAGATATAAAATTTATTAACTGATCTAGATATAGTTAAATTAAAATTAATTAATGTTTTAACTATAATTAATTTAATAGATTACTCTGAATTTAAGTTTTAACATACTATTATCTTCTCTAGGATACTCAGCTCGGTATGTCACTAGCCACGGAACCTAAAGAAAGTATTAGGTGTGACGGAGGATCTACTATACAGGGTAGATAGCCTGTCAACTAGGTAAGGAAACGTAGGAGGAAAGAAGAGATATCTATCAGTAACTGCGTGGTAGAACAAAGACAAAAAGATTAATTCTTGTCTCTTCTATCTATGTATTTAGACCTCTTTAAATAGCTTTAGGATCCTTCTTTATTCGGTAGATCTTTCCCGCTGAAGAGTCGGTGAAAGGTCAGGTAATCTCTCCTCCGACCGATTCTAAACCGTAGGGGGTCCGAGGTCTTATGTAGGAAGGACCGGGACCAGGGCCTATGCACGATGAACCAGGATATAGGGGCCCGAGGGTTCTGCAGGCTTCACGGGCCGATTGCTCATCGCCTCCGTTACATACTCCTTATCTGTACCCGCAAAACCTTTGAAGTCGGTATATCCTCTCTATATATGTATTCCTCTATATATCTACATCACTCCATCGGAGAGTACTTTTTGGTAATAGCAGTAATTAACCAATTCCTGAATATTTTAATTATGCTGTAATATTTCAAGTGCTAAGAAACCACATCATACTAAAAACCAAGCATATATCGCTTCTCGTTGTTGAAATATGAAGTTGTGAAAGATTGCATTTAGTATGGTGTTTTTGGGATGGCCAGGCTGGCCCGGAATTAGGTTACTAATTGATGACTAACTAGATTGTACCCTTCGCCATCCATCAGCCCCGCAATGGCGAGGAATTTCATCCGGAGTGCCAACAGGAGCGTTTGTCCATTTGTCACACAGCGCCTTGGTTCTCCTGAGAGCTTCCAAATCATCACATGACACGGGAGATGCGGCTCAAAGTTGCTTCTGCATGCGACTCCTGTAGAGCCCGAAAAGTCAAATGTAATGGAGCCAAACCAGGTGTGTGTATCTTGAACTCGTTCTGACTCAGAAACTGACAAGGAATACCAGTATGTGATGTATGCGAGAGGCGGAAAAGAGCAAATCCATGCACCTACGGTGGGAAGAAACTGGTTGAAGTTGCCCACTCTGGCAATCTAAGGCGACAGGATTCCGGCGCTCATTCGTCTCATCCAAGCTCTTCTCGTTCTTACGGAAGGCGTCGAGCTAGTGCATCACCTGAGGCATGTCGAATCATCACCCCTGTCTCCCAGGAAAGGCCCGATCCAGGTAGAGAACTACCCTCTACGGAGGGAGTTGATTCCATGATCGGCACAATTGGGAGAGTCACTGACGCGCCAGAGTTCTTTGGCAAGAGCAGTGCAGGTTCCTTCATGCGGCAGATGCAAGCCGGGATTGACTCTCAACTAAATCAGCTGTCTGGGAATGCCGACAGCCATATTGAGTCCGGACCTGATATGACGGAACCTGATCCAGCCATCTGCTCTGACGGATCGAGATTTCACTATGTGCTGCCCGCACGCAGAACAGCAGATTCTCTTGTACAGCATTACTGGGAGTTGACTTATCCGGTTTATCCGTTTCTCGATCGTGCTTCCTTTGAGGAGGACTATCAGGCCCTGTGGACAGGCTCACCCACCAGACTTCCTGAACGTATTGTAGTAGCTCTGGTCAACATTGTATTCGCGCTGGGTACGCAGGTCTCACGAGCTGTACCGCCTGAGCAGCGACAGAAGGCCGCAAAGACATACTACGACGAAACGCAAAACTCGCTTTCGGGGATCTCTTGGGATAAGAGCTCTCTTGAGCTTGTCTCGTGTCTTTTGCTTACAGGCGTCTTTTTGCAGACGATCAATAGACCGCAGCGATGCTGGATGGTGATAGGCTATGCTATCAGAATGGCTGAAAGTCTCGGACTTCATATGCCGGAGTATGGCATAGGGACGCAATCTAGACGATGGACTCAACTTGCACGAAGGGTTTGGCATGGTTGCGTGTTGATGGACCGGTGAGTCAGGAACATGTCAGATCCGTCGTCGATGAAAACTTACAGTCTGCATTCTTCTTGGCAGTGTGTTATCCATGACTCTCGGTCGACCGGGAATGATCTCCATTTCTTTGGCTACCGCAGTTCCCCTACCGTTGGAGATTGACGAGGATTTCGTAGACACTCAGTCAGAGGGCTTTTCAGTAAGACCAGATGGACATCAATGCCGGATTTCATTCTACATCCACCAACTTCACTTTTACGGAATAATCAACGACATTCTTCAGACCTTCTACGTGACTGGTAGTGAACAGCACCAGGAAGCTGACAATATTGTGAAAGCGCTACGACTAGAAAGTTCTCTCATGGCCTGGAATCGGAAACTGCCACCATTTCTGCGCGAGTCATCCCCTGTGCACGAGAAGAACATCTGTTTGCAACGACTGGCAATCATCAACAAAGTCCGGTAAGTTCAGAGGGTTGACCTTACCTCCACCCAGAGTTCATGTTATATTGCAGGTTTCTTCATGGCCGAATTCTACTCTTCCGACCGATTGTGGCTCAACTATGCCTGGAACGAGACAAAGATAATGGTCTTAGCGCGACGTGGGTTGAGAGCCTTGCCCGACATACTGTCATAAAAGGCTCGAACTTATGCCTGAAGGATTCACATCAGGTGATAGACCTAATCTATAGGTATCTGGACCGCGACACGGTGACTGGACCACTTCCCTCATGGTGGTACTGTGTTCTTTGTGCGCACTCTCCAACTTTCAGTTTGTCCGTTCTTCCTAACTTTAATTAGATGTCTACACAGCCGCGACAGTCCTTCTGGCCGAACGACTGCAGCCAGTCATCGCAGTGGGCATTACCGAATACTCGACTGACGTCTCATGGCGACATGCTATTGAGATCCTCTCTGCATATGCCCGGGTCGGCGATTCAGCAAAGAGGTGTGTAGCTGTGTTGGAAGCATTGTCGGCCAGGATTGACCAGGCGCCCGGTTTCAATTCAGAACAACCCATTATAGGGTCTAGTCCTGTGCCATTCTCCTTTGAATTCTTCCGGGAGGATTTTGGCTTTAGTAGCGAGGGATTCAATCTCGATGACATGTTGTGGCTTAACGGTCTACCTGGCAACTTATGATAATCTTGAATTATATTATGAAGACAGGGACACAGTCCTATTTTTCGCGGTCTATACACCAGGATTGATTATGCCATCCCTGCCCTCCCCTTTTTCCCCATCATAACTGGGCCATTCATGATATCGCCGGATTCGAGAACGCCCATACCGAGCCGTTTCGTATACGAATCCTTGCTCTTTTTGACAGAAGTTCGCAACATGACCCAGCGCAGGTATGGGAGTTCGCTCAAAACCTCATTCACGCAGTCGATAAGCCAACCCCCTAGACCTAGACCCTGATACTCCGGCAGGACATAGAGGTCGGTCAGGTAGGCGAAAGTAATGTTGTCTGTAATAAGGCGGGCAAATCCAATCTGTTCGATATCGGTTGTTTTGAATTCGTCTGGCTGTGGTTTTGCGCCATTGCCGTTCGCCGCAACGGGGTTGTGGATAACCTTGTATAAACCGAAGCAAAATGAACGGTCCACGACGCTCTCCAAGATATGGTCTGGAACTGGATTGACCCAGTACATAAAGTCCTGTCCAAAGGCGTGGTTGATCGATGGAATCGAGAGAAGGTTCTTGTCGGTGGAAATGAGGAAATCATTTCGTGACCAGCATTGAGGGTCGGTTTGTAATGACATGGTGACAAGAAGTACTCAAGAGATAGTCTGTGGTTCCAAATCCAGAAACAAGAACGGAAAGTAGAAATAAACTGTTTACCATTCAGCGCGCCAGTTGAAGATGTTGCTTTAACTCGTCACAAGCGATATCCTGACCAGGAGAATATAATTTCCATTGGTGTTGGGAATAGTGACAGTGGCGTGGCTCCGAGATTCTCGGGGTGGACCACGGAAGAGATGATAGTAGGTTGTTGTGGTGGATTCCGCATATTCATGATTGGTGGGCAACAGGAACGCATACTCTTCAACAGCGGGCGTCTCCGAATCTAACACCAATCACGTTTCGGTCCGAAAACAACTATAACTTGAACTGATTTCAGAGTGGGACGTTTATCGGCCGAGTGGACGCAAAGTACTGAGTCGCTGCTTGCTTGAATGAGTCAAGGAGCCAGCCAATCAATGTACGTGAACACAAATACCCTTTGTAAATCTTACATTCCATCCTCAGCTTGATATCTGAATCAAAAGATTGACTCCCTATCCCGCTCACATTGGCTTTAATCAGACATGCAGTCGCTCCGACAGTATAGGTGCATCGACCGCTCCGTCCAGAATAGGATCCTTCAAGACACAGAGAAAAAATTTCCGCGTGGGGATTTTCCAGACGCTTTGAATGGTAAGTCAAACAGCGGCTTGACTCAATTTCACGAATTTACGTGTCCTACGATATCCCCTCCAGATTCATCTTCGGACCCTAGTCTTACAGAGAAGACTTCTGCCATCATTCCCGTGCAGTGGGATGCAAGCGATTGCTACCTCAACCCGCGTCAATACAGCGTGCGTCGAAAAGCGGCCATAACTGCTATTGTCGCCATCATTGCCATTGCAGTGACTGCATCTTCAGCCATAGATGCAGCTGGCGCTGCAGAATATCAGGCCTATTTTGGTGTCTCAGATGTTGTGGCCTCGCTACCCACGGGTATGTATACCTCTCTCTCTCTGTCACATCAGTCAATCTAACCATGAGCTGATGGATGCAAATGAAGCACTATTCCTCATAGGCTTTGGACTCGGATCCCTTATATCAGGACCGTTTTCGGAAACATTCGGCCGCAGCATTGTTTATATCGTCACGTTGATCATATTCTTGCTCCTCATCATGGCCTCCGCTCTTGCACCGAATCTAGCCAGCCACTTGGTATTCCGCTTTACAGCAGGAGTCTTTGCAGCAACTCCACTTACCTGTGCTGGGGGAACGGTTTCAGATTTATGGGACCCCCTGCAGAAGACATATGGATTTCCAATCTATGCAATTCCGGCTTTCACGGGACCGATGATTGGGCAAGTCATCGGTAGTTATATCCCGAGCACCTTAGGGTGGCGCTGGTTGGAGTGGATCATGCTTATCACCGGTGGGATAGTGCTGGTGACTGTTGTTCTGTTACAGAAGGAAACTTACCAGGATGTATTACTCCAATGGAAGGCAATTGCCCTGCGCAAACGAACCGGGAACCAGTACTATAAGGGGCCTATGGAGCTCCGCTCCCTCAGCTTGCGACAACGATTGGTGCTCGCTATTTATCGGCCTTTCATATGGGGATTGACTGAGCCGATTGTCATTCTCATGTCCCTCTATCTCACGGCCGTCTATATCATTCTTTTTCTCTTCCTGGAAGGATATCAGTTCATTTTTAAAGACATATATCACTTCTCGGAGGGTCAAACAAACGTTGTTTGGATGGCCATGGTCGTCGGAACGGTATCAACTGCTATTCAAGTACCGGTTGTCTGGATATGGACCAAGAGGGAGTACAAGCAAGCAGGACGCGTTCGGCCAGAAAGTCGACTTTGGTTCGCTATGCTGGGTGGGGCTATATCCATCCCGGTCAGTCTCTTCTGGCTGGCGTGGACGAGTTCTGTGAGTGTCCAATCAGCCTATTCCAGACTTCGATCCCATTTGAGAACCGCTGATACTGATTTTGGAGTATATTGCAGCCTTCCATCACTGTATGGTCTCCCATCTGCGCTACAGCGCTCTTTGGCTTCGGTATAACGACTGTCTTCATTAGCACTCATATGTATGTGATTGATTCATACGAGAAGTATTCTGCTTCGGCACTGGCAATGCTTGTGCTCTCGAGGTATCTAGCTGCTGGTGGGATGACTATCGCGGGCAATCCGATCTACTCCAAGTTCGGTGTCCCGTATACATTGTCGACCCTCGGAGCCATCAGTGCAGTCATGGCAATCATTCCCTATCTCTTCTATATCCACGGGCAACGCATTAGTAACGCTAGTAAGCATGCTGTGGTTCGTGACTAAATTGAAGGGGCATTTGGATGAGGTAGCCGGAAATTTCCGTCGTGGCCTAAGAGCTTTTCAAATGCTCGTTGTTTCATAATTGTTGAAAATTGGGCCGGGCTTCGTTTGGGTGCGTAAGTTGGCGGAAGGTTCTTGAGTGTGTTGATAGGTTGATGCCAAAAAGTTCTCGGTCTTCGAAATATAGATTTTTTCTCCTAGATATAAGGATTGTAAATATTCAACTGTGAGCTAATTTGAAATCATAGTGGTGGATTTAACGCGTTCTATGCACCAGAGGACCGTGCATCAGGTGGTAAACTACCGCCGGAGCAGCACACACAGGCTGGCCAATTAGGAACGGATCCGAGGTGGCTTTCCACCAGTGTCCACCACCGGCATCGGATTCACACCATTACCATCCCCCATAAGAAGGATGCAGTCCACCATTCGTTACTTTCAACAATGCATTGGCAGCCGTATCCGTCAAAATGACCACCGGAACCTTCACATACATCGACCCTTCGTCTGTTTTGGCTTCAACCAGCGGTTCAGTCAAGCCTTGGAACAAAGTTGATGTCCATAAGACCTCATTCAGAACCATGGATTGCGAGCGAACTGTTACCAATATTCGTCTGGAATGTGGCGTATCGGCGGTCAGCTTGGATTCGACGGGGTTCGCGCTCGTCAACCATCCCGTTCGAGAGGAATATTTCAATGATGACAGTGCGGTGCGAGGGGGATATTATGCAGATGTTGAAATCCTTCTGCGCGGAAACCTCCCAGGGATCAAAAAAATCACCATTTTTGATCACACGATCCGCCGGCGTGAAACGACAAGCCCACGCCAGCCCGTGAGACTGGTCCATGTTGACCAGACGCCAGCTGCCGCAGAGGCAAGGGTTCGACGCCACATTTCAGACGAGAAAGAGGCACTAGAGCTCTTAAAAGGTCGATACCAACTCATCAACGTCTGGCGGCCAATAGGCCATAATGCCTCTGACTTTCCTCTCGCTGTCCTCGACTGGCGGTCTACTCTGCCGCAAGACTTCGTCAAAGTCGACTTGATGTATCCAAAGCAAAGCGAAACCTCATCAACTGAAGTTCTCGCAGATAAAGAGTCAATCGATTCGATTGAAGGATACGAGCGTCGCGGAGAGCAGTACGTGCTTACACCAAATGACGAGCAAAAGTGGTGCTATGCAAAGGATATGACTCCCGACGAGGCACTTCTAATCAAGTGTTTTGATTCCAGGGGTCAATATGAACCTTGCGGCATAGTTGGAGTGGCGAGCTCGGCACCACACACGGCTTTCAAAGATCCCGAAACTCCTAGTGATGCAAAACCACGACAGAGTATTGAGGTACGATGTCTAGTATTCTATGAGTAATTGCACTTCATAGATACATCACACTTCGAGGGAATAATGTAACAGTCACTAGGTAGAAAATCAATAAACAAACGTTCAAATTTAACTGTCTAATTACTGTGTAAAGGCAATCATATCTGAATAAAGTCTTTCGCGGTATACTACCTATGCATTAGGGGATAGAGCAGACTCACTTACCACATTGCTAGGACTCCCACTTCTATACTCTCGCATGTCTCAGCCGTATTATCCTGATTTGCTAGCGCAAAAGGCGCTGTGGACGGTCCCGGCAAGCACCGCGTTCCCATTAGACTTCTCGTGGGCTTGTTTCCCTGGGCCACTCGGGCTTCCATCTCGCTACAAACAATTGAATCAGAAGCACATTCTCTGGCTCCTGGTTAGAAATGAAATGCCCAGCATGTCCCCGTCTTGTCTCCCCCGTAGGACAATAAGCGAGGTAACTTCCGGAAAAGTGAGATGATTCCTCGGCCGCTGCAGACTTGGAAGGGCTTGAGGTTGGGACGTCGCTCATCTTCGACAATTCAGGGGGGATATTTTGTCCACATGGCTGCATAGGATCCACAGGGACCAGGTCGGCCAGTGGAAAATTCACACAAGACGCAACAGCAAGAGGGTCGCGGCGAACCGTCTTAAGAGGCCTCCAAACAGAGAAGAGAGCGAACCGGGGAATACCGCAGCCTCCATCTTTACTGTAGTAGTAATCTTTCAGCTGGTCCCACGTAACTCCAGCATCTAGTAATCTGTTTTCAACCATTACGATGTCTTTCAGTGTCAGGGCAAGGTTGCAGTGGTACTTTCGGATATGAGTCCTCGCGCCAATTGGGGAGAGGTCGAGAAGGACTTTTGGCGCCGGGGAGGCAACCCCTGCATTGTTGAACCCTTAAACCCTAGTACATGCGACTTCAAGGGTTGAAGTCGGCATCTGGCCCTCCCATTGGCCCAGGTTTGATGCTCCTGCGTGCTTCCGTTACCCAAGGTGCATGGTAATATATCGGGTTACAGTTACGGGGGGGTCAGAAATTAGTGGCTTGGGGGGGTCTGACCCCCTCGGAGGTCTACCGCCTTGGTCACATGATAGGAGCCGAAAGGGGGTCAGAATTTATTAAATCACATGGTATAGCTCCAAGGGGATCAGACTTTAAATAGAATTAAGATAGTTTTCTGACCCTCTTGAAGCCTTAGTTATAGAGTGGCACGGGTTCCCCACTGGACCCGACCCGAACCCGCCCCAACCCGGCTCTGAATCGGGGGCGGGGAACCCGAGCAGGTTTTTCTTGGCATTATAATATCGATTTTCTAGATTTTGGACTTGCTATCAAGAGGGCTTAAGATGATGAGTCTAGTTTGAGTCTACTAGAGGAAGAAGATGCCGAGGCCAAAGAGCTATAAAAAGAAGCCCTAGAAATTGGATAGTAAAAGAAAGAAGTAATTAAAATTATATTCTCACTAACCTCCGTGAATCGGCCGTGGAGAAGAACTGGAAACGACATTTCTAGAATATTAAATATAGGAACTTGAATGATAATATAAAACCCAACTCTGCAATGAGAGAGCGAATAGTAGAATAGATAGGTAAATTGCCACTTCATCGTAGGGTAAGAGGAGGTAGTATAGTTGCTCTGCTACTTACTAGCGTCGTGGATAGATGAGGAGGCCTATCTTGGTTGACATTATCTCATCCACCTCAAAGTTTGGTGGCAACATCTGAATGAGAGCCCCTGCGGTGGGAAGCAAGCAAGCGCTATACTTTTCCTAGCTGGAGTAGGAAAAAACGACGAGGGCAACCGGCCTAGCAAGCATTTCAGAGAAATATAATCCTCTGCAATGCCCATTCTGTCTCCGCCATGTTTCATCGGGAGTCTCTTCACTTATCCCCCGCTGTCATGCTATTGATGAATCGGCTGGAAGCTCATTTACTCCACATAGCACCACTTGACTCTTTGTGAATCATCTAAGTCATTCTCGCTTAGAAGATGGAGTTGGAAGAGTGTAGCATTGTGTTAATCACGGCAGCGTCTGCTTCTTTTCATTATTTCGGGGGTACGTTCTGTTCATCATGGAATAATAAGCGAACCGAACACTACGTTAGAGAGCTAGCATATAAGCAGCAATTAAGACTCTTAATCGTTGCAACTTTCGAACTCTGAAACATCCACAAATCAACAGCTATGCTCCTAAAGCCTTCAGAAGCTCCCTCCCGACACCCGTTGCGCTTGCTGGATTCTGTCCGGTGATCAAGGGCGCTCCATTCACGGTTTCCGAAACCACAACCTTTTCCGCCCACGGTTCAGTAGCCTTGACATATCGACCTCCAGTAACCCTGTTTAACTCATCCTCCAATAGGTAAGGCATGACTGAAGTCATACCAGCCTGATCCTCCTCGACATTGGAGAAACCAGTAACAGTAGCCCTCGATAGTAGAGACTCCCCCGACTTGGTGGTGGCCTTCACGAACACAGTCGGACCGTGGCAAACAGCGGAGACCGGCTTTTTCAAAGCAGAGAATGCCTGAATCAGATTCAAGAAAGTCTGATCGTAATGAAGGTCGTACATGGCTGATACAATCAACAAATATCCAACCCAGAGCCAGGCACGACTACTTACGTCCATGTCCACCCACGTAGAAAAGAGCATCAAATTCGGTAACCCGGGGCAGAGCGTCTACGAGCCTGATAGTGTTCTTCCATAGATGCTCTTGCTCTTTTAAAAACTTCGTTGAGATGGCATCACTCTCGAACAGTTTCGCGGATCCCGGGTCCAAGGGTGCTTCTCCGCCGTTGGGCGAGGCGATAGTAAGTTCGGCTTTAGTATGGAGGACTTCCCATGGGTGCGCAAATTCAGGCTATGTTTTCATCAATCGTTTGTCCCGAATCTCATCGTATGCTTCTAACTTACCAGATACCACCCGGTAGGATTGCCATTTGCGGGGATTTTATCCTGCGAAGTGAGAACAACGAGTATTCTGAAAGTCATTTTGTCTGCGTTTGGACAGGTTCGTTGAGATAATATTCGGAGAGTACACCGGATTTCTCATATCTTTTATAATCTACAGAGCGTGGCATGCGCCTGCAGAAATCCAACGAGCGAACGAAACCTAGTCCCTGAAGTGCTCGTCATGAGTGGAGCAGCAGCCCACCGCAAAAATAATGCGGAATTTGGGGAACGGATACATAATTACTAATATCACTAATCATTAATCATTGCGGGCCTCAAAGAACAAGGCTGTTCGAAAACAATTTTGTCGGCCGCTCGGATCTACGGAAGAAAAGCTTCTGCTTGCGTCTCATCACACTAAGGATTTAAGAAAGTAACCACGGATCAATAGACCAATCACAGCCATTAATCTTATCTATATTGGAAAACATATTATTTAGAGCTTCTATCCCGATCTCCAGTCTCCATCAAACAGCATTTTGAAAATACAGGATCGAATACGGCAACCTATGAGATTCAAGTATTGGACAAGGAAGACTTTTGTCAACAATACATCTTACCTCTCCAAGCAGAATACCAACTCCCAACTCTAGCCCCATCGGCGGTAAGGGTACGGACGCAGACGCTGTCGCTAACCGTCAATAACGCCACTTACGCAAAGCTGGGCAGTCACTTTAGGTGGTGGGACGTTCACCCTTTGCCGGCCGCCATTCCAAAGGGCATTTCTAACCCGCAGAGATACGGACGAATATCAGCTTGGGGATTCGCTCGAGTTATTGAAAGCAATTACCACCAATTACCGGTAAACAGTGTGATTTACGGTTACCTTCCTATCGGGACTCTCCCGGTCGACCTGCAGCTTTCCCCATCCAAGGACGAAAAACAAGTACTGGAGGTCAGCCCGCATCGAAGCCATGTGCTGCCGATATATAATCGATACTTGATATTCTCTGCCTCAGAAATCGCCAGCTCGTCCCGATAGTCCCGGGGGTGGAGCTCCCTGATACGACCACTCTTCCAAACATCTTGGATGCTCAACACATTCCTCTTTGCCGGGGACGAATCCCTCCTGGTCAAACCGTCTCATCAAGCATCCCCTTGGACTATCCAAGATGCAGACATCACAGGCGCGATTGTTATACTGCTCTCTGCTTCTGGAAAGACCGCATTGACTCTGGCGCACCAGCTTCGGCGGTCTCGTCACCCTTCACTGCAGCCTCAGAAGGTCGTTGGAGTCACCTCTAAGCGTTCGCTGGCCTTCACAAAGACTACAGAATTTCACGATGAAGTTGTCCATTATGAAGCGGCGACTCCGGAGCTCCTGGGCGATATTAGCATTAGTTCATGTTCGAAAGTCGTCCTATGTGACTTCGGCTCCCGTGGTAACAGCTTCCGGACCTGGGTTGAACTGCTCAAGCCCGCCTGCAAATCTCTTATCCTACTTGGTATCGGGGATACACCTCAGGTGGAGTCGCAGGACGCTCTGCAAAACAAGTTTATCCAAGGCGCTTCTTTAGGCAAAATCCAAGTGAATGCGTCGGATCTTTCAGATATGGCAATGACGTTGATTGGAGAGGAAAGATATTGGCAAAGGCTTGAAGAAGATTGGAGGGAGATTTTGGAAACAGGGGCACTTCCTGGTGTATCTCTGGAATGGGGTTCTGGGATGAGTTCAGTGGAGAAGGTATGGAGCATGCTTTGCAGTGATGAGATTGATAGCAGGAAGGGCTACGTCATCGAATTATAGGAATGAAGGTCTTGTCTGTTCTATATATGGATCATTATGCTTCATACGTAATAAAGGGACGAAGGATGTTGTCCTTAGATCTGAATAGTGAGAGTAGACGAATCGTACAGATTCAGCTATAGTAGTAGTAGTAGTAGAAGTAGTAGTAGTAAAACAATGTGAATGTCCGTTGAGATCTACACTGGATGGCCAATCTCTGCAGTGGTAATCTACCATCACCCCAGAAAACATGAATCTCATTCATTTGCATCGATTTGCATCAGAGGTACCTGGGCTTCGTCATCAGCGTGTGGAAAATAGCCATGTACCCTCGCCAGTACTCGAACATGTGAGCTGGACAACGCCTGAACGTTCCAGAGGAAACATCATGGAGGGGTGTCCAGTGGAATGTAATGAAATGTGCCCGAAATCTTGTGAGCTCCCTGCCAATGGTACCGCTGAACCAGCTAGACAACGCTCAGTTGGGAAAGCCTGAGCTACAGATTAAGGGTCTACAATCATCTTAAGAGGTTGTGAATGTACTGAACTAATAAAACGTCATGATGTATTATTAAACAGTTTTCCCCCGAGGTTGTGTCAGGAGATAATCTATGGACTAGAAACTGGAAATCATTCCTGTAAAGTGGATTTCTGATCAGCTCTACTTCAATGTAACACCCTCTCAGGGAAATATAGTCATAGCATTGAAATGGCGGGTATTGATTTCAGTTCATTCCACAGGAAAATTCGCAACGGCTATTCTGGGCATAATTCTTTCCACCCAATATTAGCGCAGTAACTACTGAAGGTACCTTAACGTTTGCCAGCGTCATAGCTGCATCATCGAATAGTTCCTATTCCAGAATTAGATTTTTATGTCAGTCCAAATAATGCTATTGCTTATTAACGAATAGTAGGATAATCTGCTTCGTAGCGACAATGGCGTGGCGAGACTGTCTCCGCCTGGCTCATTTTTACTAGTTAACAAGATGCGGTATGTCCGCTTGCGTATAATACTATAACTTTTCGTTGGTTGAACGGCTGATGGATGATCACGATCACACAATACACAATCAAGAATAGCCTATCCTACTCGAGACACATAGATTTGTAGTACAAACAATAGCCTGACAACCTCGGCATTTCATATTAAAATTGGTGAAGAGTAATGGAGGTTTCTCAAACCTCCTGGACCTCCTCGGTTTCGAGCCCCTCAATTTGCAGAATCTCCCAATTCCTCCTGATCAACGAGGAGACCAACCCAACGATATGGAGTCACATCTGTGAAGTTCTTAATGTCCGCCCTCACTTCGTCCACATCCTTCGCATTCGTAAATGCTTCCATGTCTTTCCAAACCATCGTGGCTTGCACGTCATATCCAGTGTCTTTGACTCCGGCTGTGACAGTCCAGCTCTGGAGGCCTTGGTGCCCCCAACGGCTCTTGACCAGCGGGATGTGATGGTTGAGGTAATAATCCATGCTGAATTTGGATGTACTTGACGTGGGATATATCACTTGAACGACAACTCTCTGCGACGGCATTGTGAAACTCGTAGTAATGGATTCGTGGAGTTGGACGTAAGGTTCAAAAGAGAATAGGAGTCATTAAGAAAGACTTATATATAACAAACAAATGTGATCCGATCCACGTTCGCCTAATTCTGGTCAAGCTGACAGATCCAGATTATATAAACAGATTGTGTGTAGAGTGAAAATTCTCCTTGTCGCGGTCGTCACCAGCGTATCTCCATGCTACGCCGTTTAGTGATCATATGGAAAAGTCCCCGAGACGGAGCGGGTTTGTCTTCACGCACATTTGGATTTGATTATTAATTGATCGACCATTTACTACCATAGTAATTAGGGAAGGTACTTACTGGTCTAGACCTTTTCTAAGGAGTCAAGTTGCTGTCGGGTTATGGGACTCAAAATTGATCTGCTTCGCCCGAGGGCCCGCCTTAGATGCCTCGGTGTACCGTAAACTCGGCGGGGAATTCCTCCGTTTCCTAGTCGGTAACTTTCCAGGCGCTTTACGCCACGAAAGAACACCGCTCATGTTCTTACCGTCGGGCTTTGGATCATTGAGCGATTTGTCGCCCATGTCAAAATAAGTTTCCCGATGCCCTAGTGCGTGGTCCAGCCAGCCCGCGCTAGATTTACTCCTCTGTCCATTGGTCCCTGGCCTCGATCCCACTCCCCCGGTACGTCCTCCCGCCTGTCAGCTGTGTATGGCCTGTACAATCTCCCCCCGGTACTCTGTCGATTCTTTTTCTCTTTTTTTTTTTTTTTATTAGGGCTTAATATTGTTGTGGAATTGTGTCTTTTTTGGTATTAGCTTAATGGAGAGGAGATAATCTATTAACTTATCATTCTATATATTCCCTCCTGTATAACAAGATTAGTATTCTTAACATGTCTATATATTATATCAAACTCGGTTAGATTGAATTGTAATTGTACTCTCTCTATTTTTTTTTTCTTTCTCTATATCCTAGTACATGAGGGATGTACCCTACACTCCATATCCGGGCCCGCTGATTGGCCCGATTTTGGTGTCCTGTGTGCCCCCGCCGCCCAAAGTACGTGGCAATATGTCCGCTGTCCCCTGTCGTATCTTATCGTCCGCGCGCCACATAGATAACTATCTGTTGGATTAGATAACCAAGGTTTCATTGGGAATATACTAGAAATGAATTGGGATATATTCTCTTTTTTACTTCTTCTTTTGTCTCTACTCTTTCCGGGAGAATTGCTCTGCAGATATATTCTTTAATATATACTGCTGCTACTATAAGTACAAGGGATCGATAGCAACCGTCGATGGACCAGAATATCTCTCAGTATTGTTTTATCTGTATATAGTTATTTAATATAATCTGTATACTATTATATATATATCTGGTAATACTATAGATCTATTTTCAGATTATACTCTCTGAGACGCTGGTTTTCTACTCCTTAATCTTTCTCAGTTTCTCTCTCTCCTGGAACTGTTTCCTATACTGTATATATATAGCTCTGGAAGTATAGATCTCTTTTTATACAATTCTATATACTGTATCTGGATCTGTATATCCTATCAGTATACAGTCTGTCTACAGTGTCTAGAGGGCTATCTCTGCTGACAATATAGTAAGTATCCTACTGTAGCAACTCTGATACTCTGCCAGACAGTCTTAACTACAATACTTCAGAAACTGTGGCTGGATCCGGTATAAGAGCTCTGTATATTCTCTCTACCGAGCAGTTCTTCTGTACCGGGACTCCCAATCTTTCCCGGTCTCGGCTGTATTTACTGTCTATATATCTGTTATATACGCGAGACCCTGTGTGTCAAAGTTATCTACTAATCAGGGTAGAAGACCTGTCAACTAGGTAAGGATACGTAGGCAAAACAACAGTAGATAGGCTTATCGACAGAAGGCTGATTCTTGATTTCCTACTAATGACTACAGTACTAATTTATAGCCAAGGACCCCTAAGATTCTCTGTACACAATGACCAATTCTCAGAAGGGGGCCACTGTACGTCATTAGAAAGGTGACTGATATAGACATCGAAGGCGCTGTTCGGCCACCGGGATATCCATATACCTGGGGCAGGGTATACTGTACAGTTACCTTATATGATTATTATCCTTTCTGTGACACTGTGTAACTATCTCCTGCACATCTATTCTGAGACACAGGTAGGACACAGGGATCAAAGACCGCTGAACAATCTCGAGTTATTGGGATATCCGATCTACTGTCAGTAATTTTTTCTTTTAGCAGCCGGCAGTATCTTCTTTGAGATCTGGTCCTTGGTACAGGCCAAGCAGCTTCTCCAGAAATCAGAGAGAATAAGTTACATAGTATTTATCCAAGCGCAGATCAATCTTGATCTTGACTACAATTTGACAGTGGACCAGACAGATAATCAGCAGATCTCCGCGTAGCAAGATTCTACCGAGATCTCTCCTTGGCTAGAGCTAATACAGTGGCTGAAATATCTCCGGGATTATTCCTTCTCGGCTGTTATAGTACTGGCGGTCTTATCCTATCTATCTCAAGAATCTCTTCTGATTCAATTTAGTTAGAGTCTTATATAGCTGATCGACCGCGCGTACCAGACTATCAAGGATTATCGGGTAAACAAGTTTAACTAGATCCGGATTAACAGCTTCCTACAGCGGCCCGGGGTCTGGGACCGTCCGATCCAGATATATCTTAAGTCCTCTATCTACCAACACTACCGATAGATATGGCAGTATCTGATCTGCTTTATCTACCGGACTAGCTATCCCGGCCAGCCGATTGTTCTCTGCTATTAGCTGACCACGGCCCAATTGACAGCTCTCAACTGAATAGAAATATCCGTATAACAGCTCCTGTACAAGAAAGAGTCCAAGTCTGAGATCCAGACCTAGCTGAATAAGATATATCTGGTCTTCTCAAATATCCTGCTTAACTATTTATTAAAAGGAGATCTCTTCGAGAGTATAATAGTTGGCTTCCTGGTTGTATTAGGAGTCGACACAGCTAACTAAATATTCTATACCCTAGTCCCTGGAATCTCTGGGATTGAAGTTGGCCTTCTATTGGCCTAGGTTTAGTGTTCCCGCGTGCACCCGGTACCGAAAGTGTATGGCAATGTATCTGTGTCTGTCTCCATTCTTCCTTTCCCCCCCTTGTTTAGTCAGCGGTCTTGCTCCGCTACTATCACCACTATAGAAAGGAATATATACTGTGTAAACTGATTGTATATTCACTGTGACAGTAATAATTCAGCAGAGTCAATATTGATCCGTAGATTATTGAATCCTAGAATCATAATTATTTACACTGTAGTATAAAAGATTTAAAGTAACTGGTAGTTTGATTAAATTTATTCCTGTGGTATGATCTCTGTATAGTTTACTAATACAATATAATATATAGTCAGATATATATCTTATTATATTATATCCTATTTTTGTATTCCGCCCTCTGAGATTCTGGGGGTTTTTCTATTTATATTTCAATTCTATCTCAGTTGATCTACTTTCCTTGATATACTTTTGAGATTGCAAGTAGCGGTATGCTATGAGAGGTAGAGAGTTGCCGACCTCCTACTAAAGGTAGGGGTCGCTACGTCCTTTATATACACAGGGTAGTAAGCACCGTAGGGTTAAGCCCGTGGTGCAGTCACTAGGGCCGTAGCTAAAGTGAAAGGCTCCCTCACGTAGCTCTGTAGTACCGTTACCTCAGCGTAGCTGCGATCACACTTTTATATCTTTGATTCTTGAACAATGGACCTCTTCTTGTATAATTCTATATATTGTGTCTGGATCTGTATTTTCTGTCAGTATGTACTCTGCCTGTAGCGCCTGGAGAGCTATTTCCGGAGACAATATATTAAATATCCCACCGCGGCCATATCAGTGCTTTGTCAAGCGGCCTTGACAGCAATGCTCCAGCGGCTCTGGCTGGATCCAGCCAAAGAGCTCTATATATTTCCTACTTCCAGTAGCTTCCCGGTGCCGGGGCTTCCAGTCTTTCCAGGTCTAGGCTGCACCCACTGCGAGTATATTTATCGATCGCTGTATACCCTGCGGAATCATATTGCCTGCACCCACCCGGAGACCGGGCAAGGCTGTCTAGGAAGTCGGTAGTCCAAGAGTATAGAATTGCTCGGATACCCGGTTTATTGCCATCGTTTCTTTGTAAGGAATACAGGCAGTGTCTTTTTTAAAATCCAGTCCTCGGTGCAGGCCAAACAGCTTCTCCAGAAACCGGATAGTATAAGCTGAGTAGTATTTATCCAAGCCCAGGCCAATCTAGATCTGGACTACGACCTGGCAGCGGACCAGGCAGACAATCAGCAGATCGTTAAGCAGTGAGACGCTACCGAGATCTCTCCCTGGCTGGAGCTAACCCAGTGGCCAAAATATCTACACGGCCATTCTTTTCCCGCCGTGACGGCTCTGGCGGCCCTGCCCCACGAGTACCAGGAATCGCTGCTGGTCCAGTTCAGCCAGAGCCTCACGCGGCTGATCGGCCGCGCGTACCAGACTATCAAGGATTATCGGGTAAACAAGTTCAACCAGATCCGGATCAACAGCTTCCTGCAGCGGCCCGGGGTCTGGGACTGTCCGATCCAGATCCATCTCAAACCCTCCACCTATACCCTAGTTATAGATAAATTACATTAGAATAGTTATATAGTAAAAACATCTTCTGATACTTTACAAGAGACTCTGTTAGCTACCCCTTGTACTTTTGGTTGCCTCGTCGCTGCTATACAGAAAGCGCTATGAATAACTATTGGCTATAGAGTTTGTTTTCAGTCCTTTTAAACCTATGATTATTATAATTTTTATCTTCTCCTTCGAGGGTTTCCATTCAGCTGTCTACAGACAAGGACGTAGAATATATACACAGAATATCAATGGAATAAAATATAAAAGTACTTTGATCAGGAGATAATACTACTGGATTATACTAATTTACGACCTGTTTCTTCTTTCACACCCTGACATATCAGATACCCTCGCCAATCTCGGGAGGCGCCAGAAAGAGAACCCTTGTATAATATACTTTAACTGTTCTTAATTTTTTAATTTAATTTTAATTTTAATTTTATAAATGTGTCCAGAAATTACTAGTCTACTTTGTTACCAAAGTATATAACTCAAGCAGCTTTTTTCCACTGTCAAATATTGATCAAATTGCAGAGATTTATTATTGCAGAAAGTTAGTTTTGTGAAAACAGTTGATCTCTTTATATCACGCGAGCAAGGGGATTAGCACGACAAATATAATTTACCGGACAGTATTCATAATAATATTTGGCTTTGGGATCGAGATTGGATCTGCTCAATTTAGGCGAAATCTACAATTATAGTTTGGGCTGTGTTACTCTGTAATTTCAAAAAGTTTCGAGATAAGCGGCAAGGACTTGAAACTAGCTATTAGTAGAATATACCTGAAGAACTTTATATTCTATCCCTTTTCTATTAATCTATCAATATTTGTGATATCTCTAAAGTTAGTGCCGGTCTGACCGGCAATTTTACTCTGGATACAGCCTCTTTTGGCGAGTTATACTATACTGTTAGGCTGCAACACAGAGTTCTGATCGGAAAGACTTTGCACAGATTGTGCCATGTTTTCTTCATATCGTGGGAGAAAGTTTGTGGATAGCAACTATCGAATATTAGTGTAATAAATTAGGTAGCTTCGATAACCCCACACTATCGATATGATATATTTAATTCACCTATCTCTGTTCTTGTATATTTTTCGGTATTCGTAGTACAGTATTATCTATGCTTATTATATACTTTGGTGGTTATAGTATTTCGGCACAAAAATAGGATTATGGTATAGATAATGGAGGATCTATTCTTATATTAACACTAGCGCCAACAACCGAGAAGACCAAATTGAGGAGCTTGTCAGTGTTGGAAATTCCCCTGGAACTACTACAGGAAGCCTTCCAAGCAGAGAAATCTGGGATAGGATATAGTTTAGGCTAGAGGGTTTATTTGAATTCTAACAGCCTTATTCACAGCCGGGGTAGACCTAATATTTTACTACCAATTTTAGACCTGTCCCCACTACCCGTGCGGTAATAATAAATGCTGTTTCTCCTAGAAGTATTACCCCTGAGAAGATCTTTATATAAGTATAGTCTCCGCCAGCGTACTGTAGGATAGCCCCGGTAACCGGACTTGTTATCAGTCTATTCACCGATACAAACAAGAATAGCAGACCAGTACAATACCCGATCTCTTTTAATAGTAAGATCTGAGTGATCAGCACAGGTCAAAGACTAATATAGGCTCCAGATACAAAGCCAAAGAGGATTACAAACACAATAATAGATATTTTAAAGATAGCGGGAATCCAAAAAGCGAGTACTAGTACACCAGCAACAATACATATAGCAATAAAGATATTGTATCTACCGTACCGATCAAATATAAATCCTGCTCCGAGACAGCCAAAGAGACTGGCCGTGTTCAACATTGGGACCAAGTATAACACGAGATCTGCGCTTATTCTGCTCACGACCGCCTGGACAATGATATAGTTAATCGGGATAAAGACGCTATAGATAAAGTATATATCTCAGCAGGGTAATGATGAACACAGGCTCCTTGAATAGTTGGATCAACTGTACACTGGAAGATTTTGGGCTTTGCTGATAGAAATACCGTGTCTTGACAATGACAATAGCGATCCCAAGTAGAAACAAGATTATAAAGACAGAAATTCGCATACTCTAGCCAAAGCCAACTTTGGCTATAAGGCAGTCGATTATAATAGAGAATATTACCCCTCCGATACTAGAGCCCGTTAATAGAGTAGCAAAAGCGATACCCTGTTTGCGATTAAACCAGGCGCTTACAGTGCTTAGGGTTATTTTGATTAGTTTCTATAGCCAATAGAGAGACAGAGAAGAATATTACCGGGTTAAAATATAGCGGCCGCGCCAATAGTACTACAGATTCCTTGGGAGAGCAAGAGTTGGTAGTATTGATTTGATATAGATATCATTATTAAACCGAAGACATGGAAAATTGTCTCTCCGATAATTAGATACCGAGTACCAAATGTATTGTACAGCTTCCCAACAATAGTACCCTGAGTGGTCGGTAAATATAGAATCTACCGAAACTACACAGTTTTATAATATAATAATATACTATAGTAAATATAAAGAATATTTGCAAGAATAGAACCCAGGAGATAATACTGGAAGAAAGCTACTTTAACAAGACTTATAATAATTTTGGAATATCTTAACACCTGGTATACAGTTAGTCTGGTTGTCTTCTAAGATATTTCCTGACTGTGAATCGATACTCACTATTGATCTATCCAAAGCTGCAGAAAGATATGCACCACGCATCTACCACTATTAACCACACAGTCAATCCCCTATTAGAAGACATATCGGGCTGATCTCCAGGTGACAAAGATTTCTCTTTATCCAGTGATATTGATATGCCCCTCTTGTCACCCCGTGGCGGAAGGATATCGCGGTCTTGGGAACTGGTACAGCTTCGATCTATATTGATTGGGCAATCTGTGTTAACAAGATAGATAGATAATACACTTATTCAGAATACTCCAGCCATACAAGCAAATATATAGAGGTAACCTATTTTAGTATATTGTTTGTCGCGGCCATAGTATTGAAGTCATCTCGGCTTCGGGATTCCTTGGTGTTCAGCTCGGCTCGGCGACAGAGGGATATCAAGCCGACGGTTCGGGAGTCCATGTGGGCGAGTATCGGTAAGGCTCGTCTACGGCTGGTCAACTGTGCATCAGGGGCAATATGATTGTGTACGTCGCGTATGTTTCGTCCTACTTGTGCTATTGTAGAACAGGTTGTAACAGTGCTACCGGGTGTTATATAAAAAGTCGCGAGGATAGAAGCTCATTCAGGAGTAGATCAGTCTTGTAATTTCGCTGTCGATATCTCCACAGATACTTAATCTTGAAGATGTGGTAGCTACTATACCAGCTCTACATTGACAGACATATCTCCGTACAGTGTGCTAGGAAGTGTATTGATAGGGAGCTCTACTACTTTTAGTGTACAAAATAGACTAAAGTATAAACTAAATAAAATTGCTACTATACTTGACAATTAGAGATATATTCAATCTACAGCTTAAATCAACACATTCCCAAATTCTCCGAAAAATTAATCTATTCTGTCAAGAATCTTGGATCTAGCGGAGGAGCCAAGAGATCCCCGAATCTATCTACTACTTCGCCTAAATCCTGCTCTGAATACTGTTCAGCTGTCTGTGACTCCAGGATATATTCTCTAGAGGGCCTATAAGTCTGTATCGGTGAGAATATAAGAACATTCTCTCTCTATTGTACTGCCTTTTCCTGCAAATACTACAGAACTTTCTATATTGGCCCTGGATCAGATTGTGTTGGATTATTTTCGATTATATTAAAAACAAGATCGACAATATCCTATACGCGGATAATATAAGACCCGGTAGACTGTACGCGCAAGTACCATACAATATATATTAAGTAGTGGAACTAATTGTAGCTCGCGAATAACCAGCAAAACCCACATAGAAAATTATCCGTTTAGAGCTCTATACTTTGCTCCAAGCAGAAATATACTGATATCAGTGTTTACTTGATATTAGAGGAAACCTCCTCCTGTGATTTTTCATTGTTAAGGTCCAGTTGATAGACGAAAAACTTAAACTTAGAAAGAAGAGAGTGTATAGATAACTATATAACTTTCTGAATAGAAAGATTTGTATTACAATAGTACAGATATATAGTTTTCAGATAGATTGTCAGTTCCTGGACAGTTTAGAGACACTTGGTATTGTCTGTATAGCCCACAGTATTGCGGTATATCTTTTGAAACGCGATAGCAATTTCCAATATAAGGAGAAAGAGGCTCATTTCTGTCTATTTCGCGTGTGGCCCCGGTAACTTAGGATTCGCAGCTTAGGTAATAGATTACTGTTATTAATATACAGGGGGAGATAAGTATTCGATCAGCCGCCAAAACTATATACTGCAAGACTATGGTCCTCGGCAGCTCAATAGTCCAGTACTAGGATCTGCTACCAGAGGCGCCGGCGGACCTCGGTATCGAAAGAGATAAAATTGAAATATGTCCTGTCACGGTAGAGACCTATAGACCGGGTAGTACAGATAAAGACCTTATTGATAATCCACCTAGATCGACTTGTACTGTGTGCACAGAGATATATCTTGTCACAGAAATCAGTTCGATCACGCAGCAATGGAAAAGACTAATCTTACAATATAGATAGCCAGGGTTTTATAAGAACAATATAGATAGTACTTCTAGATAAGTTATATCAATTATAACTTTTTTAATGCGGGCTTGGAATTCCAGTAAGCAGAATCGTCTATCGTACTCTAGAAGATTTGCGGTGTTGATCTCCGAAAGACTAGTTACTGCTGCAAAGTAAATAGCAAATAGAAGAGCTCTGCAGTTGTCCGACCCTTCGCTGTTTATAGTTGAATATACCAGCGGCTTGACTATTAATAGATAAAGGATTTTAACTACAGAATCCATATTATTGCGATATATCTGCTATAGCTGTGCGGACTGCCAGCGCGAAAAATCTAACTTGTTACTCTATTTCACAGAGTACTTGGAGCTTGCCAAAAGATCTTCCGGTCCCAAATATAATATATTTTTGTCGGTATTATATATGGTATCTATAACCTTGTACAGTCTCTTTTCCTTGTCCAGGATCTGTGACAGGAATGTCTTACTAATATAGTAAGTAGAGGTACTATCCGGCACAAGAAACTCCTGTGGGCGATTGGAAGACTGTACTGGTTCTGGCAATAAGAATACAGATATAACTCGGGTATTCAGATTGTTAGGACCTTGCAGGGGACCAGCACTGTTTGTTAAAATAGCCAGACTCCGTTCCAGCTACACAATTCGATCGGTAATAGTAACGTTCTGGACCTTCCGAGACCGATGAGTTTTGGCATCGGTCGTGGGGTAGCGACACGAAGCGCCGAGCCGCACACAAGCCGTGCACGGTAGTGTCTTGCTACAGCAGACTTTGCGCTGATAATATTGGGTGCATGATCGCTCTATATTCTTGTGGATAGAGTACAAGGATGGCACAGCCGCTGGGATGTGTCCGAAAACCTCAACAGAAAGCTGCTGAACGTAGTAGTGGTTGTGCTCGGTGACTCGGAAATGCCAAGGCACCGATGTGCAGGAACACCGGCTTTAGCATTATCAGATACAAGAATAATAGATTGACATGGACAGTGGGGGTCATACAAGGGCTTTTGGCTAAAGGTTACATAATGGAAACTCCTTGATCGATGTCGCCCTACGTTGAAATCTTATCATCAATCCCAGCCATAACTGAGTTCACTCATAGTAGCAAGATATATCTGGAACTCATAACACTGGACCAAATACAGTAGGATAGCCCTTGTCACCACGTCCGCAGTGTATCGCCCAATACACCGGCGAGGGCCATATCCAAACCGCCACAAGTGGTGCCGTAGATCCGTGTTCGAGCTGTTTAGGAATCTCCCCGGCCAGTATGTATTGTTATCGAGTGCCCAGAATTCTTTCCGCACGCTCAGCCCCCGTTTATCGACTACATAATTGGTTCCAGCAGGGGGGCGATGCCCATCTACCACGTGCTCTGTCGGAGCGGATTGCGGGATGGTAAACGTCGAGGTTGGCGTACAGAGCCTTGTCCACCGTTTGTGCTACGCCGACAGTAGTCCTGCCCACTGTTATACAAATACCTCCAATACAGAATAACGCTGAACACCTGGTTTTACTGATAAAATAGGTTCGAATTGATGTGTTGAGCCCGACAAGCACACAAATACAATAGGAGACTCGCTTTGCTTTGCCTATTAGTTGTTGTCCAGGCCCTGATATCTGAGACAGCCATCGGTTTAATTAATCATGATAATAAGCTCTACATAGTGCCCCCAATAGATAATGTAGAGTTCGGTAGGCAAACTTGGTTTTGCAGGTCACTGTATACTTTTAATCCAAACGTGAATATAATACGGTTTACTATACTGTTAGCTTGACTTGTCGGACTGTTCTGCTCAACGGATATCTCGACCCCGTTGCCACGTATCCTGCAACGCCTCCTGGGTAAAATTTGGCATAGTCAAATGTTCAACAATACAGTGTAATATAACTTATACGCCGGTTATCGTGCTCCGGTTTTGTCATTCTGGCCGACATAAAGTTATATTCCTGTTCGAAAAGCGATACCACGGAATTATGCGAAGCTGTTATTAGCTGAAAACGTGTGGATGCTAAGTAATCTATATAGAGGTCCTGACGTTGAAAATGTATATTATACGATCAGATAAACCTGCATTTACGATATACTTGAATAGCAGAAGATGTCAAATAGACAGTTTACCAACCCATGGCCATTGGAGAGCGATGAAGTTACCAGGGCAGTAATCCCTGGACTGGTTCGCTTACAGATCGTGAGTGGAACTATCAGAGCCCCTTCAATAAATCCAAACATAATCGGTGAACGAGTGGGTCAACATGCCTCTTTTCTTTTCTTTCTTTCTTTTTTTTTTTCCTTCTTTAAAAAAACCCCCCTCCAAGGGCCATATACCAAAACCAGATAATTGTATATTTTTAATCGAATATTAGCTACAGTATATCCTTCATCCGCTATTCTTTCCCAGGCAAGAACCAGGAACCATTAAGAATTAGTCCCTTCCATAAAATCTTGAACCCTCCTCCCCAAAACAGCGCTCCGAAACATCATTCCCAACCTCGACAAGCATAAATAGCAGCTGGTCCACCTGCTTAAGTCCCAAAGATCCCCGTATCTTCTCGGTCTGTATGCAGAAATTAGTCAGATGAGCTTTATGTACCCACCCTGGTGTTACTTACACAACTATAAAATTGCTTCAACGGTTCTGCGGGGAGCTGGCCAAACGGCAAAGATGTAGGATCGGAGTTGATTGCTTCGGTCATACATGGTATAAATTTTTGCAGCTCGCCGCATGCAGCATCAGACAAACACTTCTTGCTGACTTCTTCCATCATAAGAGTTTTAATACACTTGCGGAGACTGCCATCGCGTTCCTCAAGGTTGTGAATTGGGTTAGCGAAGGCAAGGCCTACAGCGGCAAGTGAAACTAGCGTCTGGATCTTCATATTCGCTATAGGGAGGTAAAACACTGCTTTTCAATAGAGGGAGGTATACTGAAGTATAATATCAGGAGTGTTACCGAAAGAGTGGTAAGAGAAAAGAGAGATAGTATAGCTAAAAAGAAAAGAAAAGAAAGAAATAGCAGATCCTTTATAACCTTGACGGGAGTGCTTCAGGGGTAAGTAAAAATTTTCCAATCGCTCCAAGATTCAGATCGGCAGTTTATTGATACTCTTCGGATAATCTGGGGCACAAAGTTCAATAGATCCATCTAAGTATACTCCGTCGGTATTCGGAGCCCCACCCTGACTTCTAGGAGCTAAAACTTGATGCAATTCTTTCCCAATCAATTACTTATGGATCCAGATGACTCGTCCTCATCAGTTCGACCTGAACCGAAAACAGTTATTAAGGCTATCGATGTATCCCATGATAGCGAAGTGATTTTTGCGACAAATATAAAATGGGCCGCGAGGGACATAACTCCATAAGCAGCCAGTTATTTAGATTGGTAAGAATACCGTGAACTTATCTGAGACATTGTACGGGGCTCAGTTGAAAATGCTTACGCTCGATACACAATTGTATATACTAAAGTTATGGCGCAAAGAATATCTTAGACTACAGTGTAAATTGTGCCTGATGAGAGTCCACTAACTGCTCAGAGATTGATAGATCTGCAACGCACTCAATAAGCGCATAGACAGTGCGTAAATTAGACAAAAAAAAAACAACAACTTCGATACAGAACAAAATTTTGAAATTTCTAGTCCCTAGCGGTGGCCGCACCCGACCTAGGGTGCATTTTTCTCGCCCGCTGATTCGTCGGCTTTTTTTTTTGGTTGGAAATGCTTCCCCCGGCGTACTCCCGCCGCCCCCGCGTGCGTGCCCCGAAGCCCCGAAGCCCTTGGTCACTTTCACTCGTCGCGCAGCGCTAGCGCGCTAGTGTATAAGTGAACTGTTTTGCTGCGAGTTGGGTCCTGTTACCCGATTCGGATGCCGCCGCTTTTGTGAGGGCAGCACGTGAGAGCTCCGTGTTCGCTCCGGGCCACTCACTGATTGCTCAGTGAGTACGCACCGCAGCTCCGGTTGCTCCCGGATTACTCTGGCTCAACTCAGTGTGTGATCCCGGAGTAACTCCAGTCTACTCTCTGTTTTCTCTTACGTGACCAACAACAGTTCTCTACACTGTGTATACACTAAGTGATCCAGTATATGATCCAATCTGTATATATCTAAAGGTATCTCAAAGATAAGGACTGGTAATCTTTTTCAGTTACTATATACTATGTTCGATACTAAGAAGCTTTGAGCAGAATTTAAAGTAAGTAATAAGAAATTATTTCTAAGTAAAGGAACTAAAGATATTGTACTTTAATTACGAATATAAATATATCCTACTTGTCCAGAATATTTTTACTTTTATCTTATTTTGTACTAATTTTCTATAATCCTTTCTCTTGTACTTTTTCTAAACTTATTGTATTTTGCTATATTTTAATGACTGATAATAGCTATATACTCTTCTTTATCGAAGACTAAGTAGAATGAAAAGAAAAGAAAAGCTTGCTGTGAACTCTATAAACAGCGAGACTATAAGGCGAAAGCTTATTAACAGAAAGATACTCAAAGAACAAGGGGTAGAGCTTTGTCCAAAACAAGAGATATGCAGGGAAAGTATACAGATATAAGAAATAAGTATCTATATACTCTAAGATAAAGTTATTCTTTTTACTATAATTTTATTAAATTTCTCCAAGAGGAGAAAGATATATCTGAAGACTATAAGATTGGAGACAGGTATCCGGTACTAATACTAGAGGAACTCAAAGAGTTTATCCGGTAGTATATTGAGTCTACTAACAGTAGACTTATACTAAATAAATAACTGACCAAGAATATAACTTTAATCTGGGTTTAAGAGTTTGTCCCAGATTTCTATTTTCTAATAGAGAACAAGATTTTCTTCTATAACCGGGCCGCTCTTTATAGTAGAATTGCGATTTGCTGAGTCCATGCCCTCTTGGGCCGCCCCCTCCGTTGGGCTTAGCGTCCGTCTCCGCCGCGCCGTATCCCGTATAGCGTCGTCTGTTTGCGGTTTAGCCTGCCTGTATCAGGCTTGGTGCTAGGGACTATCCCGGAACGGGATCTGCCGCCCTGTACCGCCCGACCAGCTATCTTCACGATCTATATAAACTTGCGGTGCGTCGCTCAACGACAATGCTCCTTTTTTCCATCAATTTCGTTTACCCTAGAACTCCAGGCAGCAGCAACATCCCTGGTCGGCTGACGTGTCCTCCTGTCAGCTGAAAACTCTGTATCTGCAACACAGCCCCTTCTCCACTCGCGAAATTGAATTGACCTGCCTGTTTCGAAGGAGAATAAGGACGGATCTTGTCAGCCTATCCTGCAGGATTCGATGGGCGACTTTTTTCATCCCACCATATACATTCAAAGGGTGCCCTTTCATCTTGGATTTTACATTGTTAGGTATTGAAATTGACGCCCTGAGTTGCAGTGCTTTGGTATCTCGCGTACCCTACAGCCGGGATGTTTTTGCCCTCACGCGGTGGGCAAAGTACGGTGGAAAAAGGCAGCAGGTGAAGTGGAAACCAGTGTTGACTCTTTGCTCTGAGATGGCTTGCGCGGACCCCAAAACCGCCTTGTGGCGTTTTACGAATGTAACGCAACACTCGAGCTAGGTATCTCCTCTCCAACAGGCCATCGCTGAACATGTATGTTCACTCTTAGTTATCGACCCACAAGCCAATTTCCGAACTCATAGCCAATTGCAAAAATATCTTATGGAAAGCTGCGGCTGAGCTGACGCTTTTCGATTGAGTTTGGGCTCTCATGTCTGGAGTAAGCTGCAAGCAGTGTGTTGTTGCTGGCCAAAAGGGGAAGTCTTTTGGGTTGATCTTTGCACTACTGAATTATTTGCTGGCGCATAGCAAGGCTGCAGCGCCACTTGATCCATTTACAATCAAGTAATCGGGCACTCCTACGGTGGACATGTTTTTGGTTCTTTTCGCCGAGGTAGTTCGGCGGTCCGCTCGACACGCTGCTCAAACATGATACATCGCCGATCGAGTTCGTCTGCGGCTGCACTGAATTACGGCCCTTTTGGAGTGTCTTGTCCTATAAGTACTGTCGACCCTTTTGCTTTGCTCAGAGGAACCAGTGAACATATCTGATCTGCCCTCACACGCTTCTCTTCCACGCTTCTCTTCCGCAATTGCCATAACCATTGAAACTTATACCCGGTGTGAGCCAGAGAGCTTTTCGAGATATGCAGGTGAACCTTGATCAAATAGAGTTCTACTACGGCCCCAGCCACCAGAAGGCTCGAAGCACATTGGCCTCTACTGGCGGAAATTGACCAGCTCTCACCCATGTTACACAGCTGTTTCAGTGTTCTTCTTTTGCCACTGAGTCTGTCTTCATCCAAGCACAGGTACCGACGAATATGCTAGACTCTTCGGCATCCCTAACGTATGAACGGCCCTCCACTGGTATCACAAACCCACAGAATGTGTTTGATGTCGAGATATCCAATTTCTATGGCGGGGCCGTATCTCAACCACAAATGATTACAGAAAGTAAATGCCTGGTTACTACAGATATACCAGGAACTCCTAAATCTCCATTAGATCTCATGAAATGTCTCCTATTATTATCAAAGCCACCAGTATTTGAAGACTCCACTACACCGACATCACCAACAACAAACGAACTTGAGCAAGAAAATGCTCTGTCCAGTAATATTCTCGATGCGATTGACACGGCAACTTCTGACCACTCCATGTCGCCTATTATCGTATTTGAATTATCGAGTAATGTGCCTAGCAGTCTTTCTATGGGCGGTGATTTCCAGCAAGAACCGGTCAATAATGCTATAGACACGTTATCTTGCATCCCAGATCATGATAGAGATCTATGTCTAATGATAACCAATGCTCCGGAGCAGACCGGAAATCCCGAAGTGGCTGAGGACAAGTCTATTCCATCCTGCTAATCTTATCAGTCGAACGCATCCTTTAGCCCAGAATGTTCCGCTAGTCTAGCAACCCTGAGTGTTAATAGACTGGAATCCTACCTATCGATTGCTGTTGTTGTACCGGTATCTCTATGGGCGCGAGGGAAAGTTACTAGGACAACCACAAGGGTCGCCGCGGTGGCTTGCAAGAAACGGCTTCGAGCTAGTGGCAGTGACAATGACCACCGGGATCCTGAAGTATCAATTGCTGACACAACTCGACAGCGCCCGAAGATAAAACCAAAATCTAGGGTGAAGTCTCTTCATTATTCACTGGGCGGTCAAGACCCTGTTCTATGTGATCGTTCTGGTGCTATCCACAAGGTCCGCGGGAGAGCTATCCTCACAGTTGAGTCCAGTGGACTGAGGCCAGTATATTATTTTATATTCGTTCCCGAGGCTAGTCCGATGCGGGCTCAAACCCCTCCGGCCGACACGTCGGGAAAACAAAGGCCATATACCTTATACGAAAATGCACTGTTGGTGCGACTGAAGAAAAGAGAGACTATGTCGTGGGCGGAGATTGCTGTATACTTCCCTGAACGAAGTGTATTATCTCTCCAAGTCCACTACTCAACTAAATTATGTTACAAGGCTACCACTCAAGCTGAAAGGCTACGAAGACGCCGATAAGAGGCACTGAACTCGAGAGGGCCTATGCCAAAAGAAGTGAATAGATATATTCAGTATATTTGCCTTCCGACCGTCGACTCTCCTTCCTGATAGTGAAAGCCAAATATCTGAAGAACTATTAACTCTTGAAGAGGAACCCCTGAATTGTCCAAGGAATGCTTTTATTATCTGTTACAGTTTATGTTGCTTGTTCAATGTCAAGTTACCCCGATAAATTTCTCTCCAGACGAACAGACTTTTTGTAAATAAATAAACTCGGTCCAAGATGGGTACACATAGTCTTCGACACAGAGGCTTTGCCCCGGCCAATCTAGTAAATATAAGTTGAGCCACAATAAATAAGATTTATTTGTATAAATACAATGCTGTTGATTGAAATGGGAATTTAGTTAGAATTCCAATAGATCAAAATCAAAAATTAAAAACAATGACAAATGAAAGTCGGATACAGGAACGGAAGAGTTTGGGATTAGCAACTGTCTGTAGAGGGTAGCCGCTATCTCCACCTGGCTCGGTCTACTCAGGGTCTATTTCATACTTAATTTAGCCCTGGATTGCTGCTTGAGGGAATACAATATTTCTGTCTCGCGGAAAGATTGGACTCCCTCTATCGATATGTGATCAATTTCGAATCCCAAACGATAGATCACTGCGCCTGGCCCAAGAGCAGACAAGTATCTCTGCAATTGCTTCCTTGTTTTCGTAGCGATAAATGGATTTGCTTTGAATCCAAAGTAGTTTTTGTATTCTAACCAGTGACACAATTTCCCATGGATTGATACAGGCTCCAGGAACCGAATATCAGGTGTTGATTGCAGGTTTTGTTTTTTTTGCTCACTTTCAGTGAGGAACCGATAGTCCATTGCTCTTATTTGGTCGGTAAAGCTGTTCTCCGCTAGCTGCGCATCCCTTATCTTTTTCTGCAGTCTCTCCTTCCCTTCGGGCGTGTTGTCAGGTGGCAAGAGACGAAGGGCAGCCTCGATGAGGGCTGCGACAATCATATGATCTAATTGTGTGTTGATATGTCGCAATAAGGTATCCATATCAGGCTTCATAAAACGGAGGCGACATGCCATTCTAAAAATGGGCATGACTGCATCCCGAGGCACTCCGAGATATGCGGGATAGATATCTGTGACGGCGACCCCAATCATCATTGGTAGAGAGCTATCACTCCGTCCTTACCAGGCGCGTTGTGGTCCTTTGGAACGGACATTGGGGTGGCATGAACGGCCGACTAGATGTACACTCTGACACTTTGAATTTTCCATGTGCTGTTTCTTTGACCGGGGAGATTTGAAGAATTTCTGACATCTATCACAGCAGTGCTTAGAGGATCGAAGGTGCTGTTCCAGAGATTTTATATCCAGAAAATGTTGCTGGCAGTGTTGACAGTAAGCTATAATAAACGCAATGTAGTCAAGGAGAAGCAGCACTGGTCAAAGTGTTCAAAGGAATAAGTACTGAAATCGTATATAAATATGAATTTAGTCTTTGTTTCTAAAAGGGCTGCCGAACTTAAATAAACTCCTAAAGATATCTCCATCCCGAGATATAACCGATGGTCTTCATACAATGTGTGTTTTTATGGTGACGTATTGGGCAACAGCCTTGATGGCTGGCGGAGCGGATGGGAAGAGAGGTGATTGACATACATGAGAATGCAACGATATGACTCGCGAGTACCAACACACTATTATATCAGAGCTGAAATATTGGTCTCGTTGCAGTTAGAAGTAAGAGCTGATTGGAAGGCCTGTATAGTCGCTTAGGCTGACATTGAAATATGTCTAATGGGCCACGTGTGCCTCTTTCCGTTTTTAGCTATATATATAGACTCAGGAATCCCTCCTGTTCTCTCTGTAGAGTATATCCATGTTTAGAGTAAATGCGTTTATAACCTGATTGATAAGCTATTTGATTTTTCTTGAATGTTGTTTGTCCAAGTATTTTTGTATACCATATTGTCGGAATTTGACTTTCACCAGCATTTTTTAACAGTGAACTCAGAGAATATTCCGTAATAGAGGGAAGACCTATAGACCAACAAAAGACTGATCAGCCTGTTGTTCATTACTATAAGGCGTTGCTGAGCGAGGCTGAACGAGGCTGAACGAAGCCGAACCCCGTAATTACAGCCTAATGTTGAATGTGGGTTTACTATCAGTATTGAATATTTCTGGAAGCCGACGGTAAACAGCCGGCTAGAAAAGCACCGCCAAGGCCTTATCTTGGTTGAAGAGAAAACCAGCTGGTCCTAATTCGTCTAGGACTGCCATGGTCACCAGACCCTACTGACCACCAATCGGCTAGCCGTAGCGGCTCCGGTTTGCCTGGGGTTGCCATGTCTGCCTTCTCAATGTTCTTTTCAATTTAATCTTCAATTGGCTAATGTAGCATTGCCTTCTTTTCCTTAACACTTTTACGATCTAAGAGGGAGCAATGGAACAAGAACATCCGTGCATGATGAAGCCAATAAACAACTACAGCGTGTCAGTATGGTATTGGTCCTCAGAGAGACATTGGCTATGTATCTAACGAAAAGTAGGTAAAGGCTTGCCAAGACAAAAGAATCGCTGGCTTTAACGGGTGACTTTGACAACCCTGTTATGACACATGCAGTCACACATAATGAGGGTAATAACAACCAATAAGATGATTACAGAAATAGCACTAAAGAAGGAAAGGGTAGCAATGATAACCGCCACCAACGCAAATGTGTAGCTTCCCGCTGTCAGCCCCATGTTTATACTCTGTCTGACAGTAGCCCCGAGAATGGTAATAAACATACAAAGTGACACGGCCAGACCAACTAGAACCAGCAGTCTCTGCGTGTGCCACCCATCCACGAGTAGCAGAGCTAGAATACCCTCGCCAGAACTATCACATGCATCGAGAAAATATGTAGTTCTCAAGTCCCTGTATAATAATCAGTAAGGTTTCTTTGCTTTAAATACCGTATCATTACCTGTAACGGGTGATGAAACCAAGATGCTCGAGAAAATTTCAAAAATTACTCATCCCTCTTGAGCTCCAGTAAACTTCCAGCAAAGTCTCACTATGCTCCAGTCTTCGCTTTCGCTGTCTTAGCCGGTGATGATGTTCCAGAGAACAGTAAAACTTAGGGCACTCCTCAGTGCCATCCATGGTTAGATTTCTACAATTCTTGGGATTAGAGCATAGCTCAAGCATACCATCTTCGCTGAAGCCGGCACGACACTCCGAGTCAAACTTGCATTGTTCTAGCACTCTTTCGATCCTTTCTACTTTGGCGGCGATATTGATGGGTAATATCATAACCTCCACCTCTTTGCTGTTCCTTTGCCGTAACACATGCATCTGCAGCTCAAATCAGTTCTAGTTAACAGGAAGAATTTTTGCTCCGACGAACCTTGCATTACTCTCGGCGAGTCAGCTAGCGTCAGCCTCTGCATGAGGGAAGGTGCTATGCTATTTCTCGAAATGCTGCCAGTTAATCTAAGCCGTACTAGTTTATGTCATTAAGCTAGCATAGATGTCCCGAATGGAAAGACAGAATTAAAGTGCAAGCTGTTTGTTTGTACCATCTCGAGCGGGGCTTTAAACACCATGTGGAGTATGTGAACGACACAAGCCAGCGCGACCCGAGCGCGGATATCCATTCAGAACATGGCCTGGGATATCCAACCCACAACACTATCAAGATTCTAGCTTGAGGATGCTAGATGCAACTACTGATGTTTTCAGAAGATTTCAGTATAAAGGCTCTGCTATATATTGTCCATTCTGTATAAAACCCGTCGGACATAAGAGAAATATTTCCAACCCCCGTTAGATCTGCTGTGCTTCGATATCCAATAATTGAACATTCTCGACGCTCTAGTGCCAACCCCGAGGTGCCAGAGCCATGTGTCTCCCTTTGCCATTGTAACTAGCTGATCTGGAAGCCAGGATCCTGGCATTGGCTTCTGCTTGGACCTTTTCTGCCCACTGGCTCAATTTTCGATTGTACTTCTGCCACAACCTGGGTAGAAATTGGACATCTTGTACACAGTACTGCATGATATCCAGAGCAAGGGGGCGAACATTGAATACCTCATAGCTACCTCCACGTTCTGGAGTAAACAGCTTCAGTCCTTTTTCTTTTCCAAGCTTCTATGTATTTCGTTCTGATAGTGTCATCGGCGCATCATTCTCAATACATTTTGCTAGGCCCTGGACATATTTTTTCGAAAAATTACGTGTCGTAAGCTCCATCAGTTGAAGGTCTTGCACACCAGCAAGCGTAATTCTAAAGCAATTGTAGAGGGCATCAGAGTCATTGCGAACGTCAAAGAAGACTTTTGGAACAGATTTCGTTTCCAAAAGGTTTTTAAGAGTCTGACCATTGCTTGCTGCTTTCGCAAAGGCATTCTCCTTCAGTGTATGAATATCAATCAGATAGGTCCTGTTGTGGGGCAGAACAAAAATCTGAAGTATCGAGATGCTTCTATACCGCGAGAGGTTGGTACCTTCAAGGTCAAGATATAACGATGGGGGATCTGCCGGTAACTCGAACAGTTCTTCAATAACATCAGCTATACTGATAGCGGTGTTGAGAAAGACATATGGTTGGTTTGCTTGAAGCGTTGTCCTCGCGAGAGAACTTGTAATCTCAGATATGTCGGCTCTGATTACGGCTTTTGCTGTAGTATTCGCTCCTGTAGCACCTTCATTGGTTGTAGTATCGTTGATGATAGCTGCTGGGACATGAGGAAATGTACAAAATTGGGTGGTAGTAATAACTTACTAGACATGCTGTCTAGGTCCGCTTAGATACGAAAATAATGTGCTTGGTAGCCAACAGAGTATATTTCGATTTAGATATATGGATAGTAATGTTCTTAATATGCAAAGAGTAACTAAATTACAAGAGACTGTAATGGGAATTTTTACAAGGCTAGAACGGCCCATAACGCTTTATCTTCTCCAATTATCCAGCATGACCAGACAGCTAGCTTAGGACGCATATACAGGAATATTGAGCAATAACCTAACACGGAATAGCCGATACGACATTAACCATGAAGGCTGCTACTTATAGGACATTATCGCAGCCTAGTAGTGCACATGACAGTAGTGTTCTTGGTTAACGCAGCCTAGGGTAGTACAGAAGTAGTATGTGGTTACCGCAGATCAGTAAAGAAATAGAATCTGCGCGCTTGTCGCCCAGACTTGGGACGCTGGATATTATTTCCCTGCCTTTTGCATACGGTTGTATATTTCGAATTGTTTATATTACTCCACCAGTCAGTTTACACTATGGTAAATTAGTAGTATACTCAGAAAAAATATCTCTTTCTGCTCGTTGTAATCTGTAACTGTAGCCTGGTCTTATTTTCTCATAGATTTTTTATTCTCAATAAGATCTAAATTCGACTAAGCTGTATCTCAGCTGTTTTATTTGGGCACATACCCCTTCTACTCCGACTAAGATGGATCTCCTTGCCAAGAACAAATTTATTCCAAGTGCTTTGTATAAAGTACGAGTGGATATAGAATAATATTATATGATGACGTTTTGTAATTTATAGTATAACTTTTAGATTTATTATTACACTGGACTGAATTTCTATTGGTAAGACATCTTGGCTGACTGACAGTGCCTGTGCGCCATGTTAGCAGATGCAATGATTTGATTGTCGTCGTTCGCTAGAGCCTTTCAATGTCTTATTGGATAAGAGTATGTTTAGGGTGGTATCATACTTACTCCAAGGTCGTTAAGTCATCCAGCCCAAAATACATTAGGGTTGCCGAAGGCCACTGTCAAGTGTCACGTTTGCCGGACTCTAGTGTTTCCCCCTCTATTTATAGCCGTGCCCCGGCTTTATGTCAAGATATCTTCACTCACAGTGTTCATATTATTAAAGGATTTTGTTACGATTCCTCTCTTGTGCTGGATCTTTTTCCAAGATATTCTACTAAAATACAGTACGTTATCTCTAGAATGAATGCGCTTCTTGCCTATGCTGACGACACACTTTGCTTATCTTAAAGAAGAGAGCTACAGTACTCAAGCTGAGTTGTAAATACGTTCAGACATACTATTCTCTTTTCTGTTATATAACGAGTATTCTGTGCTTCAAACGTCGGTAGCAAATATACCCCTCTGATTTACACATATATGTTATCTATTGATAAAAATCATCACCAATCCGTATTTAAAAATGAAAGATTGTGAAGTCTGCCGCTGCAGGAATACTGATATGGCTCTTATTGGCTGGGCTATTTCCTTGAGAAGTCTTCAAACTGGATTTTTGGAAGGTTGTGAATGGTGTGAATTCTTTATGAATTGTGCCAGCCTCTATGAAGATAAATGGGCTTATTTACCGCGAGATCATACGAATTAGGTTTATTATGAAGTGAACCGGATGCTTTTTTCAGATATCCAGGAAGCTGAGCTTTCGTTGAATTGGCCGTCTTCTATTAATACGGCTGAATCTTCAATATATTCAGAGCCTACCGAACCTGTAATTGACAGCATTCGTCTTGAATTTGAAGTTCAAGATTATCTACGCCATGTCAGTTCTCTTTCTATGAAATAAAACATTATGCTAATATACAACAGGTACCCTTATGGTTACCCCTGAAGACAAACCCAAGTGCGAACACTTGGTGCCACGACTCTGCTGCGCCCCAATACTTTGCTCTGATAGAATTGTGGATTAAAAGATGTGAAAGCGACCACCCTGAATGCAAAGTTATGCGTGAAAATTCTTTGGTCAACCCTAAGAGGCTTTTGCAGATATCCAGTACGCTGGGAGAGTCGCGTGTCTACTTGGTTCAAGTCGGGAAATTCGATTCACCTAGATATACAGCGCTAAGCTATTGTTGGGGAAATACTCCTGGCTTTAAAACAACTAGACAAAATCTTGAGGTATATACAACTGAAGGTATTATGATTTCGAAACTTCCGCGAACCTATCAATATGCAATTGATATCACTAAGAGGATTGGCTGCGAGTATGTCTGGATCGATTCTATCTGCATCATTCAGGATAGCAATGAGGAGTGGGAGTTAGCTTGTGAGACTATAGGATATATTTACGGTAATGTATATGTTGTGATTGGAGCTACACTTGCGCCAAATGACAGTGCCGGTATTTATACGGATAGGAAGAATGAGGTGGCCTATATTGAAAACTGTGGGAAACGAGTTCCTATTCTTGTGAGGGAGAAAATAAGACATGATGTTTGGCAAAACGATGAACTCTTGTGGCAGGCTTGGAACGACCAAGGTATGCTACTTTTTCGCTGTGCTTGGGCTTTTCAAGAACGTCTTTTTGCTAGAAGAATAATACATTACACACAAGAGGAGATAGTCTGGGAATGCAGATCCGACTCCTGGTGCGAATGCGGGAGATTGGGCACTGATCGAAAACTAAAAGGAAGATTTCCTCAATCAAACAACTTTAAAACGAGATACGCGCAAGTCATCAAGTATGGTAGTGATACGGATTGTTTTGAGTTATGGCTTTTAATTATCGATTAATACTAAGCACGAGGAATTATGTATCCTAAAGATTGTCTCCCTGCACTTTCAGCTATCGTAGTGCAAGTTAACCGGGGTAACCTGATGGGCTTTTATGTTGCTGGTATGTGGGTGGATTGGCTATTGAGTTCACTTTTGTGGTGGTCAGACGCAACTAGCTCAAAGGTGGCCAAAAGCGACGAAAGTTATAAGAGGCCCAATCCTTCTAGTGCTCTAACATGGTCGTGGCTTTCTGTGGAGGGGTCTATCAGCATCTGGGGGAGAAATTTTCTATCGGATATCAAATTGGTGAATATTGAATATATGTTAGCCGGTGATAATATTTATGGGTCCTATAATACAGTAAAGCTTGAACTTGAAGGCCAGATGATTGGAGTTATGATATATGCTATGGCCTTCCAGCTATATATAGCTCGGTCATACCAGAGTCTAGAAAAAGCAAATTTTTTTTCTGATACCAATCCTTTCGAAATTAATCCAAACAGGCTTACCCAGAGAGAGTTCTACGCCTTGAAGTATAGCAGATCCTCGTCGGTATCGTGGAATTGTCTGATCTTGACAGTAAGTGCCGGAGGAAAGGAGTTTTGGAGGGTTGGAATAGCCGAGGTGGGCCTGGGTTGGTTCTCGAATGCTTCACGGAAAAGAATAACTATAGTCTGATCGAGAAAGTAGGTTGTATTCACTTGAGATGTGTTAATATGTGACCTATGGTACAGAAGAGAAGTCAAATGCTCTAGTTGGTAGAAATTACAGGACAGTCTTTTAGATATATAGTACAGTACTAAGCTGAATATGATTCAACTTTCCTTCCGCCAGAGCCACTACTTATCAATGTGAGGCTGTCCGCTAACAGATGTAATCAACTTACTGAGTGATATTAAAGAAGGCTCTTTGGGAAAATAATGTGATCTCTGTGGCTCAGAAACACCCGGCAGAAATTTGACAATGACAGCAATGCGTGTCTACTTTTTCTTTGTGGCTGAGTACATATTCAATCCAGATATAACTGGTATCTTGGGTCCATTTATCATAGTCCTTGTTGAAACCCTCGTAACAGTCAATGTCAAATGATTATCTTTTGTGATGAAACCAGTCCTTGATTGCTTTAATCGACGACTTTATAGAGATCTGATTATCTGGTGGAGCTGCAATACAGCTGTCTATCTTTAGGTAGCTATATCGAACTAAATTAGGGAGGTCAGGGAGTATTCGTTCGAAATATGTGATATGGTAGTATTCGATAGAGCCTAATATAAATCTATTAATTAGGAAAGGTCAGTCACTTGCAGTTAATATCTGTACTAGAATGTGCAGATATCTGTTTCAAAGCGAAACGATAATAAGACCGGATGATTGGATTCCCGGTGCTTCTCCTAGGTATACAATCCCATGCGCGGCAGTGGCTAGTCTTGATCTTAGGAACTTCCTGTAGAAAGAGCACGTATTTTCCAGATCTTAGACTAGCTTTAATGAGGGCAGCTTGTTTTTCTTGTTTGCGTTGGTCACTCTTTTCCTTTAGTTGCTTCAAGGTAGGAACAATTACTTGAGGCTGCAGTTTCGGTTTGGTGATATTACTTGATTCTATTATTTAGAAAAATATAAGTTAGTGTAGCTGGTTTGCGTCTACAGGGGATTTGTGAGTTTTAAGTCAGGGTTGAATTAGGATATATCCCGTGTGGCCTAGACTCCTGTTTCTCACTCTGCACTTTGCTACTATTAAATTAATGATCTTTGTATAAAGACCTTGAGATCTAAATTTAGAAAGCAAGGTAATAAATATCAATAGATAATGAGCAAGCTAAGCAATGCTCAACTTACTGAAATGAGGGGGTTGCAAATATGAAACACTGTAGCCTAGAAATGTTTGATATCCTAGACTATGATTGGTAGAGGCACTACTGTTCCAGATATATCTGCTGTAGATCCCACAACCACCATCACCGGAGCCCAAGAGCCTAGAAATAGGGTAATACTGCTAGATAATTCTCTGTTCTAGTATCGGGGTTTGTGTTAAATGATTAGGACTTATATCGAGCCGCAATTTCCTGCCAAGTGACCTGTTTGGGCCTTGGATAGTACGTCGCCTAAGTTGGTTAGACTCTGGACGTCTGACAGGGTTAATGGATCCACCTACCAGCTGCTCTTTTGACGGAGACCAGAACCCGTCAGAATTAAAAAAGACAATCTCGCCGCTATGTCTTAATCGAATTGTTAAGGAAATATCCGCGTCGCACTCCTGGCAATACTCATATGCCTTTAGGAATAGCTG